CAGCCATGCGCTTCAGGCTCCTCAAACACACCAAGTTGAACGTGGTGGCTTTCCTCAGCGAGTTGCCCAAGACCCAGCACGACGTGAACTCCTTCGTGGTGGACGTCTGCGCGCAAACGGTGAGTCGTAAGGAGAAGAGACCGGCTGGGTCCGATTTACAACGGGCTCCGTTAACGGTTGTAACTGCGAAAAACACTCATCGGTTAACTTTCTCAGGGGTGTTACGACTTTGAGCAGTCACTAAACAAATCAATGGTTGTTAAGTCAAGGACGTAGAGAGGAGCGCGCCCCCTCCGTTTTTAATGCGGCTGCTTTTCTCGTTGCAGAATTCGCTGCTGTGTTTTACCCTGAGCGGAATCTTTAAGGAAGGTGTGTGTGTGTGTGTGTGTGTGTGTGTGTGTGTGTGTGTGTGTGTGTGGTCGAAAGGCCACGTCCTACAGCGCAGGGGGGGTGGGTCGGGCCTCAGCAGGCAGGGCTCCTTCCTGACCCCCCCCCCTCTCCGTTTCTTCTCCCTCTCCAGTGGATTCCCGGTGTCGGGACCTGGTCCGCGCCTTCACCCGGGTCTTCATTGCTGTTCCGGTGGGCCACAGCGGGTAAGGGCAGCGGCTTCAGGCAGGAGAATTGGGGGCCAACCCTGGACTTGAGAGTGCTGGCCGGCAGGGATTGAAGGGGACCCCGGTTCGAATCCCGCCTTAGACCCTTGGAGTCAGTCCCTGTCTGTCTCTCTCAGCCCCTCCCCCTTGAAAGAATGACTCCCAAAGTCAAAACCTCTTCAAAGGGCGTTTTTGTCGATAAACCCAGCACCCTCCAGTATAGCCCTGATAGTGTTACCTAGTTGGGTCGTGAAACGTCTGCAAGGAACCCTCCAAGCTCAGAGAGCACCAAGGACCCCACAGTCCTCCAACTCCTCCTTCCTTCTAGCCCTGATGATGTTACCTAGTTGGGTCGTGAAGCGTCTGCAAGAAAACCAGCTCTTCCTCCTCCCTTTCCACCAGGTTGAGCATCGTGAACGACCAGCTCTTCATCCGGAAAGCCAACAACATAGAAATCCGCAAAGCCTTCGTCATGCCGGCCCCCACCCCTTCCTCCAGCCCCGTGCCTACCCCCTCGGCCGAGCCCATGCCCTCTTCCAGCCCCGGGCCCACCCTGACGGCCGAACAGCAGGAAATGCTGCAGAATTTCTCCTTGCAGTCGGGCATGAACCTGGAGTGGTCTCAAAAGTGAGTGCCGGGTGGGGGGGGGGAGCTGGGGCAGGAAGGGGTAGTGGGTAGAGGCATAGAGGGGGTCTGACCGACACTGGGGGTCTCTCCTTAAGGACTCTCTCTCTCCCTCCCTCTTTCTCTTTCTCCCTCCCTTTCTCTCCCTCCCTTTCTCTCTTTTTCTTTCCCTCTCCTTTTTTCTGTCCCTCCCTCCCTCTTTCTTTCTCTCTCTCTCTCTCTCTCTCTTTCTTTCTTTCTTTCTTTCTTTCTTTCTTTCTTTCTTTCTTTCTTTCTCTCCGTCTCTCCCTTTCTCTCCCCCCTCCCTTTTTCTCTTTCTCCTTCTATCTCTTTTTTCTGTCCCTCTCCCTCCCTTTCTTTCTCCCTTTCTCCTCCTAACTCTTTCTCCCTCTCTCCCTCCTCTTTTTTTCTCTCCCTCCCTCCCCAGGTGCCTGTTGGACAACGATTGGAACTACGCAAAAGCGGCCCACGCCTACACCCAGCTGAAGGTGAGCCTCCCCTCTGCCTTGGGGGACACAAACCGACTCCTCTCTGCGCTCAGTGCGAGCAGCGGTGCCTCTCCCTGGGAATTCTGGGCACTGTACAGGGAGTCCTCAACTTACACCAGTTCACTTAGTGACCAATGTTACAATGGCTTCAAAAAAACAAGGAGCTTATGGCTGTTTTTCACATTTTACAACCGTCGCGGCGTCCCCACGGTCACGTGATCAAAACTCGGGTGCTTGGCAACCGGCTCCTATTTATGGCGGTTGCCGCATCCCAGAGCCCCTTTTTTTGTGACCTCTGAGAAGCGGGGAAGGCCAGATTTACTAGCTCAACCCCCGCAGGGATTCGCTGAATGTCAAGAAAGGTCGTAAAATGGGGCAAAACTCCATTGAACAACTTCGCAAAAGGGTAGCGCGTGACCCCGGGCCACGGCGACCGTCATAAAGAGGAACCAGTTGGCCAAGCCTCCGAATTTTGATCGCGCGACGGTGGGGGGCGTTACAACCGCTTTCATCAGATCCTTTTTCCCAGAGCCGTTGTAACTTTGAACGGCCGCTAAACGAACCGTTGTGAGTCGAGGACTACCTGTGCCGTAGTCCAGGACACCCCCCAAAAGACACCTGGAGGATGTTTGCCGAGACGCGGAGAAGGCTACAATTTCTCAGGTGTTTCTCCCCACCCCCTTTTTTTTTTTCTTCTCCCAGGCTGAGCACAAGATCCCCGAAGTGGCGTTTATCCACTGAGCGACGACCCAAAAAATCCGATCGGAGCAGCGTTTTTATTGTTGAGATACACCTGGTTTTGTAAATAAAATTTCTTCATTGTAAATTAAATGAGTGGGGAACACTGTGCCTCTGAAAACCTTTTGCCGCTGGGATGGAGGGAGGAACCACGACTTTTCCCTGTCGGAGTTCCCAGCGCCACCGGGAGTTGGAAGAGACGCTAAGAGAAGTAGACGGCCAAGAAGACAAAATCAGAAGCCAAAGAAAGAGAGAGAAAGAAGGAAAGAAAGGAAAGAAAGAAAAAGAGAAAAAGAAAGGAAAGAAAGAAAGAAAGAAAAAGAAAGAAACACTTTCCTCCATTTTCTTTCGGAAACACCATTTTTAGGAATTTTCGGCAAATTCTTCACCTGACGCCTTTTTTCCCCCCTGTAGCAACCCTCTCAAAAGTCACGTATACACTGAGACGGGTCAACAGTTGCAAACACACGCAGCAAAGTTGACAGCTGTCATGAGAACTCTTTAAAACTTTCAGACTGAGAAAGAGGGAGCTTCCCAAACGCTTGACGGTGCTGTTATTTTATTGGGTTTTTTCCCCCAGTCGTTAAGTTTCCTCATTCTTAGGTGCGGTCTCTCAGTCGTAGCGTAGCACCTGGTTCTACTTTGGCGTGTACCTGATTGTTTTCCTCCAAGAAGGCCGTCCTTTCCAGCAAACTCTAGCTTCTATGTTTTCCTTCCAGTCCTTGGAAACACTCTGCCTAGTAAAGTTATTCTTAAAATCTTGGGACTTGGTGTGTGGTGTTCTCCGGCCTATGACGGACGGACTTTTCTGTGAATTGGGGGGGGGGGGATTCCTCAAACGTCTCCTTCCAAAAAGAGAATTCTCCATAAAGACATTTATATACCTTGTAAATGACCCTGGTTTTTCCCTCCAGCAGGATAAAACCTGTCGTGAAGCACATCTCTTGGCAAAAGATTTTATTTTATTTTAATTTAAAGGCTACCCTGCTCTGGGTGGTTTCTGTTCCCACAAGCAAAAATAGCTGGGAACAAAATAAATAAGACATTTGGGGGGAAACTGCAATGCGTAGAAAAAGAAAAAGCTGGCAAGCTCAGGATTATAAAGATGGGGGGGGAAACAGCCCCAAAGATTTGTAAAAATTGCTTGCTGCACAAAGCATCCTGGACATTAAAGCTTAACCAGATAAGAATATGCTTTATTGGCCAAATATAATTGGACACACATGGAATTTGTCTCTGGTGGTTAAAGTCTTGGTAACAACAAAATGGTAAGTCATAAATCCTACCATGCAATGTAATTTTATGTGGATCTCATCATTTTCCAAAATGTCTCATTCATCATTAACTGTAAATGAAACTGCAGTACTTTTAATGCATAAAGTGTTGGGTCAATTCATGCAAGGTACGGGTCAGTTCAGCCAACTTTGATTTAATAACATGGACAAACTATGATTAAGCAAAGCACAACATTCAGGTTTGTATCTGCCACGTGGGGAGACCCTAAAAAAAAAAGGAAACCAACCCCCAAATCTTAGGAAAAATGGGGAGATTTGCTCTCCCCCCCCCCCCTCTTATTTACTCCTCAAACCAGCCATTGTCCTTTAAATATAACCCGGAAGTCCTGAAGGCTGGCAACTTCCGAGAGCGCACGCGCGGACTCTAGCTCCCAGAATTCCACTGCCGGCCTGGCCCCTGAGCATGCCGGAAGTGGTAGTCGCCAGGTCTGGAATTGCAAAGGCGTGGAGCCACCAAGCCGAACAACCCGTATTAGTTACTCTCCGTTTAAATAGGGGCGGCGTTCGTCCCTCCGAGCTGCTGAATTCTGCACCCCCGCATGGAGGCTGGAGACCCGCGGGAGAAGCAGCCCGGGGTGCAAACGACCCCTCCGCAACTCTAAACTTTCTACTCCCCTTCCCACGACCTTGCAAGCCGGTCAGAAGAAGCGCGCTCCCTTCCTCCTTCCTTTCCTGTTTCCTTCTTTCCTTTCCTCCTCTCCTTTTCTTCTTTCCTTCCTTCCTCCTTTCCTGTCTTCTTACCTATCTTCTTTTATTTCCTCCTTCCTTTTTCCCCCCTTCTTTTATCTTCCTTTCCTTTCCTTCCCCTCCCATTTCCCTTTCTTTTCTTCTTTCCTCCTCCGTTCTTTCCTTTTCTCCTTCCTTCCCACCTCACTTCTTTTCTACCGAGCTAACTGCTTTCCTTGCTTTCCCTTTCCTTCCTCCCTCTCCCCTTTCCTTCTGTCTTCTTTTCCTTCATAGTTTATCTTCCTTTCCTTCCCTTCTTTCTTTTCCTCCTCCCTTTTCACCTACTCTTTCCTACCCAACTGCTCTCTTTCCTTTCTCTCCCTTTCTTTCCTTCCAGTCTTCCTTTCCCCTTCCTTCCTCTCTCTCCCTCCCTCCTTTCCTTTTCTTCTTGTCTTCCTTTCTTTCATAGTTTACCTTCCTTTCCTTTCCCTCCCCTTTCCTCCTTCCTTCTCCCCCACTTTCTTTCTTACCCAACGACCCTCTTTCCTCTCCTTCCTTCCCCCTTCCTCTCCCTCCCTCCCTCCCTCCCTCCTTCTATCTTCCTTTCTTTCATAGTTTCCTTTCCCTTCCTTTCTTTTCCTCCTTCCTTCTCCCCCTCTCAACGACCCTCTTTCCTTCCTCTCCTTCCTTTCTCCCTTCCTTCCTTCCTTCCTTCCGGCCAGGCAGCCCCGCGCTCGGCTCCCCCGATCCGGCAGAGGCAGGGCGCTCCTTTCCCGGCTCCGCGATGCTGCTCCTGCCGGCCCGTGGCGCGTGGGCCTCCCCGGGGGCGCGCGCGGGCCTCTCCCTCCTGCGCGGGCTTTTGCGAGGGGCTCCGCCGTTTGCGAGGCGCTTCTGCAGCCCGGCCGGCCGGCCCGCGCAGGAGCCCTTCCCGCTGGACGGCTTCGTGAGCCGGGACGTGGTGCTCTTCCAGCACGAGCGGCCGCGCTTCTTCCGCACCGTGGGGCTCTTTTGCTTCGGCCAGTTCGCCTTCTGGCTCTACCTGGCCGACCTCGCCTTCACGACCCTGCGGGAAGCGCCGGCCGGGCCGGAGGAGACGGGCTCCGCCACCCCCCAGCGACGCCCGGCCCGGCCCTGGCTGGGCAACCTCTTCAACCTGACCTCGGGGAACTTCGGCTCCGCTAAGTGGCGCTACGGCTTCTCCGGCTCCTGCGTGGCCGTCGGTAAGCGAGGCAGGGCCGCCCTGGCCGGGGAGGAAGCGGGGGGGGGGGAAATTGCATGGGGGGGGGAGTGGAAGCTGCCCCGGGGAAAAAGGGGGCGCTTGGCTTCCCTGTTGCCTTTGCATGTGTGTGTGTGTGTGTACTTGTACCTGTACCTGTACATACACACACACACACACACACACATATATATTAAAAATGTGCTAAAATCAAAACAAGATGCTTGGCTCCAGGAGGAGTGTGTGTGTGTGTGTTTGTATGTATATAGAGAGTTATAGAGATAGATAGATAGATAGATAGATAGATAGATAGATAGATAGATAGATAGATAGATAGATAGATAGATAGATAGATAGATGATAAGATAGAATAGATAGATATAGATATTTAAATATATAGAGATAGATATAGATAAGATAGATAGAGATATAGATGTAGAGAAATAGTGATATAGAGATACATAGAGATAGATATATAGATATATATAGAGATAGATAAATATAGATAATAGATAGATAAATATTGTCACTGGAATGAATCCTCTCCAAAAAAAAGAGTGCCTGGGTGTGTTTTATTTTCCTGTTTTTGGTAAAAGCAAAATTGCAAGGAGAGCTCTTTTTAACACGCTCAAACCTCTCTTTTTCCAGGATGAGTCCCAGATGGTGCCTGCATTTTGGGGGGAATTTGGTTGGGAATGGACCTTTCTTAATTCACAGGTTATCCCGATGGAAGATTCACGGGGTGCCTTTCCACACCCCAGCAATTTGGCAAGTGAACCTGGGTCATGATGGCGTAGTGACTTAGCGCCCAGAAACCCAGATTGATTTGGTGTTGGCCCCATTATACTGAGGCAGAAAAGAAGCGAATTCATAAATAATATCATTTTATATGCCAGCTAATTGGACTAAGCTGGTTTGGATTGAAATTAAGTTTCACCGCTGCTCATTTTGTAAGAGGGTGTGTGTGTCTTTGTTAACACCTCATTTTCCCTCCCTTTTAAAAAATGTTGCCACCATTTGCAGTCACAACTCTGAGGGAAAATAACATGGCCACCAATATTCTCCCTTTGGGCGGCCTTCACAAGCCTTCCAACCGGAGGGAGTTTTCTGTTTATTACAATCCCGTTTTTCTTATGTCACATGTAATTTTTTAAATCCCAGTTGCCTTCGAGGAGATGAGTTTTGAAGGATAAAAAAAATACATTCTATTGTTTTTATTTATTGATTTATTTATATTTTTCCTCAGCTGCCCTTTGGAGAGGGATTCTGGGCAGCAAACAATAGAATCAATCAAATTCAATGTTAAAATCAGAATGTGATTTTTTTATATACGTATATAAAATATATGTATGTTTATATAAACTATGTCACTCCTTTATTACAAGAGTCAGTTTCGTATAGTGTGTGCTGGCCTAGAAACCATGAAGGCCACCTGGATGAGTCTGGGAGATGGCAAGTTCTAATCCTACCTTAAGCCAGCTGGACAACTTGGGCTAGTCCCTCTTAGCCCAACCCACCTCACAGGGCTGTTGTGGGGAAAATGGGAGGTCTGTTGGCTGCCTCAAGCTATTTGTAAAAACAATTAAAGCTGGAATATATAAATAAATAAGTTTCCACTGAAAGTTTGGGAAGAACCCAACTTTAAAAACCATTTTCAATCTTTACAAATAGATGCAAAATCTAAAAGGCAGTTAGATCATGAAGCCTATTTTGGTCCAGTCCTGGTTTCCAAGGATGTGTGTCCAAAGCCTGGAACAACCCCCATTTCTAGGTTTGTTCTGCCTTATCTTGAAGGAAATAATTCCCATGAATTATGCCATAAATCACAAGCCCAGCGTTTCTCTCAGAATGAAGGTTAGCCTTGCTGACCCAGGTTTATCTTTGTCATGAGAATTCTGAAGACTTCTTGAACCTGTTGCAAAAAGAGCATGGGTGAACTTCCCACCTTCTTCTCCAGGCTTTCCCTCACTATAAGAACTTCAGCTTTTTTGTTTTGAACTTCAGCTCTCTCAATCACTGTTTTTCTAGGTGGGCTCCTTTCCTTTTGGGGGGGGGGTCTCTTCCTTGACCCCACTTCTTCCTTCCAGGTCTTCTGAAGCTCTTCTCAAGGGCTTTCCACCACTAAAAGGAACTTCAGCTCTTACTTTGAACTTCAGCTCTTTTTTTGTTTTGAACTTCAGCTCTTTCAATCACTGGATGTCTAGGTGGGCTCCTTTCCTTTTTTGTGGAGAGGGTCTCTTCCTTGACCCCACTTCTTCCTTCCAGGTCTTCTGAAGCTCTGGAAAAATCTCCCTTGGGCTGGCTCCTTTTATACCCTTTCTGCCCCAAACCTGCTGTCAGCTGATTGGTTACCCAACTTGGGGTCTCCCCTTTTCATTGGTTCTAAGCCCACCCGTTTCATTGGTCCTCGGGCCGACTAAGTCACCAATGGCGACCCAGTCTTCTCGGATGATGCTCATTGGCTGAAAACGGCAGGGTTTTGAACTCCAGAATTTGAATAAAGAGTGCAGAAGCAGTTTAAATGCTCCAAATAATGAACTGATGCTTGAAATTAATTTATTCTTATTTTTTTTAAAAAAACCTTCTTTAAAATAAACGGGGGAATTTGAAAGGCCAAATCAAGCCACCGGGTGGAAAGCAGGGGAGGGATTGCCCTCCAGCGTGGATGTTTAATCTTTTAAATGTATAAAAATTTAAAACAATAGTTGGTTAGCTGTTTCTGCACCAATTCATGATATACATATACATATACTTAGTCCTTGTTTAATGACCACAATGTGACTGGCAACTTGGTTGTTAACAGAAGCAGTCTTTATATATAACATATTTATAAATTTATGTTTATAAATACCTTTTTATTTATATAAAGATACATAAGTTTATATATTTTAATATATAATTGATATGTGTGTTGTGTGTGTGTGTGTCAGACAGAGGCACATCTAGAGGTGCTTTGTGAATTAAAACGAATAAAAGATAACAAGTAAGGCCATCAGTGTAAGGGAGTGTGCTGTTTGTTTTCTGTTATATGCAGCAATTCGCCCATTAGCACTGATAACGTTCCCTAGTTGGATCATGAAACGTCTGCAAGAAAACCACCCAGCTCAGAGAGCTCCAGGGACCTTACAGTTCTTGCAAATATTCTCTTCTGTTGAATGTATTTATTTATTTCTCCATTTCCGACCATCTCTCTTTGCAGGTACGCTGATCCTGGTGGCAGGCTTCTTCTTCGCACGACGGTCGGTTAGCCGGGTCCTCTTGCTCCGCGGCAGTCAGGAGGTGACTTTTACGACCTATTACCTCTTCGGCTACACTTCATCCTTCACGGTGCCCCTTCGCCACGTCTGCTGCCGGAACCACCGTTCGGAGGTGGCCGCCATCATCCCGGTCAAGATCAAAGGGAAACCTTTTTATTTCTTGCTGGACAAGCAGGGATCGATCGCCAGCAATCCACTTTTTGACATCACCGTGGGGGCCTATCGCGAATGGTGAGGTCCGTGTCCAGGGGCTACGACGTGCCCGGAGGCTGCTGGAAGAAGCGAGAGAAGGGAAAAAACGCAGACATTAAAATCCAGAATTGACAGCTCCTTCCCTGTAGGAACTTTTGAATTCCATCCTCGCCCTTCTCCTCGTCTTCAAATTAAGAAAAAGAAAGACCCTAAACACAGGAAGCCGGAGCAGCTAAGAAGACAAAAACGACGCTCTTTTACTCGAATTGTACTTGATCCTGGGTGTTGAAAATACAGGAAGCCTGTGGTTTCAAATACGTGTCTGGTCTCATCACCCAGGCTGGTAGGGACTTATATATCAATTGATATGTGAAGGTCTATACATTTTGCCCAGTGATGCTGATGCTGAGTGTCACCAAGGGTGATGGGCACTTGTATATAAAACTTAATGGGAATTGATATATATGAATACCTTTATCAATTTTGCCCAGCAATGTCGAGACTGGGTGTAAAAAATATAGAAAGCATCTTTTTTTTTTTTTTAAATATGTGTCTTGTCACCGAAGGTGGTGGACTGTCGTCTGTCTCTGTCTTCTACCTTTATACATCCATCCCTCCCTCCCATCCATCCCTCCCATCTATCTATGTCTAATCTCTCTGTGTGTCTATCTCACTCTATCAGCTACTTCATTCTGTCTATATCGTTCTATCTAATCTATCTCTATCTATCCGTCTGTCTATATCTACCTACCTACCTACCCATCTGTCTCTGCCTGCCTGCCTGCCTGCCTGCCTGCCTGCCTATCTATCTATCTATCTATCTATCTATCTATCTATCTATCTATCTCTATCTATCTATCTATCTATCTACCTATCTACCTATTTACCTATCTATCTAATCTATTTCTCCCTCTAGTCATCTATCATCTGTCTATCTATTTAATCTAATTATCCCAATTTTTTCTTTCTTTCTTTCTTTCTTTCTTTCCTTTCTTTCCTTTCTTTCCTTTCTTTCTTTCTTTCTGTCCCTTTCTCTCTTTTTTCTTTAATCATCTTTAATTCTTTCTGTTTCTGTCTCTGACTTTTTTCTTTAAGTTCTTTATGTCTTACTTTCCCTCCCTCCCTCCCCCTTCCTTCCTTCCTTCCTTCCTTCCTTCCCAGCAATGCCATTAGCTCTCTCCCGCCCATAGCCAAAGCTGAGCCCCCACGTTTCAGCGCTGGGCCCCAAAGCTTTGAAAGCCAAATTTACATTTCATTCTTCCTCTGAAGAATGAAGTCCAGCAATTTGGATGAACTCATAGCGCACCTCAAAATGCCTGCATTTTTTTTTTTTTTTTTGTAGCCGGAGAGGGTGAAAAAAAAATAAAAACCCCTATTCTGTTACCAGCAAGGCTGGATTATTTTGGAATAATAAGGGGGAAACCCTACCCCCAGCCTCTTTGATCTAACACCAAGAGAAGGGATCTGCTTTAATCCTCCTCCTCCTCCTCCTCAGCATCCTTGCTTGCAGCTGCCGTTGCCACGGCAACCTCAGTCTCGGCAGGGAGAAACATCCAAAATGGCGGCTCCAGGGACTGCAGAGATGGGTGGTGGGGAGACCCCAGCCATGGTTCACGGGGGGTCGGACCCCGAAAGAGAGACGGGGCAGCAAGGAAGCCGAGGTAAGCCATTTCAGGATTTATGTATTTATTTATTTATTTGCAGCCGTTACATTATTCGTTGCACGAATGTCTTTTAAAAAATATTTATTTTGCATCTTTGAGGCTGGGGAGGATGGGCATGGCAGTCCAAAGGGCTGGGTTGGGGAATCCAAGGTAAGAAACATTTCCGGCTTCTTTCAATTCCTTTATTTCTTTGGATGCCTCAGACTGCAAGATGGAGGCATATACATGACATAAGCCAGTATATTGAATTTATACGCTGTCCGTCTCCTGCTGCAAAACAGCAGTTTTTCCTTTATGTTGTTGTTCTTGGTTTTTTGGGGGGGGGGTCCTTTTATACAAGTGAGAGGCAGGATGAGTTGTCACCTGCACAACAGCCTGACAAGGTAGGCTTAAGCCAGGAGACTGTCAGGCTTGCCCATCCAAACAAATTCCCAGCATGATGTTTTTGCACCCAAGGTGGTTTAGAAACAGAAATTGGATCTCCATTCTTCCATCACCACCCCATCCCACCCCACCCCGAAAAAAAATCCCAATTTCTGCTTTTTTTTTGGCACTTCTTTTCTGTGGCACCTCTATTTTATTTTTATTTTTTTATTTTGACTTGAGTTCATTATTATTCTAAGGGAGCAAAAAATGAGAATTTTAAGAGGTGAAGCTTCCTCCCCAATGAATTTGCACCAGGCTTTCTCTCTGAACATGGCCTACCTCACAAGGTTGTGGTTCTGGGGAATAAAATAAAGGGAGATTCCATTAAATGCCACAAGGAGAAGCAGTGGAATAGCCCTCAAAACCTAAGAATGGCTGGTGATTGCAAACCACAGATGGCCCTCAGCCTCTTGCAATTGAGCGATGGGGATTTCGTCAATTGTGATGGTGGCTTGATTAGATTTAGTGCAGCGTAATGCAAATAACACGTAATTTATCTAAATATTATAATATTTAGATATAACTTGCCTTCATTTGTGAAATTGATTAAAGCTGCCAGCTCTAAAAGACTAAGGTCCACTAGAAAACTGAGCCTGGCTTTAGGGAACTATTTAAATTTATAGAGGGAGGTGGCCGTAATGCATTTAATAAATATTTTCTGGGGCTTTTGTGGTTTTTGAGGAGACACAGTTCTTTGCATTTTTGATCTTTTTTTTTTTTTTTGCAAAGACTTTAAATCTACTTCTCTCTCTATCTTAACTTTCTTTCTCCACCTATTTACCTTTCCGGGCTCTCCCTTATCCATTGTTTTTTTCTCTTTTTTATCTCTTCTTCTCATATCTCTCGTTTCTCTCTGGATTTGCTGAGAGTTTGTTTTCCTTATCTGAAAGGTGAGCTTTGGCAGGACATAAGAGTTCTTATGAGATGTCGCTGGTCTCACCTTTGACGGAGGAGGGCAGAGTCCTGGCGTCATGCTGGCTTGGTTGATTTGTGGGGGAGGGTTCGATCCAAGATTTTATTTTAAGATTATTAAACAGAACATTAAAAAGCAATGCAAGCTAAGGGGAGAAAGAGAAAGGGGGAGGAAAAGGGAGGGGAGAAGGAAGGAAGGAAGGAAGGAAGGAAGGAAGGAAGGAAGGAAGGAAGGAAGGAAATTAAGAGCTGGTGCAGGAGAGAGGGAGAGAAAGATAGATGAAGGAAGGAGGGAAGCGAGGAAGGAAGGAAGGAAGGAGGAAATTAAGAGCTAGTGCAGGAGAGAGAAAGATGAAGGAGGGAAGTGAAGAAAGGGGAAGGAAGGAAGAAAAATGAGAGCTGGTATAGTAGAGAAAGATAAAGGAGGGAAGGAAAGACATTGAGAGTCTGGGGAGAAGGAAGGAAGGAAGGAAGGAAGGAAGGAAGGAAGGAAGGAAGGAAGGAAACAGTTGCATGTGAGAAAAAATGAGAAGGAAGCTTAAAAAAGAAAGCAAGTACTGTGTAAGAGGAGACAGGAAGCATGGAAGGAAGGAGAGACTAAAAATGAAGAAAGGAAAAGAAAAAAAAAGAGAAAAAAAGATTGTTTACGCCAGTTCTAAGTACAATCATACTTTTACTTCTTACAACATAACCTCTCTCCTATCCATAATCCTTGTCTAATCATTAGAAACATAAACCATAAGTTGATTTTTTTTTCTGTTTTATGGAAAGCCTACAAAGGGTTGCCAATAGGCAATAAAGGTAGATAATTATCTTCTCTAATCAAAGAAGTCCATTTAGCCATCTCAGCAAGTTCGGTCCCTTTCAGCCACCCTCCCTCCCTCGTGGGTCAGGCCAAATCTTAACATCCTTGTGCCTACAACAAGGTTGTGGTTTTCTGTCTCTGTTGCTGAGCCTAGCTCAGCTCTGTATGTTTGCTTGGCAGACAGAAAGGTCTGGATTTGGCCTTTAAAAAAAGATCCAGGACAGATCACCCTCCGGGGAATCCAGACAGCTGCCTTGCGTAAGAAAATCTTGTACCGGTTTGGCGCTATGAAACCTGATCTCCCGAATACTGAACAGTATTCAGTAATACGATTTATAACTATTGGTAGCAACCAAGTTACAACACCACTGAAAAAAGTGATTGACAACCAGTCCTCGCACTTATGACCATCACCGTGTCCCAGAGTCACGTGATCAAAATGTGGGCGCTTGGTAAACCAGCACGAGATCCCAGAATCGCCATTGGTGATCTTCCCAGCCGGCTTCCAGCAGGCAAAAAAATCAATGGGGAAAAGTCAAGATTCGCTTAAACCGTAGCCAAAAAAGGTCGTAAAATCAATGGGAATCGGAACATCTCACTTAGCAACACATTCCAGTCCGAATGGTCGTAAACCGAGGACTCTAAAATGGATCCCATTCCAGTTGTCCAATCTGGACATCTAGCCAAAGATACTCATTTTACAAATGACCCTTTTGCACTCTTTTCCCAGCTTCCCTCCAAGGGTTCTCTCCCTAAATCGTCTCTGAAAAAGGATCTCTTTGGTGTTTACGTCTTGATGCAGCCTGTGATCCATGCGTGGTCTTTTCAAGCTTCCTAGAACTTTGAGATCTTTATTTGGGTCATCTGGGTACAACTGGGTGACCTTTCCCAGTTAATTTTATTCACCCCAGCCAGTAGCAACAAAATCCTGTCGATAAATATAGATCTTGCCTACCGTTGAATCCTCTGCAGTTAATATTTGGGAATTTTTTATACAGGTAGGCCACAATGACGCCCAAACTTTCTGTCGCTAAGGGGAGACATTTGTTAAGGGAGTTTTGCCCCCTTTTATGACGTTTCTTAGTTGTTAAACAAATCACCGCAGTTGTTAGTGACTCGGTTGTTAAGTGGATCGGGCTCCACCTTTTGACTTTGCTTGTCAGGTATGTGTGTGTGTTTGTGTATGTGTGTGTGTATGTATGTATGTATGTATGTATGTAGGATATAGGTGAACTTTTAAAGAAAAATGAGCTGAGTTTTAAATATTTTTTCTTTTCGTCAAAAAAACCATGAATGACCAGCAAAACTCTGTACACCAATCTATTAAGTCTGCAGTAAACAGGATGAAACTTGTCCTTTTCAGGGGCAAAAATACATTGGGACTCGTGCATTAATAATGTGCTTCTTTGTTAAAAAAAAAAAAAGTTTAAATTGGCAGGGAAGAAAACAAAGCAATTTTGGATAATTGCAAAAAGAAAGCGAGAACTCCTGAGAGTTTTTCATATAAACAGCCCAACAAACCACTTAAAAGAAAAAAAAAACGAAAAAGCTGCTTGTAAACCAGGCTTGGCACATCCTGCTAAGTTGGGACTCAATCCAACTAACTCTGATTTAATCAGATCGTGGCTTGGAGAGAGATGCGCAAGCTGGTTCGTTAAATTCATCTCCCTTTGCAATCTCTTTGATGGATGAGAGGCCTTTCTAGAGTTTTTTCCAGCTAGCGACAGATCCTTTAATCTTTCTGTCCCACCTAAGTTTTCTGTTTTCTCATCACACAGTTCTGTTTGTGTCTAGTTTTCCAACCCCTGGAGGTTTCTCCAAAGGAGGAGGGAGCTGCACAGCTGTCTGGATTGTTTATTTTGTTTTGTTTTATTTTTGATTCTGAGAATTGGTCTCGTGTTTTGGCTGGAGGGAACGTTCCCGGAGGCTGTTTGTCTGGTGAGAATCCCATGCTTGGGATGGTTGGTGGGAGACGATTCCTGCTGGGATCTGTAAGGAGCGTGGCCTGCAAATATGAAATTATGGCGTTAGAACAAGGGCTTCTAGTCCTCGGCAACTTTTAAGATACGTGGACTTCAAGTCCCAGAATTCCCCAGCTCTCCTGCTGGCTGGGGAATTCTGGGAGTTGAAGACCACCCATCTTAAAGCATGCTGGCTGGGGAATTCTGGGAGTTAAAGACCACCCACCTTAAATCAAGCTGGCTGGGGAATTCTGGGAGTGGAAATCCACCCATCTTAGAGCACGATGGCTGGGGAATTCTGGGAGTGAAGACCACCCATCTTAGAGCATGCTGGCTGGGGAATTCTGGGAGTGGAAATCCACCCACTTTAAAGCATGCCTGGCTGAGGAATTCTGGGACTTGAGGTGGGGGGGGGGCAACAGGCCATTAACTAAACCTGCTCTTTGATCTCTAGAAATCTTAGCCCAGACCTCTCCAGTTTCAAGTTTATCCTGCTGTGATGAGGGCTAGAAACTTGTTTTGTTTATCTGGAAGAAGAAGGAAGGAAGGAAGGAAAGAAGGAAGGAAGGAAGGAAGGAAGAGGGGGGAGAGAGAGAGAGAGAGAAAGAAAGAAAATTAGAAGGATAATTAGATTGAATAGATGATAGACAGATGATGGATGACTAGAGGGAGAAATAGATTAGATAGATAGATAGATAGATAGATAGATAGATAGATAGATAGATAGATAGAAAAAGAAAGGAAAGAAAGAGAAAGAAAGAAAGAAAGAAAGAAAGAAAGAAAATAATAATTTTTTAAAGTGGTTGAGGCTGTAATATTAACTAACTTCTCTTTTGCTGGAAGAATTGATTCCTACCCTTTCAAAACTTTCCAAAATAACATGTTTTTCAATAGTCCTCTTATCAGAAAACTCTCCTAAATGGGAAACTGCAGATTCCTGACCTAGAGGAAAACTCCAAAGTCCACAGCATGTTTTCACCTGCATTTCAATTCCCAGACCCCTGCAGATGAATGTGGGGAGGGGGGGGGCAGGCTATTGACAAGTTTGGCTAAGGGGTTTTGGGCGAATTCCAGCAACCCCAGCTGTGGGGATGTTATCTTCCATCTGAATGGCCGATAAACACGAAGCTGCAGTGTCAGTTCATTTTCCCCCCAGCCCTGGCCGAGATCCAGCTGAGCAGAAGAACAGGGGCAGTGGCTTTTAACTTAGCAAGGAAAGGGATTCTTGGAATCAGATGCAAGCACATGGTGTAAACACGCACCTCCGATGTTTGGGGAAAGCATGTTTTCAGGGTCCTAAACAAGCTTGTGGCCTTGTTTAAATCCACCTTCCTGCTCTGTTTGTTAGGAGACAAACATTGGCCAAATAAACATTGCCATTAAATGCGGCTTATCAGCCAATTTCCAAGCACCAGGCAGTTAGGAAACAGGGGTGGGAAAAATACGCAGATTTGAGGATTTTGATTCCACTGCTTTGATATCAGATTAAAATGCTGTAAATTTTGTCAGGGTTGAAATCCTTGGTTTTTCTGTACATATTTGAGAAGTGGCATACAGGTAGTCCTCAGGTTATGACAACAACAACAATAACAATAATAATAATTTGAATGTTCAGTTGACTGAAGTTCACGTCTAATAAATAATAATAATATAATAGTAGTAGTAATAGTAGTAGTTGTAATAGTAGTAACAATAATAATGTTGGAAGGGACCTTGGAGGTCATCTAGTCCAACCCCCTGCTCAGGCAGGAAACCCTAATTGGGACAGGAACATCCATGGCTAAGTTAGACTGTCATTAAGTGAGCCAGGCCCAATTTGGTACAGCCTTTTTTTGCTGCGGTCTTTAAATGGATCACTGCTGCCCTTAAGCGAACCGTGTCATTCAGTGAATCCCCCGTCCCCCCACCGATTGCTGGTTGGAAGCCAGCTGGCAAATGAGGATCACATGACCCCGGGAGACAAACTGCAAACATCATAAATACATGCCGAGTTTTGATCCCGCGATTACGGGGAAGTAAGAGGATCAGTTCTAAACCCCTTTTCCCAGCATCGTCCTAACTTCAAACCATCACTGAACAAAGGCTGGCTGGGGGATTCTGGGAGTTGAAGTCCCTTCATCTGGGCCAGAGGAATAAATAAACCAGGAGTCAGGTTCTCTACACAATGGTCCTTTTTAAAACAATTGCCTGAAGCAACTCAACGCTGGTTATTATTAAATCCGTAGTACAAAGAGTTGAAAGGGGGGGGGGAGTTGTTGATCCAGATCAGACAGGAATTAGCTGGCCAGATGTTTTAGGGAAGCCAACTAGGTTCCTTCTTTGTTTGTCTAAAAGTTGTTTATCTGCTTTAGAGCGGAGGGGGGGGGGAAAGGCGGGCAGGTTTTTGCAAAGCTGGGCTAATAAAGTCCAGGTTGTTTTAAGGTGGAGGAATCAGAATGAAGGATATTTTTAATTTTGGCTAAGAGAAGTCGAGGGATCGTACAGGAGCTCACTTCACCAAATTGAGGTCCTTGCAAAGATTTAGGGGAAGAGAGAGAAAGAAAGAAAAGAAAGAAAGAAAGAGAAAGAAAGAAAGAAAGAAAGAAAGAAAGAAAGAAAGAAAGAAAGAAAGAAAGAAAGAAAGAAAGAAAGAAAGAAGAGTTTAGTGCAAAGAGGCATGGTGTAGTGTTTATAATGCCTTGGTAAGGCCACACCTGGAATACTGTGTCCAGTTTTGGTGTCGGTTGTTATTGTCGATGGCTGTAAATGTAGGGGGTCTGCATTCTCCACCCATCTCACAGAAGCCTCCCGCAGACACTTGGCAAAGCCGCCATTGAAAGCCGAGAACAATAGATCACTTCTTGCAATTGTGCAAAGAGGATGTTTTCTCCTTTGATTCCCCCCCCCCAGAAGCGGTGGTTGATGGAGTGTGCAGCCCTGACACAAACACACATACACACTGCAACATACCCATTTCTGGTGTGTTTCTAAAAAAAATGAAACTTTAGCCCAAGGACAAGATCAAAAGGACTTGAGCGCTGTGAAAGTATTAAGGTTTATTTCCTCTTTAATCGTGTTTCTCAACCTTGGCAACTTGAAGAGGCTTCAACTCCCAGAATCCCCCATCCAGATTTAAAATGGGTGGATTTCAACTCCCAGAATCCCCCATCCAGATTTAAGATGGGTGGACTTCAACTCCCAGAATCCCCCATCCAGATTTAAGATGGGTGGATTTCAACTCCCAGAATCCCCCATCCAGATTTAAGATGGGTGGACTTCAACTCCCGGAATCCCCCTCGCCGTGGTTTAAGATGGACATCAACTCCCAGAATTCCCCAGCATCCACTCATCATAAAGTTGAGAAACACTGCAGATTTGCTATCTGGAGTCTCAATACTTTCTTGGGTGCCAATGATTAAACTCTGGTTTAACCATTAAACCAGACTTCCCTGAGGCCAGCAAAACTCTTCAATGACCCCCAGCCTATCCATCCCCAAGCCTCACAAAGCTGTCATTTTTGAATGAGACAGAAAAGGGAAATTCCTAAATAATTGGAAAGCTATCCCCGCTCATTAAAGACAATTAAACCGACATTTAAGTTAGTTTTTTACCCAAGATTTAAAGTGGTTCTATTTTTTTAAAAAAAGACTTCCACCTAACATAGCATAGGAAAAAAAAAGTGGGATATTTAAACACGGAAACGGTTCCACATTAGGGATAATCGGAATTAAGAACGGGGCCAAGCGGAAAGCAGCTTTCATGCTTTCGTGAATGCTTCCGGCCTGGAAGGTTTTAAGCAAGCCTCCAGTGTGAAGAGCAGTCTACCTGCAAGTATTCTTACTGAGAAAAAAAGTTCCCAGCTAGCACCCAGGGGGGGCATTATTCTCTGCCATGGGTTGAAGCAATGGGTAGGCGAGTCACCCCCTTCGTACATTGCCCCCCCTCAAAGAATGGAAAGCGTTTGTAAGGGGCTAGGTCTGCGGATACAAAGCCTCCAGGTCTAGGGGCAATCTACCTCTGCCCAGGTAGCCAACACCAACGTTATGGCACCTTGGACAGCGCCGATGCAGTTGCAATGCCCCAGCGATGTCTGGTGTCTTTGGGCCGGTGGGGGTCTGGCAGAACCTCCCCGTCTCATGGAAGTCTACCTGGAAATCTAGTCACTCCCATTCTTCCTGGGCTGAGCGTGGGAGAAAGCCTCGGCCGGCGGGGATCCGATCCACCTTAAGGGAGCCCGGGAGGCGGATCAGGGGGGCGGAGGCTCCCTCTGACTCTACTTGAGCTGCCGGCTGGCTGGATCGGGTTCTCAGATCAGATCTAACCGTATTCCCCGCGGATCTCCAGGTCGAAAAGCAGCTTGGCGTCCGCTTTCTTCCAGGTAGCGTCCGCTTTCTTCCAGGTAGCGCTTGGTTGGGGCCGGGGATGATGGGAGGTGGAGGGGCGACGACCCTCCCGATTTCCTCCTCGCAGAGGGATCGAGTCACCTAAAAGAGATCAAAACTGCCTTGAAAAGGATCTCTCTGAAACCCCACCTGGGGCTGCGAGATGGTTGCCTTGTTCCCGCAGGCCACGTGGGGCTCCCCTGCCCATATTCCCCAGCCGCCAGGAGGATGGGATTTGTGATGGGGGGGGAGAGCACCGATTCTGGAAAGGTCTAAACCAGCGTTGTTACCCCTATCCTGAACGCAGTGTCTCCCCGGAGTGAGAAATCTAGTTTTAAGGCTACCCCCTCACTCGGAAAACTAGCTTCTCAGGCTCTCCTCCCAGAGAGAAGACTAGCTTCTCAGGCTGTGAAAAGGTTTAGAGTAGACCAGCGTTGCTTCACTTATCCTTAGCACCAGGTCTCCCCTGTAGGGAGAAGGCTAGCTTCTCGGCTTGTCCCCGCAGCCAGAAGACTAGCTCCTCAGGTCCTCCCCGCAGGCAGAAAACTAGCTTCTCAGGCTCTGTAAACATTGCTCCACTTATCCTTAGCGCAAGGTCTCCCCTGTAGGGAGAAAGCTAGCTTCTCGGCTTCTCCCCGCACTCAGAAGACTAGCTCCTCAGGCTGTCCCCTCGGAAGACTTCACCTCAGGGTCTCCTTTCCGCAGGCGACAGCATGAGCTCCCCCGGCGTGACTCCCGAGCTGGACATGAAGGACGTGGAGCTGAACGAGATGGACCCGGAAAAGCAGCCCATGAACGCCTCTTCGCCCCCGGCCGGCTCTCCAGGCAGCCTGGGCGAGAAGAACGGGGTAGTGAAGGTGAAGATGGAGGAGGAGGATGAGGAGGCCAAGATGGCAGCCAGCTTCACCGGCTTGACCAAAGAGCAGCTGCTCCAGGTGGCTGGCACCCCCGGCTGGGTCCGTACCCGCTGGGCCCTGCTGGTCCTCTTCTGGCTGGGCTGGCTGGGCATGCTGGCGGGGGCCATCGCCATCATCGTCCAGGCCCCCCGCTGCAAAGACCTGCCCAAGCAGGACTGGTGGCAGAAAGGAGGGATCTACCGGATCCTGCAGGTGGAAGGCTTCCAAGATTCGGGCAGCGACGGCACAGGCGACCTGGCAGGTGAGTTGGGGATGATGGGCTATGGTGGTGTAAAAGGAGTCAGCCTTGAGCCCCAAGACTCTCTCTCTCTCTCCTCTGGCTGTGGTGGGGATCCATCCAGCTCCTGGCCAAAGGGATCTCCTTGCTTGGAATTCTTGAAAGATCTCGGGATCTTTCTGCAATCATATAAGGTCTAATCAAGACCTGGGTTGATTGGGGCTGCTCCCTTAACCCTAAATGACAATTTAAGTTTGGGGAGGGGTCCTTAATTTGGGGGTGCTTCCACTTCCCCACTCACGACAGGTGGATCTGTTCAAGGTCTTCTTCTTCGTCTTGGATCCCTCCTTTCTCTCCCCATCCCCCCAAAATATATCCAGAATCTGCTCCAAAGCCAGTGGATTTTAAAGAAAGGGAATCTGGAGACCCCCCCCCCCAGGGGTCATTTGGGGACGAGACATTGCTGGAATGGGGAGGGGGCTTGGATGGTTGGGGGGGAGATCGCCCCCCCCATCCAACTTGAAGGAAAGCCATGCCAGTTGCCGCCAGGCCGCCCTGCTCAAAAGCCAGTTTTAGCCGGCTGGGGCTTTTCCTGTAGTAACTGCTGAGTAGTGTTTCATCAGCTCTTGACGTCAGTGCAAAAGCTGAGTCAGCTCCCGGCTGGTTGGGTGAAAGACAGTCTCCTCTCCTCCTCTCTCTTTATTCCTCCCCCCCCTTCACACACACACACAAACGCACACACACCTTTCCTTTTTTTTCTTTCCTCTCTTTCATTCCTTTCTTTTGTTTTGCTTTGTTACATTCCTTGTCTTTCTGTCTTGAATCTTTTTTTTTCTTCCCTTCATTTCTTTCGTTCATTGCCTTCCTGTCTGTCTGTCTTTGGTTTCTTGCTTTTGTTGTCTTTCCTTGTCTTTCGTCTGTCTGTCTGTCCCTTTCTCTGACTTTTTTCTTTAATCGTCTTTAATTCTTTCTCTCTTTCTGCCTCTGACTTTTTTCTTTAATCGTCTTTAATTCTGTCTTATTTTCCTTCCTTCCTTTCCTTCCCTCCTTCCTTCCTTCTCTCCTTTCTTTCTTTCTTTCTTTCTTTCTTTCTTTCTTTCTTTCTTTCTTTCTTTCTTTCTTTCTTTCTTTCTCCTCTCCCTTCCCTTCCCTTCCTCTGTTCCTTGAATTTTTAAGACACTTTTCTGCTGGATTGATGTCCTTTGACCCATGGCCCACACTTTTCCAGGAATTTGCTCCGATGTTGTGAAACTCCACAAACAGTTGCTGATCTTGTGCAGTTTCTCTGGAGGCTCCCTCTCACCCTCTGGTGTTGTCCCTGACTTTGCAGAGTTTCAACCTTCCAAAAGAGAAGTATTCCACAGCAAGGCAAATCCGGGCAGCAACAAATGCAATAGTGGCCTTAAAAATAAAACAATTGCTCGTTGTTTAGATCTTGACAAGATTATATATTTTACTGTAACTCCACCACAAATGTTCATGGCCCACATTTTTTTCCCCAGCCTGTTTTTTGCAGTCTTGAGGACCGGAAACTTGAGTTCCTATTGTTTCTAATTAAGCCTCTTTGTAACATCCTTGTAATATAGAGCATCCTTGTTGCAAAGGTTGACCCTGGGCATAAGAGGTTCAAAACAAAAACAAGGAAACGGCATGCCTCTTGTCCCCATTGGATGCCCACAACAATCTTGCAAAGTAGGCCAGGCTGAGAATAAAGAATGGTTGGGGCCCTGCCCCATTCATTTTGCTCGGAGCTCATTAACCACTGACCCATAATGGGTTAGGACTTGTTGGATTGAAGTGGAGGCGTTTGATGATGGATGCCACACCCAACGCCCAACGCCAAACTCAAACCAGCCCAAACTTGATAACAGCCACAGTCCTATAAACAGACATTTCGACTGGAGGATGGAAAGGAAGGTGGTTGAGATTTGAGGCAGTGAGTCCGGCCTGATGCATTTCCTCAGGAGCCAAGCCCTTACAGAAAGTTAAGATTGATGGGGTTCTGGAAGGTCCTCTAGTCCAACCCCTATTTGGGGTGCAAATTCGCCCTCTGCTGTGCCTTCCAAAGGATGCAATTTGTAGCCGGATTTGTCTCTTGGTCTTCTAAATCTAAAATTTCCCCAACTGCCTGTTGTGATTGTGCAACTACACTCAGCAGTTAACCTGCTCAAGCAACTCGCAGTTAAATGCTCCACAATTCCTCTCTTTTCTGAGTTGGCTCGCTGAATAAATTCTCTGCTCCATTTCCGTTCGGATTAAATGCAGATCACGGCAGCCCAAAACGGTTCAACGGAGCAAGTTAAAAGGATTAAAAAGTAAAAAAAAACAAGCCCGAATTGCTTATTCAGGCTGGCAATGTGTAACCTTGAGGCAAAGATTAGACAAAGCATTTGGCACGCATGTTTGAGTTTGCAGAACAGAATCTGGGATGCTGGCCAGGACCGAAGACTTCTTCTCTGCCCGCTCTGGATGAAACTGGGTTTATGTTGAAAACCAGCGGCTGGATGTGACCTGCTTTCTTTTGGAACCGATCCAGATTTTATTTCTGGGCTTTGCAGTTTCTCAATTTAATCGGGCAGGTTTTATCAGAATACGTAAAATTATTCTTCCAGTTAAGAAGTTGCAACTCTTTTACAAATAACCCTGGACTTCTATAACTACAATCGGGACCAGGATTTCTGCGGCTAAGCCGGGTGGTTGTTAATGTGAGTTTGTGCCCAATTTGACGATCTTTTGGGCCCCGGTTGGTAAGCGAATCCCTGCCATTCTAAGTGAACCGTGTGGTCATTAAACAAATCTAGCTTCCCACATTGATTTTGCTCATCAGAAACCGGCTGGGAAGATTTATGGGACCCCGGGATGCCATAACAGTCATAAACATGTGCCGGTTGCCAGGCGTCAGAATTTGGATTACGTGAGTGTGAGGACGCTGTGACGGTCATAAGCATGAGGATCAGTCCTGAGTCGTTTTTTCCAGGGCCATTGTAACCTAAATTGATGGTTATAAGTTGAGGACTAGCAGCATTACCTCTTCCCATGGAGTCTCATCTTATTTTCAGAAAACGGGGCACGCTGATCTTGTTACAGGACGTAATCCTCGACTTAATGACGGTTCATTTAGTGCACATTCGAAGTTACAACTTTGAAGGGGCAGGAAAAAGGGACTTAGCACCGTTTTTCACACTTTACGACCGTCGCAGCCTCCCCGTGGGTCACGTGATCAAACTCCAGAGGCTGGGCAACCAACTCAGATTTATGACGGTTGCAGCGTCCCGGGCTCACATGATCACCTTTTGCGACCTTCTTACAAGCAAAGTCGATGGGGGAAAGCCATTGATTCATTTAATGACCGTGTCAATAGCTTAACAACTGCGGTGATCTCCTTAACAACCGTGGCCAGGAAGGTCATAAAATAGGGCAGAACCCACTTAACAACCGTCTCTCTTAGCAACAAAAAGTTGGGGCACAATTGTCGAGAGCCACCCACACAAATCGTCAGAAGATTTTGCTTGGGCGCTAAAGAGAGGTCTGAAAATGTCATTATTTTGGGTGGGCCTTGGGGTAAACTTGGCTTCCTTTTTCTTCCCTTTAGGGGTGAAAGAGAGGATGAGCTATTTAAGCAAGCTGAAAGTGAAAGGTTTTGTGATCGGCCCTCTGCACGTGAACCCCGAGGATCAGCCCTACAGCACCAATCTCCAAGACGTGGACCCAAAACTGGGCACCTTACAGGACTTCCGGGATGTTGTGCAGGCCGCAAAGAAGAAAAGTAAGTGGGAAAAATATATATATTTATTTCAATGCATTATGTTTTCTAACATAATGTATTTCAGTGTGTGTGTGTATAATATATATATTTGTGTATGTGAGAGTGTGTGCGTGTGTACACACACAGCCTGCACAAATTAAACCCTCTTAAGTTGGTTAACATGAGCTTTTTAGAATCCAGAGCTTAATGTTGATATAATTTTTTTTTGCTATCTTTAAAGATTTTAGTTAGCTAACTCATCATTGTGTTAATACAGCGCTTAACGTATCTTTATCTTTTATTTGTTTAATTGTAATTACTTTGATGCAAACCGGCTAGAATTGTTGAAAATTGGGTGGCATACAAGTTTAATCAGTGCTTTTTTTGTAAAAATAAATAAATAAAAGGTGCCGGAACTCACACACGTCTTACAACCCGCCTTGCCTACCCTACAAGGTTCCATCCCAAAAAAGTGCCGGAACTCCATTCTGGGCGTTCTATGACAAAAAAAGCCCTGAGTTTAATTAATAATAATAATCCAGTCTAAATATCTGGCTGACTGTGCAAGGAATTATAATAAGAATAATAATCTCCAGTTAATACTGTTTAAGGATCACCGTGCCTAAGTTAACATTTGTTTTGTGCCTTGCAAGACAATAAAACAATATATTTTTTTTCCCAAAAGAAGGAAGAATATTTTGGAGGTTGCACTGGTTATGCAATTTCATGAAAAATATATTTTAATTCCCTTCCTGTTGACAGTATTTGTCTCATTTCTCAATCAGCCTGTGATGTTCTGAAGTTAGACGGTGAACAAACAAGGAAGGGTAGGGCCTATATATTTCACAACTAAGGCTATGTAAATATACATTTAATTTAATTTAAATACATTTTAAACAGGGCTTTATCGATTGACTCATCCTAAATGTAGGCCAGGTTTCAACCTGAAATATTGTTTTTTTCTGTTTTGGCTCTGCCCAAAAATCGAATGGAAATAAAGTTAAAACAAGAATGGGTTGAAGCAGGCGTGACTTTTGTTCACGGATATAGCTCTACAGGAAGTCCTCAGCTTACAACTGTTTGTTTAGTGACAATTCAAAGTTACCAACGGCACTAGAAAATAGGACTTAACGAATGTTTTTCACACATAACAACAGATGCAGCCTCCCCAGGGTCACGTGACCTGCTAACTAAAATCTTTAAAGATAGCAAAAAGAAAAAAGAAAAAATAAGATTTTATATCAACATTAAGCTCTGGATTCTAAAAGGCTCACACTAACCAACTTAAGAGGGCTTAAATTGTGCATCTAAAGGCGCTCTGGACAGTGAGATGGGCAGCAGATCAGTTGAACAATAGATAAAAATATGTATAAATAAAAATAAAGTTGATAAACAGCTGCCTAGAGCATTGTTTCTTTGTTGCGGCCTATCTTGCTATAGGGCTACTCTAGGCAGTTTAAAAATATTTCAAAGTATTTCATTACATAATAGCAGTTCTTGTTTTAAGGTCTGTACTTGTTGCTTACTCTTACTAAAAAGAAACAAAAAAGAGGAAAAAAATTGTCCCCAAAAGAAATTACAATTAAAAGTGATTTGTTGTGAGGTAACCTATCTCTTTTTCAGGTTTAAAGGTTATCTTGGACCTGACGCCTAACTATCGTGGCCAGTTACCCTGGTTTAGCCCAGATGTGTGGCTTAAGAGTGACTTCCAGAATAAAATGAAAGTAAGTGAGGAAAAGAGGGTTTCCCAATGGAAAGAAAAAAAAACAACTAGAAAATTATGAGGATCTAATCAGGGAATGTGTAGTTAATACAAGTAGATCTCTGTTTACAACTGTGCATGCGTGACTAAAAAAGTGACTTAGGACCAGTCCTCACACTTACGACATCCCCACAGTCATGGGATCAAAATTTGAATGCTTGGCAAACCAGCATGTATTTACAACGGTCGCAGGGTTTCGGGATCAGCTGATCACCATTTGTGACCGACAAGCCACGTCTGTGAAGGAAGCCGGATTCGCTTAACGACCGTGTGTGATCCACTTAAGAACTGCCACGATCTGCTTAACAGCCCTGACCGGAAAAGGTCGTAAAATCGGGCACTTATCAACCGCCTTGCATTTAGCAATTGAAATTCGGGTGCCAGGTGTGGTTGTCAGCCAAAGACTAGAATCTTGGGAAGTTGTTTTAAGCTGGGAATATCTTTGCTGGTGCAGCTCCATTAAAACCCAATATTTTTTTTTTCTTGACCCAAACTTAATTGGCCGAGATTGGAGGGGAAGGCAATCCAACTGTCACAGCTCGGTTTAAGGGGGGAGCGTACTGTGAGATCACTGAGGACTATTAACTTGTTCTGTTCTTGCCATCCACCCTACAGGAAGCAATTCAGTTTTGGCTGAGGGAAGGAGTGTCTGGGATCCAAATCGGAAGTGTGGAGCATTTAAACGTAAGCAGGTTCGCCCCTCCTCAGCCCCCTTTCCAGCTGGGGGCTTGACTGCTGCTGTCCCTTTAAATTTCATCGACCTTGCAAGGTCTTGCAGAGTTGCAGACTGGAAAGCCAATTGCCAGGGGTCTCTTGTTTTGGGGGAAAGGGGAGGTCCCGTGCAAGGAGGATAATGTAGGGGTGCTAAAACCTGGGGAGGGAGACTCCAGTCTTAACCAACACCCCGCAATCCCGTTTATTCGACAGGATTCCCAACTCTTGAGCGAGTGGAAGAACTTAACGGAACAAGAGAACATTGATGATCAGGCCAGGTAGGTGAAAATGGGCAATGCTGTCTTAACAACCGTCTTCTTCCTTCCTTCCTTCCTTCCTTCCTTCCTTTCTTCCTTCCTTCCTTCCTTCCATTCATTCATTCTTCCTTCCTTCTTTCCTTCCCTCCTTCCCTTTCCTTTCTTTCCTTCTTTATTCCTTCCTTCCCTCCCTTCTTCCTTTTCCTTTCTTTCTTTCTTTCTTTCTTTCTTCCTTCCTTCCTTCCTTCCTTCCCTCCCTTCTTCCCTTCCCTTTCTTTCCTTCTTTATTCCTTCTTCCCTTTCCTTTCCTTACTTCCTATTTCTTTTTTCCTCTTTCTTTCCTTTTCCTTCCTTCCTTTCTTTTTTTATTTCTTTTCTTCTTTCTTTTCCACTTAACAATGGAAATTCTGGTCATAAATCAAGGACCACCTATACTTCTTCTCTTACAGGGTCCTGATTGCCACGACTGATCTTAGAGACCCTCAAGAGGTTTTCTCGCTTTTGAACGAAACCTCCGGGGTGGACCTACTCACCAGCCAGTACCTTCAGGAGCTGCTGAGACCTGATCAGAACGACACCGCCCTGGGAAACACAGCCCAGAAACTGATCCTAAATTATATCGAAAAAGCTGGAAGCCGATGGCTCGGCTGGAGCGTACGTTTCAAGCTTTGGGATCGAACTGAGATGTTTAAAGGAGAATATTTGTAGCTTAGATGTGAAACGTGGGCTCTTTGGTGCTTTCTGAGCTTGAGAGTTTTCCTGCAGACATTTCATTACCCAACTGGGTAACAGTCTCAGTGCTAGAAAGTTTGCAGAGAGGAGGAGGAGGTGGAAAGGAGGGAGGGAGGAGGAGGAGGACGACGACGACGACAACTGTGGGCTCCTTGGTGCTCTCTGAGCTTGGTGGTTTCCTTGCAGACGTTTTATGACCCAACTAGGTAACAACATCAGTGCTAGAAGGGAGAAGGGTTGGCAGGGAGGAGGAGGAGGACGATGACAACTGTGGGCTCCTTGGTGCTCTCTGAGCTTGTGGTTTCCTTGCAGACGTTTTATGACCCAACTAGGTAACAACATCAGTGCTAGAAGGGAGAAGGGTTGGCAGGGAGGAGGAGGAGGACGACGACGACGACAACTGTGGGCTCCTTGGTGCTCTCTGAGCTTGGTGGTTTACCTGTAGGTGTTTCATGACCCCAAATAGGTAACATCATCCGTGCCGGTGCTAATTCCCCTTTGTGACTCTTGCCTCCCTTTGTTAACTTTTATACAAACTTTTGAAACACTGACACGACAACCTGTTGCGTAACTCAGCTTGTTTTTCTTCGCTGGGATGCTAACGGTCTCTCTTCTCCCCTCCCTTCCCCGCAGATGGGTAGACCTGATTTTGGACATTTGGCCCAATCTATGGGGGAGCAGCTGCTTCGCCTCCACCATCTACTCCTTTACACCCTGCCCGGGACCCCCTTCACGGATTACGGAGATGAAATTGGCCTGCGGGACACTTTGGGGCAGGTAAGACCAGCCTCAGAAGGTCGATGGTGAGGGGGGTTCATAGGATGCCAGGCGACAAGGTTAGCGGCGACGTGAGGTGGGTGTGCTTGATGATTTTGCACTGTGGGGGGCTCTTCCAGCAACAACCCTCTTTAATTTCTCCTCCAGCCTGCATCCTCCAACATCACACGCATGCAATGGGACAACACGGCGAATTACGGATTCTCACGAGGGCCGCAGCAGGTGGCTGAACCTGAGGCCAGCAACGTCACTGTGCAGGTAAGAAAAATGTTGTGGGAGGGAAGCTAATTTTCCCAGGTAAAAGGAACGACAAAAATTTGGGGCAGAGATTCAGGCCAGAGGGTAGAAAACAGGAGAATGTGAGTTGTAGTCCTGCCTTAGACATAAACGCCATCTGGGTGACTATTGGGCCAATCACCAGGAGACAGCGAGTTCTAGTCCTGCTTTAGACATAAAAGCCGTCTGGGTGACTTTGGGCCAATCGCCAGGAGACAGTGAGTTCTAGTCCTGCTTTGGTCATGAAAGCCGGCTGGATGACCTTCAGCCAGTCCCCCTCTCTTAGCTTTATAATAATCATCATAAAATAGAAAAAGTCATTGAGAATGAAGAATAGCGAGGGGTGCTTTGAGTGAATCTCAAAATCTCTGGACCATCCCTTGAACACCATTGGCATTGACAACATCCCCGTTGGTCAATTGCAAAAGGCAGCTTGCCTCGGAGTGGCTTCCAGGTGACACTAGGTGCACACGCAAGCGATTGATTTCCGCCTGTGTTTTTTTCTCTTCCAGGCCCAGCAGGGCCACAAGGGGTCCATCCTGAGCTTCTTCCAAGAACTGAGCGAGCTCCGAACGAAGGAGCGCTCTCTTCTGCACGGCAACTTCAACCTGGTGCAAAGCTCTAACCCAGCGGTCTTCTCCTACCTTCGGATCTGGGACCAGAACAAGCGATTCCTGGTGGTGCTCAACTTCGCCTACCAGGAGATCTCGATCTCTCTCCTTCACTCTCATCTCCCACCCCAAGTGGACGTGGAGCTCAGCACCCACGCCAGCCGGGAGGAGAAGCAGCTGGATTTGCAGAACCTCAAGCTCCTTCCCTCGGAAGGCCTTCTCCTCAGCTTCCCCTACGTGGCCTAGTTGGTCTTCTTCCCAGCACAGTCTGGCCCATCTTCAGAAATAAGTTCCTCTAAAAGAAGATTCTCCAGTCAAGGGTGGCTTCAGATGCCTCTCCTGAACTTACTAACATCCTTCTTCTGTATCCCACCCGTCTCTATTACCCCATAGCTCAGCCTTTCTAGACCCCAGATTCCGGTTCCCACAACCAGTTGGCCGGAAGAAAGTCTAGATGGTTCCTAACCACATGTAGAGACTGAAGTGGGCCGAGGTCACCTCTGTTCCCTCAACATTCCTGGATCTGCCAATTGTCCGTAAAATTTGATATTAGCAGGTCAACACACCATCTTGGAGACAGAGGAAGATGTGAACCTTCATTCTCTCAGGCTGGAAGTGATGGGCTTCAATGAAACGATGGACTACTCAACTTAAGATGGGTGGACTTCAACTCCCAGAATTCTGGGAGTTGAAGTCCACATGTCTTTAAATTGCCAAAGTTGAAATACACTGATCCAGAATGAAACTTTGTGTTGGTCCAGTGCTATCACATATATAAATGCTTTGGGCAAAGGGGAACATGGAGACACTTCCCCCCAATTGCTTTGCCCGACCCATTTTGAGTTTGGATTAATCTTTCCTGATCACTAGTGTGAATTTTGTCTGTATGTGGCTTTCTATCGGCCTAACCCTAACAAAGTGTGCCAGCTTCTTTTTTTGTGTGGGTGGAACCAGTTTTAATAAATGTCTCTCTTCGCCTTCAGGCTCATCTGGTTTCTGTTGAGTAGGGCAGAGTCAAAGGATATGAGTCCGCCATTTTAGATCCCTTTGCGGTTTGGTTCAACTTGTATCTGGGGGAAGGAAGGGAATCACTGTTAGTTCCTTCCTTCCCTTTCTTCTTCCTAGTTTTTCTTTTCCTTCCTTCCTTCCTAGTTTTTCCTTTCCTTCCTTCCTTCCTTCCTTCCTTCCTTCCTTCCTTCCTTCCTTCCTTCCTTCCTTCCTTCCTTCCTTCCTTCCTTCCTGATTATGAGTATGGTTCTGCAAGGGATAAATATATACAGCATATATAAGCCACCTGGGAAAGCCAAGGGAAATCATCAAAACAATTAAAAAATGGAAGTTAGAATATTTCGGACATGTGATGCGACACCCAGAAAAATATGTTTGTGTGTAGGTGTGTGTGTGTGTGTTCAGCCATGTGGAGCCTAACATTAAGTTGCTTTGAAGTAGACATGTTTGGATCAGCACCTTCTCAAAAAGCTCTGGATTTGCAACAGATGGGAGTTGTAGTCCAATGTATCCCACCCATCACACATCCTGAAATACATTGTGTTGCTCCAGTGCAGCATTTCTCAACTTTCAATCATTACAAGCTGAGGGGACTTCAAATCCCAGAATTCCCCAGCCCCCCTGCAGGCATGCTGGATGGAGGATTTCTGGAAATTGGAAGTTCCCCCATCTTAATTCCCGCAGTTGTGAAACATCGCTCAGGTCGCATTTATTCTCAAGATCCTGTTGGATAAACTTAATGTATGCTTCAGTGGCTGTTTTAAATACTTAGTTGAATTATTGCTAAGCATTTATAATAATCATCATCTTTATTGATTAGCCGTGGGCCATATCAAGTTGCAGAGTTCCAAACACACGTTATATTAAAAGGCAGCGAAAACAATTTAGAATGCAATTAGTTAAACTATAATTCAGGATAAAAGAGAAATAAAATACAATGTAAAATGAAATTGGGGTCAAATACATTTTTAAAATGAAATGGGAATCAAATGCGGCAATTTAAGATGTGGATAGATAAAATAGGATAAAATTAGATTTCATTATATTTCGCTAAGCGTTTAAAATAAGTCAGGCCATTTCCCCCCCTCCCACAAGAATATTATGGGCTGTCTTCTTTTGTAAGTAGCGTTTTGCAAATTTAAGATTAGGGGATTTCAACTCCCAGAATTCCCCAGCGAGCTGGCTTTGGGAATTCTGGGAGATTCAGCTTATCCACCTTAAATATACTCCTCCCCTTTAATAACCACCTTGCTCCTTTGGGTGGCTTCCCCTTTAAATCTCCCTGTCTTTATTGACAGCCGATAGTATTTTCTTCCGGGTCGGACTTCCTTCTAGCCTAGCTCCGCCCTTTTTTTTTTTCTTTCTATCGACTTTTAAGCAGCCCCCTCGACGCAATGCAGGGGAGGCTGGACCAATGGGACCTCGTTCAGCGGGCCACGTGAAAGCAGAGGGGGCGGGGCCGCGCGCGCGGCAGAGGAAGGGCAGAGCCCGGATGTGGAACGGGGCGGCGCCAACGCAGCCGTTGCAAAGCCGGAACTCGTTGGCGGAGCGATTCGCTCGCGTGCGACGGCCGCCGCCTATCGTGGAAGGGCGCCAGGGCGCACGCGCGAGAGAGGCGGTGGCTCTTCGGCACGCGGCGGAATCCTAAAGCTGAGAGATCGCGGCGCTACTCCCTCGCTCGGTCACCATGGTGAGGGGCGACCGAATTGGGGTGGGGGGAGCGTTATCCCCCAGAAGGGGCGGGGCAAGAAAGGGGAGGGGAGGGGCGGGACTTGGAGAAGGGTCTGGCGGAGGCCCTACTTTGACCCCTCCTTCAACAAGAGGGGGCGTCTTGGAGGGCCCCCCGAGACAATAGAGGGGCTTTGATTGGGGGGGGGAGATAGACCCCGCCCTCTGAATTGGGGGGGGTTGAAGACTGGCGGAGAGGGGGGCTGTGCAGTGAGGAGCTCGTCAGAAAAAACAGGGGAATTCTGGGAGTTGAAGTCCACGCGTTTTAAAGTTGCTGAGGCCAAGAAACATTGATCTGTGCTTGCAGGGGTCTTCCAACTTGGCCCTTGTGGACTTCATCTCCCAGAATTCCTCAGCCAGGCATGCTGGCTGTGGAATTCTGGGAGTTGAAGTCCACTCCTCTTAAAGTCCATATCAGGCGTCTTCAAACGGCCCTTTTATGACTTGTGGACTTCAACTCCCAGAATTCCTCAGCCAGGCGTGCCTGGCTGAGGAATTCTGGGAGTTGAAGTCCACAAGTCATAAAAGGAACCCCTATTCTAGATACTCCACACAAGGAACTTTGCAAGCCCAGGAGATACACTAGATGCAAGAAACGGGCATGATTAAAAGGGGATTCAGACTTTTTGATTGTCTTGTTCCTTCCTCAGGCTGACCAACTGACCGAGGAGCAGATTGCAGGTGAGAATCTGTCGGTCCCTGGAAATGTGGCAGAACAGATCCAGGCAGCAGCAACAACTCGAGAACAAAGACCTGATGCTGGAAAACAGATCTCTAGTTGGATTTCTTGCAAACTCAACTGTCTTTTAGACCAGGGCTCTTCAAACCTGGTCCTTTTATGACTTGTGGACGCCTGGCTGAGGAATTCTGGGAGTTGAAGTCCACAAGTCATAAAAGGGCCAAGTTTGAAGACCCCCTGGCCAAGTCAGAAGACCTCTGACTTGTGAGTGCCACAAATCATAGTTGTTTTAAGCTTAACCAGCTTAGACAAAAGAGGCTGCAATTCGCATAATCAGCTACTCTCCATCTATAAAATGGGATCGTGTGTGGTCTCCTTTCTTGGTGGACTCTTCTTGGGAATATACAGAGCCTTGATCGCCCTGAAAGACACCCCCTTTGCTTATTTCTTTACCCTGTCTTTTGTGGCTGCTGTCATACAGTTTGATGCCCTCCAGAGGCATTAAGTATCTGTCCATGATGTCCACCCTGACTGGGTGGGGGAGAGATGGCAGACCTGTAGGGCATCTTGAAACTAGGGAAGGCTGCCGACTGAAGCCAGTAACCGGAACAACAGCTTGGGGAGCGTTTTTTTAAAATCCAACAAAATGGCCTCCTTGGCTTGGTTAAAAGTTTGGAGCGAGGGACGAAGTTGGATCTGACCTCGCCCTCTTTCCTTTTTTGTCTTTTTCTTTCAGAGTTCAAGGAAGCTTTCTCTCTCTTCGACAAAGATGGTGATGGCACCATCACCACCAAGGAGCTGGGCACCGTGATGCGCTCCCTGGGTCAGAACCCCACCGAGGCAGAGTTGCAAGACATGATCAACGAAGTGGATGCAGATGGTGAGCGGGGCTCTTCCTGAATGGCCCTGGAGAAAATAGCAGAATGAAAGAGTTGAAAGGGACCTCGGAGGTCTTCTAGTCCAACCCTGTGCTTTTGAGCACCAGGGACCGGTTCCGTGGAGAGAGTTTTTTTCCCGCAGACCAGAGGGGGCATGGTTTTGCACGCTGCCTACCTCCTGCAGATGGGGCTTCGCTTGTTTGCACGGACCAGTTTCTGGCATGTCATGGATCGGTGCCAGTCCATTAACCGGGGGATTGAGGACTCCTGCTCTTTACCATTTCAGACAAATGGTTGCCCAATCTCTTCTCAAAAGCCTCTAGTGTTGGAACACCCACAACCTCTGGTGGTTAGCAGTTCCGCTGATTAATTGTTCCCACTGTCAGGCTGTTTCTCCTTAGTTCCAGGTTGGATCTTGATGAGTTTCTATCTGTTGTTTCTTGTCCTGCCCTCTGGAGAAGAGGTTTACCCCCCCCCCCATCCCTGAGGCAGCCCCTTACACATTGCAACACTGCTATCATGTCCCCCCTCGTCCTTCTCTTCATTAAACTGGATGTACCCAATTCCAGCAACCGTTCCTTATATGCTTTAGCCTCCAGTCCCTAATCATCTTTGTTGCTCTTCTCTGCACTCTTTCTAGAGTCTCAACCTCTTTTTTACATCGTGGCAACCAAAACTGGATACACTATTCCAAGTGTGGCCTTACCAAGGCATTGTAAAGTGGTATTAACACTTCATGTGATCTTGATTTTATCCCTCTGTTAATGCAGCCCAGCACTGTGTTGGCTTTTTTGGCAGCTGCTGCACACGGCTGGCTCATGTTTTAACCTCAATTCTATCTAATTGGTAAAGCCCAAAGTCAAAGTTTGAGGTTGATAGTGCTATTTCACCGCACCAAAGAAATTAGGAAGTCAATGCCTTTTTTTTTTCTTCTCTCACTTTTCTATTCCGTTTTCCCTTCTCCATCTTTTCTGCTATTTACTTTTGAATGTTCGTTGTGTTGAATATTATAAATTCATAACAACTGACATGCGAGACTTTTCCAGACTTTCAAATTAGGGGAAATCTAGATTTATTTATTGGCAAATCTAGCATGGGGTATGTGTATGTATCTTCTCATGAATAGGTAGCAAAGAGCTGTGTTTTATTTTATTTTATTAGTTGGTTGATCTGACTAAAGAAGCTGGTTCTTTTCCCAGGGAATGGCACAATTGATTTCCCAGAATTCCTCACCATGATGGCCCGGAAAATGAAAGACACAGATAGTGAGGAAGAGATCCGTGAAGCCTTCCGGGTTTTTGACAAGGTGGGTTTGCTTAATTTAAGGGGGGGGGGACACACCCTTGTTGGAAAGTTGTGTCCACTAGTAAGAGGGGGAAGAGATAATAGAAGTAGTCTCCCACTTAGGACCTCAATGAGGACCAGAATTTCCACTGTTAAGGAGGGCGATTGTTAAGCGAGCCACAATTTTACAATCTTGTGTTTTTTTGCCACAATTGTTAAGCAAAACACTGCAGTTGTTAACATGAATCACACAGTCATTAAGTGACTGTGCTTGTCAGATGTCACAAAGGACGATCACGTGACCCCCGAGGTGCCGCAACCATCATCGCTACATGCTGGCCTAAGTAATCTGGGATTCAATCACGTGACCCCACAGATGCTAAAACAGTTTTAAGTGCAAGGACCTGTCCTAAATCCCTTCTTTCAGTGCCGTTGTAACTTCAGTCGCTAAACGGATGCTTGTAAGTTGAGGACTGCCTCTATTCTCAATCAGAATAGAGCTGGAAGGGACCTTGAAGGTCTGCTAGTCCAGCCCCCTGCTCAAGCAGGAGTCCTTCTATCATTTCAGAGGCTGTCCAGTCTCTTCAGTGAGGGAGCCCCCACCAGTTCTAGTGGCAAGCTGTTCCACTGGTTAATTGTCCTCACTGTTAGAAAGTTTCTCCTTAATTCCTGGTTGCTGCTCTCCTTGATCAGTTTCCAACCATTGTTTCTTGTCCTGCCTTCCGGTGCTTTGGAGAATAGGTTGAGCCTCTCAACATCTTTTTTGTAATGTGGTGAACAAAACTGGATGCAGTATTCTATGTGTGGCTTTACTAAGGCATTATAAAGTGGTGCTAATATTAATTCAGGGGCTTTGGAAAATAGGTTGATCCCTTCGTCTGTGTGACAACCCCTCAAAAACTGGAGGACTCCTATCACGTTCCCTCTGGTCCTTCTTTCCTCTAGACTAGCCATACCCAGTTCCTGCAAACTGTTCTTCATATGTTTTAGTGTCCAGGCCTTTAATCATCTTAGTTGCTCTTCTCTGCACTTTTTCCCCAAAGTCTCAACAACTTCTTTGTAACGTGGCGACCAAAACTGGACGCAGTGTTCCAGATGTGGCCTCCTGTTATTTGTTTTTGTTTTAAAAAAAGATTTTATTGCATTTTATAGGGTTAGGGATAGAATAGGGTCGGGATCGGGATTAAGGTTTAGGTTGGGGTTAGGATCAGGATTGGGATTGGATGAGGACAAGGTTGGGAACAACACTGGGGTTATCCCCCAATAACATTTTCAATCTTCACCAAACAGACTATTATTCAGGTACATAATGTTCGATTAACCATAGTTGATAATAGTAATAAATAATTGTAGTAAATGTAATAATCAATAATCCTGTTTTTTGTAAGGCCTGCGGGTCAGTTTGGAAAGTTACTTTGTGGTGCCCAAGTGGGAGACCCCCTATTTGGCCCGGTAGAAATGATTATTTTTTCCGAAAACAGTTGCGAGTTTTCGAAGAAGCGAGGAGGTATTCGTCTCTGTGGTTCCGTCTAGGTCAGTGTTTCCCAAACTTGACAATTTTAAGACGTGTGGACTTCAACTCCCAGAATTCCACAGCCAGCAATGCTGGCTGTGGAATTCTGGAAGTTGAAGTCCACATGCCTTAAAATTGTCAAGTTTGGGAAACACTGGTCTAGGTCCATCTTTGAGCTCACCTTGTCCCAGGTATCTCACCTCCCCGTTCCTTGCCCTATCCAGGATGGCAATGGGTACATTAGCTCTGCCGAGCTGCGCCACGTGATGACCAACCTCGGCGAGAAGCTGACGGACGAGGAGGTGGACGAAATGATCCGAGAAGCCGATGTAGACGGAGACGGACAAGTCAATTACGAAGGTAAAAGGCCAAAGGCCCACGGGCATCCTGGGGTTTGGGGAGGGGGTCGAAGAAGAGATTATTCCAGGCAGCTTTTTTGGGTAGCGAAGACCTTGTTTGGGTTTTTTTTTTTTTTTTTAATGGGCAACTAGAGAGAAGATTAGGTGAAGGAGAGGGAGGTTGGGAGCATCCTTTTCCGATCGGCATTACAGAGGAGATGGCTGTGTTGGTGTGATTTTGGTTCCCATTTGGGGGCTCGTGAACTGCAACGTTTCTCAGTTGGGGCAACTCTTAAGGGAATTCTGGGAGTTGAACTCCGCCCTCTTTGGCTAAGGGGGGACTCTCCTGTCTGTCAAGATGGCCTGGGGGATTCTGGGAGTTGAACTCTGCCCTTCTTCAACTGGCCAAGGTGGAGAGACCCCAATCTGCTGTATGTTCCCAGAAACAGTTGCTTGTCCAAAGGGATTCATGAACGGGGAGGGGGGGGTCCTTTCGCCGGCCCCCTTCCTCGGCCGCACCTGACGCCCTTCTCCGTCCTCTCTCCTTGCTCCGTAGAGTTTGTACAGATGATGACCGCCAAATAAGACAAGCCGCTGCCTCTCTTCCCCCCCGCCCACCCCCCACCCATTCAGGATGGAAGGATGGCCTGCTCCCCCCCACCGGGATCCTATCCAGACCCCACCTGTCTGTCTGTGTACGACTCCTGCCCCATCTGTGCTTTAGCAGTTTGTGGCTGTTCCCTGCTTGGCCTCCCTTTTCCCCCCCCCTCCTCATGTCCCAGGCCGGGGGCGGTGGTGACTGGGACTGTGCCTCAAAGCCCTCGTGGAGAGCGATGGGGCCAGAAGCTCGGAGCCTGGAATGCCTTGGACATGAGGTGGGTGGGAAGGGGAGGCTGCCCCCCGCCCCCTCCCTTGGTTCAGCCCCTGCCTTGCAACCCACGGTCTTCCCTGACCCCCCCCCTCCCTCTTCTGCCTTCACGGACTGTTCTGTTCTCGTATGCAGCAGCCTCCTTGCATACTTACGGCCCGCCATCTACCTTTGTCTTCCTAGGACTATCTGCATATCTTGGATATATTGTCATTCTTAAATCAATACCATCCCTCTCCCCCCCCCCCCCGCATCCCCACCCTCCAGACCCCTTCCATAGCTTCAGGGAATGCTTCTCTTCCATTCCAGTCGATGTAAGATTTCTTTATATTTTTATTTCTTTTTCCTGGTTTGGTTCTTCTTTTCAATAAACTTTGCGTTTCAAAACTGGTGGAGCCAATCTACTTACACGTAGAAATCGTGCCCTGCTTTTTTGGGGTGGGTGGGGGGATGAACGCGTGCGGGTGTTTGTATTTTTGCAGCAGCTTAGCAATTAAGTTCTCTCAAAATTGCCTCCTCCCACTTGAAAAGATTCCATTTTCACCGCCCGGACCGCAGATTCCTTGAAGTGGCCATTCCTGGTTTTTCCTTCGATCTGCCACTTCCCAGATAAAGGAAAACCTTAAGTTTTCAGCCAGCCTCTCTTCCTGGCAGTGGTGAGGTTAAAAGTCCAGCCCCACTGGACTTTAAGGGTTACTTAAAAGGAAGGGTTTTAATTTCTCTAAATGCAGAATGGCGAATGGAAAACCAGTTCTGGCGATTTGTCTGGGAATACTGGGGGGGGGGAGACATACTATTGATATAATTCGTGAAGCTTTGGGATTCCATCCAAACAAAATTCAAAGTAGATAAGTAAATGTGTAGATTTCAGCTTCGGGAAGACTCCACAGTTAGGTTTAGCGTATTTCACTACTCCTCTAAATTTCCAGAGAAGATACTGACTAGCATGAAAGAATGACCAGTTTTATTTGGACACGCTCGACAATCCCCACTCCCTCGTAGCCTGGATGAGGTCACCTAGTTGGGTAACGAAACGTCTGCCCAAACCCCCCCCCCGAGTTCAAAGGGCGCCAAGGACCCCACGTAAACCCGTAGAGCTGAATCTTTCCGAATTTGTACCATCGGCGTTTTGCGCCTTTGCATTAAGCCGTTTTCCCGCAGACAAACGAATCCGAGAAAGAGCATCTGGCTTCAGAGGCAATTTTTTATTTTCAAATAAAAAATACACGTGGTTTGGTGGCATGGGCCCAGGACACACACACACACACACACACACACACCCCGCCGGTAAGTTCTCGGCCTCTTGTGCTACTGAAAAGAAGGACGTGTTAAAAGGACCCCCTCCACTCGCTTCGTCTCCTCCTTGGCACAGAGTGGAGGGCATATATGGCAGTTAAGACATACATACGTATGTACAGACGCGCGCGCGCACACGGATATCCCTCGCCCCAGGGAAGGAGGCGCCTCTTGGCCCCCCCCAGGAAACAGCTGCCAAGTGCAAAAATACTGTAGGAGGGAAGCGGCTGGCCGAACCGCTGAGAAGGAACATTGGTACCCACAGCTAGTCCTCAACTTAACGACCACAACTGAGCCTAAAATTTCTGTTGCTAAACGAGACATTTAGTTCGGTGAGTTTTGCTCCGTTTTACGACCTCTCTTTTTTAACAGTCCTTATCGCCACTTGCAGGTGATAAGTTAACAACCCGGTTGTCCAGCCAATCTGGCTTCCCCGTTCAATTTGCTTTCTCCAAAGATCACAAAAAGGGGACGGCGCGGTGACGGTCACAAGCGTGAACCAGTGAATTTTGATTCGCACGGGCCCTGGGGGACGCTACCAAGATCGTCCTTTTTTTTCAGCGCCGTTATCACTTGGAACGGCCGTTAAATGGATTGTCGTAAATCGAGGACTACCTGTATTTTGAACAGGTTTAGAAACGGGGTGAAATTAGCGTGCCGTTGCTTCCCAAAGGGGGAAAGAGATTTTTTTTTCTCTTTAAATTAAAAAATAAGGGTGCAGAAGGTGCCTTGTGAAGTTGCCTGCCTTTCTTCCAGACTCTCGTGTGTCCGGTTCACACGATTCGGGTTAAAAGATGGCTTAAGGGAGCCCAGGGCTCAAGAATTCCTCCCTGGACATTGAAGCCAAGCGTGGATTTATTTATTTTTTCACGAGAAAAACGGACGGCACCCTTCCATCCCCTGCCAGATATTGTGATTTAAAAGCCTCGGCTCGCTTCTTCCGCCTTAATAGACCGGCGCAAAATATCTGGGAGCGTTTTGAGGAAGTCTCAATTCCATCTTTTGGAGAAAGACATTTGCCCCACGTCACGTTGTAGAAGCAGAAAAGTTCTAGATTGTCGGTCTATGGCAGCGGTTCTCAACCTGTGGTCCACAGACCCCTGGGGGGGGGTCCACGATGTCACGGGGGGGTCCACAAAGGCTTGAAGAAATCTTAAGATCGATATCTTAAGTCTTGGAGTCTGTGGCCACCAAGGATATTTAAAGAGGAGGTCCGTGGGGAAGCCAAGGTTGAGAAGCCCTGTCCTAGAGGAATGTTTTTCACTCTTGCTAGCTTTAAGATGGGTAGGCTTCAACTCCCAGAATTCCCAAGAATTGCCTGGAGAATTCTGGGAATTGAAATCTTAAAGGGTGAGAAACACCGATCTAGTGATCTGCGGTGGGCCTTTCTTATCCTCAACCTCAGCAGAAGGGGAAACACAAAATTTTCCTAGGCTGAGGTTTTTCTCTCTTAACGGGGCCCTGTCGTTATCCCAGTGCAGTCTACAAATGATCAGTTTTAAATGCTGATTTTAAGGTAACATCAAATGATTCCGGTAGCCATAATCTTCCCATTTAATGTCGATTAAGCAGGCAGCCTTTCATAAAACTGAACCCGTTCTTATTTTTTCCCCTTGCTGGGCCCTGCTTTCTCCACTTCCTTCCTAGTTCCCCCTTATCACAATATGTTCCTAATTGCACTTCCCTTTAAAAGTGTCTATATGACTCTCCCCCCCACACACACACCTTCCTCTCTTTTCTTCTTTGCGTAATGCTCTTTGTGCAATTATAACCTTTTTTGCCTCCGATTCAAGAATGGAAAAGGAACCACTCTCTCATTCATCCATCTACCTCTTCAATCGTTTCAGATCGAAATATTCCTTAAACGTGTGCTGCCTCCCACTCTTAAAAATAATAATAACAACCTTGTCAAATTCCCAGCCAGACATTCAGCAACTTACAGTCCTGACTTTCCTGAAAAGCCCCCTTTTTTTTCCCCTACATAAAATACATCGTCCTCAAAACGCTTAGGCAGCGCGTATCAAGTTTCCAAAAATCTGTGCAATAAAATTTCTCTTCGGGACACCAAGACGTAGCACGTTTACAGGGGATTAAACATTTGAAATCAACTTTTTTTTTTTTGCCCTGTTGTAGCTTAAGCAATAGGGAATTTTTAAAAAAAATAATGACAATTAATACTGCTCCAGGAAGATGACGGTTTCGTAGCCAGAGTTGGCGAATTGAATTGAATAAAACTTTAAAATGCTGGTGATAATCCACTTCTTAAGAATTCAACGTCTTTGATTTGATTCAGTTAAAGTAGAAGCCGAGTAGAATTCAGCGGGGTTCTTATTTTTTTTTTAAAAAAATGTGTTTCTTCCTATAAATAAGGGTTTAAATAAAAATCTGATCTCAGTAAGCAAGCCGGTGGACAGAATTCTATTTAATGACGTGATGCTTTTTCCTTCTGTTTTTATATTTCAACGTTGTTGTTTTTTCTATCTCCTACTGCTGGGAGAAAAAGCAACCTTCCACAAAAAAAATTTGAACGTGAAAGACGCTGTCTTGCACACTCACTCACTCCCATGCTTGCCTTCAATGTATATATTTAAACAGACAGACAGACAGACAAATTGCTCTCGCTTTCTTAAAAATATACTCTCCCTTTTCACACCCACCCCCAAACTGCCTGAGCTTATCAGGTTCACCCAGAAAAATAGATCTGACCGGGTCCTAAAACAGCCTACCCCCTCCATCTCTTAAACTTCGAGAGATGTAGAATCTCCCAAGATTCAATTCCATGATTTAAGGGGGGGGTGCCATTTAAGAGAAACTTGCTCTATCCCCGACCCCCCCAAAAAATAACAATTTTCCCGACAGATTTCCTATTTGGCTTCTTTCTCTGGACACAGAAAGAGATGGATGCATCTTATTCTGTGTTTTTGGTTTCTTTTAGGCATATATACCAGTGGGGTCTTCAAACTTGGCCCTTTTATGACTTGTGGACTTCATCTCCCAGAATTCCTCAGCCGGGCACGTGTGCCCGGCTGAGGAATTCTGGGAGTTGAAGTCTACAAGTCATAAAAAGGCCAAGTTTGAAGACCCCTGATATATACAGACAGGCAGTCCTTGACTTATAACCACAATTAGGACCTGGATTTGCACTGCAAAGCAAATCGGTGGTTAAGTAAGTTGCGCCCAATTTTTATGACTTTTTTTTGGGGGGGGGCACGGTTCTTAAGCGATTCGTTGCGGTTCTTAAGCGAATCACGTCACTAAGCGAATCTGGCTGCTTCCACCGTTGACTTTCTTTGTCAGGAAGTCTCAGATGGCAATTGGCGTGTTCCCGGGACGCCGCATCTGTCGTAAAGAGATGCCCATTGCCAAGCACCCGAATTCTGGATCATGTAACCGTGGGAGATGCTCAAAACAGTCGTAAGCATGAGGCTGGCTTTTTTTCAGGGGTGCTGTAAGTCTGAACGGTCCCTCAAAGAATGGCTGTAAGTCAAGGACTGCCTATGTATCCCTTAAACCAGGGGTAGGCAACCTTGGCTCTTTTATGACTGGTGGACTTCAACTCCCAGAATTCCTGAGCCAGCATGGCTCAGCTTGGAAACCTCTCCCTTTCTCCTCAGCATGGCTGGCTCAGGAATGCTGGGAGTTGAAGTCCACCAGTCATAAAGGAGGCCATAGTTTCCCCCATGCTGGCTCAGGAATTCTGGGAGTTGAAGTCCACCAGTCATAAAAGAGCCAAGGTGGCCTACCCCTGCCTTAAACCCTACCATCCTTCTCAGAATAAGATTTAGAGTTTTACCTGTTTTAAAAAATAAAATAAAATCACATTTTGTTTGCTCCTGTGTTTTTAAACAAAAGGTTTCACGAAGCTGCAGCCCCAGATGTAAGCATTGTACCAACCTCTCATGTAACCTGGTTGGTTAGTGTCTGAGTGCGACATGCAAACTAACCCTAAATCATAATTGGAACGGCTTCGTGTGACGTCTGAGCCTCAAAAACGTATCTTGAACGTCAAACTCTGCCGTTAAATTTCTGCACCAGGCACAGGAGTACGGGGATCCAAAAATAAAATACAGGCGGTCCTCGACTTACAGCTTCAGCTGAGGCCAGAATTTCTGTTTGCCACGTGAAACGTCTGTGAAGTGAATTTTGCCCCGTTTTACGACCTTTCCAGCCACAGTTAAGGGAATCGCGACAGTTGTTAAGTCAGCAACACGGTTATCAGAAGGTCGCAAAAGGGGATCACGTGACCCCGGGACACTGCGACCGTCATAAATAGGAGCCACTTGCCAAGCGTCGGAATCGTTAATCACGTGAACCTGGGGAGGCCGCAACGGTCTTAAAGATGAAAAACGGTCGCAAGTCATTCTTTTGAGTGCCGTTGTAGCTTCGGTCACTAACTGGATTGCTGTAAGTCGAGGACAGCCTATAAATCAGTATTCCATCGGAGACCCTATCCTCCCTTCTTCCCCAGAATACAGTTTTGGTCTCAGACTGAGCAAATCCCTTCCTGTTACACTTTTACCAAATAAAATAAAATAAAAAATAAAATGCTATCCATCGTGAATAAAAACAGCCCCTTCCCCACCCATCAGTGATTAGCTAAAATAATTCCTGTCCGGTTCGGATTGCAAAAACGCACTTCGCCACTAGAGGGAGGGCCAGGAGGACCGCGGCCCTCTGCTGGCCGTTTGGAAATCTGCAGCCCTGTCTCTGCAACAGCCTTATTCCGCTCCACCTGCCCCACCGAGGCCTGGAGGGAAGGGGGCCAGCAGCCCCACCCCACCCCACTCCCCGCACGCAGAAAAGCGGCAGACGAGTTGCAGGGGTTAAGAAATAAAATGGCGACGCTTCGCCCGTTTAAAAATGACCAGACGAGCAAAATCTCCCTGGCTTTTGCCCTTGTGGTGCAATCGGATGTCGATTTGGCTCGGAAATGTGGGGAGCCCTTCCAGCCATCAACCCTCCAGAGCCCCCCAGGATCTGCGCCCTAAATCTCTGCCTAACAACCCCCGGGTTTTCCTGGCCTTTCCGACAGAGAACGGTCGCTTTCAACTGGAAACACACACACCCCGCCTCATTCTAAATGAAGGTATCACATCATGGTGGGTGGGTGGGGTGGGGTGGGTGGAAATAAGGGGTGGGGGAGTGGAAGCTGGGCTCCCCGATGCTCCCCGAACAGCAACATAGACAATAAATACCCCTTTTCCCATCCAGCGCTTCAGTGCTCGGGCCCTCCCCCGGCTGCTACGAGGGAGGGTCGTGGCGAATGGTGGGGATCTTGGATTTGGGGGGGCGGGAGGAGGACCCCGAAGAGGAGGAGGAGGAGGAGCTGCTGCTGCTGCGGCGGCCCTCAGCACCGGTGCTGGACATCTTCAGCTTGCGCCGTTTAGCCAGAGGGGCATTTTCCACACTTTTCAGGAAAAACCCTTCGCGCTTCCCCTTGTTAAAGGCCTAGGCGAGAGAGAGAGACAGAGACAGAGAGAAAGAGAAACTGTGATTTGATCTGATCTTTAAATCAAAAGATGGAAATCATAATCGGAATAGACCTTGGAGGTCTTCTCCTGAAGCAGGAGACCCTAAACCGTTTCAGGCAAATGGCTGTCCAATCTCTTCTTGAAAACCTCCAAGGGAGGGAGGCAGGCAGGCAGGCAGGAAGGAAGGAAGGAAGGAAGAAGGGAGGGAGGGAGGAAGGAAGGAAGGAAGATGGGAGGGAGGGAGGAAAGGAAGATGGGAGGTAGAGAAGGAGGGAGGGAGGGAAGGAAGGAAGATGGGAGGGAGGGAGGAAAGGAAGATGGGAGGTAGAGAAGGAGGGAGGGAGGGAAGGAAGGGGAATGGAAGGAGGAAAGAAAGGAAGATAGGTAGAGAAGGAGGGAGGGAAGGAAGGTAGATAGATGGGAAGGAAGAAAGGCAGGCAGGCAGGAAGACAGGGAGGAAGGAAGATAGGGAGGAAAGGAAGAAAGACAGGGAAGGAGGAAGGAAGGAAGGAAAAGAAAGAAAGAAAGAAAGAAAGAAAGAAAGAAAGAAAGAAAGAAAGAAAGAAAGAAAGAAAGAAAGAGAAAATAGTAGAATAACAGTGGGAAGGGACCTCGGAGGTCTTCCAGCCCAATCCTGCTCAAGCAGGAAACTCTATACCATTTCAGGCAAGTGACTGCCCCGTCTTTTCTTAGGATCAGCTTCTATTTTCTAACGGGGATGTCCAACAGATTTAAGACGCAACCAATAATTTCTGCATTTTGGCCTCCTCCAAAGGGTCATTTCCAATCCAGAGGTTGCTTCTGTGTGTGTGTGTGTGTGTGTCCTGACAGTTTTCGATGACACTCAGCGGCCCCAAGGGCCTCCTTTCCCATATAACCGCACGTCATCCATCCCGTCTGTCCCCTGGGGGGGAGAGAAAAACCCGAATTTCCCAAGCTCAGAAGGGGCTCTCTCACCATAAACGTGACGTTCACGCCCGTTCGCACAGCGGGCCCGGAGCTCTCCAGGATGTCTGGCGTCATCAGCGGGGTGGAAGAGAGGGCGCTGCCGTCCTGGAGCCACTCATTATAGCGTAAGTTGGACATTTTCAGCCGTTTGGCAGGGTCCACCGTGAGAAGACCTGGCCGGAGACGGGGAGACGAGATTTAACCACAAAAAAAAAAAAACCCAGCCTCTCGACAAGCAAAACGCCCCCCCCCCCCAATTTTATTACAGGTCGTCTCAAATTTGGTTAACTGGTTGTTATCTTTCGCCTCAAATTTTTCTTCCATTTTTCTCCGCTTCTCTTAATTGTATCAAATTCAAGCAATTGAATTTAATATCTGGTAAAAGAATCTTTTCACTGTGTTATATTCTTGATCTGGTTCTTCCAGTCTTCCCATTTGCATATCTTGATTTTTATTTATTTTTTTAAATTTACTAACCCATTCTTTCCATTCAATCTTAGGGAATGTCTCCCATTTTTACCACCGGTGTTCAAAGAGAAACACTTGGTTTTAACCGATATCTCCGTTTATTCCATGGTTCTGTCAGATTTTTTTTAAAAAGGGGATTTTGAATCCTCTTTCACCATTTTTTTAAATACCCTTTTTAAGCCGATACGTTTCTACAGGATCACCTATTTCCCTTAATTCCTTCAATGCTATATCGCTCCATAATAAATCCCTTATTTAACTACGGTAGCAAGAAAGAGGGCGAAAACTCCCTTAACAGACGTCTCACAGTCACATAAATGTGGGGCTCCGTTGTGGTCTTAAGTCAAGGACCATCTGTATTTGCCAAGTGGCTGTCCAGTCTCTTCTCAAAAAGCTCCAGTGTTGGAGCACCCACAACTTCTGGAGGTAGGTTGTTCCACTGGTTAATTGATTTGGGATTATAGAATAACAGACGGACCTTGGAGATCTTCTACTCCAACCCCCTGCTCAAGCAGGAACCCTGTACCAGCTTAGACAAGTGGTTGTCCAGCTTTTTCTTAAAATCCTCCAGTATTGGAGCATCCACAACTTATGGAGGCAAACCACTGGTTAATTGTTCTCACTGTCAGGAAATTTCTCCTTAGTTCTAGGTTGCTTCTCTCCTTGGTTAGTTTCCATCCGTTGCTTCTTGTCCTGCCTTCAGGCGCTTTGGAGAATAGCTTGACTGCCTCTTCTTTGGGGACAGCCCCTCAAATATCGAAAGACTGCTATCATGTCACCCCTAGTCCTTCTTTTTATTAAACTACAGATACCCAATTCCTGCAACTGTTCTTCGTATGTTTTATCCCCCAGACCCCTAAAATGTAACGAGAAGCTTGGGATCCTCCGGGTTCAAAGCATCCTCTCTTCCTAAACCTCATCCAAAATAACGGCAGGTTACACCGGCCTTGGACGTAGCAGCTCTCCTTTGGGCTGTGCAAAGAAAGAAAGTTGGAAGAACGTTGCTTCTTAAATGCAGAAGCGGCCCAGCTGGCGAAACATCTGGTTCCTCCTTCGCTGTGGGATTTGAGGGGTTTTCCGCAAAACCAAAGGCTGCTTTTGCACAAGACGCTGAACCTAGTTTAACCCATTTTCTACATCTGCACCACACTTTCAGTCGGGCTCACCCAACAAGCACTGCGGGCTGCTCAGCGCGCGCTGAAGCATCAAACCCTTAACCGAGGTTAGCACAGGGTGTTGGGCCAAGGCAAGCCGAGCTAAGCACGTTGTGTGAACACAGCCAGAGGACCCACAATCAGAACACTTCGCTCTCCCTTGGAAGTCCCAAAGGTGCTTGTTTTCAGGAGGCAACTGGACTTTCTTGTTTCGTCTTTGAAGACGTTTTGCTTCTCATCCAAGAAGCTTCTTCAGCTCTGACTGGACGGTGGGGAAGGGAAGGATTTATACTCCTTGCAGACTGCTGGTCATTTGCCTTCTTTGAGAGAGTCGTTGAGGCCACTTGGAGGTTTGTCTGTGTCCTCAGGGCCGCCTGAGTGGTGCAAATGGGTGTGGAGCCTTCCTGGAACTGCTGAAAGGACTGTGTTCCACACCCATTTGCACCACTCAGGTGAGCCTGAGGACGCAGGTAAACCTCCAAGTGGCTTCAACAACTCTCCAAAAGAAGGCAAATGACCAGCTGTCTGCAAGGACTATAAATCCTTCCACTCGCCACCCTCCAGTCAGAGCTGAAGAAGCTTCTGGGATGAGAAGCGAAACGTCTTCAAAGAAAAAAACCAGAAAGTCCAGTTGCCTCTTGAAAAAGCATCGTTCAGACAACCAGGATCTAGATGACTTGAGAATCTCCACAGGCATCTCCCCTGAATGGGTCTCCCCCTCCCCACGCCCAACACATCCCGGGCTGTCCATTCCCCATCACCTCGAACCAGCTCCTTGGCTTCCTCAGACACGTTCCTCCAGGCTTCGCTCTCCAGGGAGAACTGCCCTTCCTTGATTTTGTGCATGATGTCCGCGGCGTGGCTGACTGCGCTTCCTTCCAGGCTACTATGGAAGGGGACCTGGCCGGACAGCATGGTGTACTGGAAGGAGGAGGAGAAGAAACGTGAGCCGAAGGGGAGCCAGCAATACCTCGTTCTCCCCCGTGTGACTGGCAGCCTGTCCTACCTTGAAGGGCGGCGGCTAAAGAGAGGAGGTCTGCCCAGAAGATTTTGCGCTTGGGCTGAACGGTGCCTTCAGCCCTTTCGAGTCTCCTGAACCCCTGGTTTCCCCCCCCCCCCCAATGCCCCCAAACAATTAGCAAAATCCGTGGGGTCCATGAGGCTCGGCTGTTTTCTTGGAGACGTTTCATGACCCAGCTAGGGAACATCCTCAGTGCTGGAAGGGAGGGGGGGAATTGCAAAATGGAGAAGGGTGAGAATGGGAGGAGGAGGAAGAGGACTGTGGGGTGCTTGGTGCTCTCTGAGCTGGGTGGTTTTCTAGCAGACGTTTCATGACCCAACTAGGGAACATCATCAGTGCTAGAAGGAGGAAGGAGGAGGGGGACTGTGGGGTCCTTGGTGCTCTCTGAGCTGGGTGGTTTTCTAGCAGACGTTTCATGACCCAACTAGGGAACATCATCAGTGCTAGAAGGAGGAAGGAGGAGGGGGACTGTGGGGTCCTTGGTGCTCTCTGAGCTTGGAGGTTTTCTTGCAGACCTTTCATGACCCAACTAGGTAGCATCATCAGTGCTAGAAGGAGGAGGAGGACTGTGGGGTCCTTAATGCTGTCTGAGCTTGGTGTTTTTCTTGCAGACATTTCATGACCCGACTAGGTAACACCATCAGTGCTAAAAGGGAGTGGGGTCGGCTGTCATGATCTTTTAATACTGATGATGTTACCTAGTTGGGTCATGAAATGTCTGCAAGAAAAACAAGCTCGGGCAGAAATCCAGTGTACTTTTTATCTAACCGAATTCCCAAAATCTCCCCACCTCCAGTTCTCCCGACAGTAGGAGTCTTAAGCCGTTTGGAGATTGTTAATAAGTAATTATTAGAATCTTGCTTCTTACGCTTTTTTTTTTCCCCAAACCACCCATTTGTATCTATAGTTACAAGCAGGTCTGAATCTTAACCGGGAATCAAATGACACATACAACCGCAAAGTAAAATGCCGCACGCGTGAACACACACACACACACACACACACACAAGCAACCAAGACGATCCAACTCCGCTGGATTTCAATTCCCACAATCGCCCTCCGCTCCCAGCCAACTTGGCATGGCCTTGCTAGCTGGGGGAACGCTGGGTCTTGAACCCCCATACTTCTTGATGGCAAAAAAGCCACACCTCAATGCTTTATACTTATATATCAGGGTTCTCCAACCCCCAGTCCATGGACCGGTACAGGGCCGCAGCATGCCAGCAATCGGTCCGCTCAAAAAAGCAAAGCTCCATCCGCAGGATGCAGGCCGCACACGAAACCACGCACCCTCCGGTCCGTGGAAAAACCTCTCTCCACGGAAGCGGTCCCCGGTGTCCCAAAGGTTGGGCACCTCTGCTGTACATCGTACACAAACTACAGTCCATCGGCTTGGTTGAAGGACAATCCCTTCTCCTTTGGAGCTCGGCTGACTTACCAAGATCACCCCCAGGCTCCAGAGATCGCAAGATTCATCGTAGCCGGCGTCCTGGAAAAGCTCGGGGGCCGCGTACTGGAGGGTGAAGCACGGGGTCTGCATGGGCTGCGAGTTCTGAGGGCAGAGGCGGGCAAAGCCGAAGTCAATCACCTTCACGGGGGCGCCCTCCGACTCGTCTGCGTACAGAATATTCTGGGAGTAAAGTCCCAATGAAGTATTGTTAACCCTTGTGGACAAAAGTCGGGAACCCCCGCTTTTCGTTGCCCCTGGCCTGCCCCGTGGGTTTAACGCGGTGCGCTGCAAGCCGGTTAACTGATTCGGGCACAGATGGTGGCAGTCCACAATGCGCAAAGGCCTGCCTCGTGAAGGGTCATCTCAGTAGGCCAAGTTCCCCTGAGAAAGCCAAGCACATCACAACAGTGGCCAGGGAGTCCTTGACTTAGGACCATAATTGGGATCGGAATTTCAATCGTTAAATGGAGGCAGTCATAAGTTGAATCCCACGTACCCGGGCCTAATTAAATAACAATTTTTGCCACAGTTGTTAAGCGAATCACGTGGTCAGCAGGTGAACTTGTCTGAAATGGTCTAGGGTTTCCTGCCTGAGCAGGGGGCTGGACTAGATGACCTCCAAGGTACCTTCCAACTTATTATTATTATTATTATTCATCGCACAGTCAGCCAGATGCTCAGACTGGATTGTTGTTATTATTGTTGTTGTTATTATTATTATTATTATTATTAATCACATGGTCATTAAGCGAATCCAGCTTCCCCCACTGGAGGGTTTTCTGCCAGAAAATGGCTGGGAAGGTCCCAAATCATGATCATACAACCACAGGACGCCACAACCGGTTGTTTTGAGGACCAAGTGCCCAAACTGCGATCCCATGACCAGGGGAGGGCGCGACAGTCATAAATATGAATACAGGTTGTGAAGCATTTTTTTCTGAGGCTGGCGTAACTTTGAATGCGGAAACAGGGCCCTCACAAGAAGAGCTTCAGACGAGGCACCTTCACTCAACCTAGCTTCTGAATTTCCCACCTTTGATCAGACCGCACAAAACAACCCACCACGTCTTAATCCCAAGAAGTTCGGTTCACAACACGCCCGAGACAAACACACCCCTCGGTTGATTGCACACTGGCCCAGCTTGCATAAATGCAACTTTGGGCCCTCGGAACCTCACTGGGAACCCAGCCTCCCCCGTTTTCCTAGTACCTCGGGCTTCAGGTCCCGGTGCACCACTCCCGAGTCGTGCATGAAGCTGACGGCGGACACCAGGCTCCGCATGATCTGGCTGGCTTCCGACTCGCTGAAGTGCTGCTTCTTCTTGATTCGGTCCAGGAGCTCCCCTCCCCTCAGCAATTCCATCACCAGGTAGGTATGATACTGCGGCGGAGGACAGAAAAAGGACATCTGGTGGTACCTTGACACTCAGCTGCTTTGAAACTCATCAAATTTGGCCCTGGATGCATTTAGACCCAATTTTGGGTTGTCCACCCGGTACTCATTGTTGGTTTGGTACTCAAGGCACAAGCTAGTACTTGTCGTTGTCGGCTTGTGACTCACTACATTATTCCTTAGGGGGAAAAAATGGGTATTTCTCGTTGTTGGTACTCTCGTGCCTCCCGGAACCAATTAATGATGAGTACCAAAGTACCCTGTAAATCTGATAAATTGTGATAAACCATATGTCATGATTCCGATTTGGGGGATATTTCAAAGAACCTTGAGGCATTGTTTACCTTAAAGTCTCTTTATTAGTACAGCACCCTTCTGCACAAACATGGTGGATGCCAAGATCTGAATTCCCCTCCCCTGAGCACATAATATTCAAGCACAATTCCCTCCTCCAATTAGCAGTCATTAAATCGTGTTTGCCAATAGTTTCTTATCTTAACTAATCCCCACATTTATTCTTTCCCCTCCCCTCCCAGCATCATCTAATTTAACTCTAAAAGTACCACACAGCTTATACAGAGAGTGGCTGCCTCTTCATATTTTGTCAAAGCAAGAACATCCAATGTTAGCATATACTAAGAATAATATCTTTTCCTAGTCTTCTCGCCCCTGCAAGGTAGGCTAGTCCTAGACTAAGAGGCTAGCCCCAGAGTCCCCTAACCAGCTTCCATGTCTGAGGTTGCACTTGAATTGGGGGGGGGTCTCTCCGATCTCGGGATCCAACCCTTTCATCCTTAACCAGGTTGGGTTTCTCGAGATGCTTCCTCTTCGAGAATTAGAATCCTCACCTGGTCATGATGAACATCGTGAAGCTTGACGATGTTCGGGTGGGTTTCGCAGATCTGCAAAGCCGCCACCTCCCTCTGGGTGTTCACTTCCATCCTGAATGGGGGTAAAGGAGGAGAAAGATGCCACCGCCCATCGCAGCCGATTCCGCAACAATGAAATCCTTCTTTTCATTTCATTGCCTTTGCAATCCAGCCCACCATGCCTCCCTCCGCTTTTTGCGCAGCACCAGTTTTAACCTCGTGACAGCCTCTTCAGGTAGTATCCAGCCCGAGAATCCAAATAAAACTCCAGGTTCATTCCGTTTCCGAAAATCTTAACTGTTTATTGAATACACTGCTTGGTTATGTTGAAGCGAAACTAACTCTGAGGTTCCACAATTCACAGACTTAAAACGAAAATTTTCCCAGCCAAACCCCCAACTCTTAAGTAACCAACAAGTTCACTTCTTTATGGGAACCTTCCCTTCTGGTGTCCTTCAGGCTCTCACGGTCTTCAGCTGAATCGAAGTAGTTTCGTTTCTCCCATCTACACACTTCAAAGTAACACTTTCCCCCCAATTAAAGCTGCCAAAATTTCATTCTTGACAGTAGCTTAGCGACACAGCTGACCTGACCTTCACAGCCAAAGGGAAAATTCTTAATTTTAAGAGTTTGAACACAAGCCCAATCAGGAGTGAAAAAGTTTTCTCGGTCTTCCCACGCTGTGTGTGGTGTTCTCACTAACGTGGAGGAGCGAGAGGATTGAAAATGGATTTTTCCTTGCTGGCTGATATTAATAGCCCAGGCCACCCACTTAAATCTGGCTCAAGATTTTTCCCAAGCCCTTAGCAGTATAGAAGAATGTCAGCTATTGCAGGCTTGAATAGCAAAACACGCCACTTTCCAGTTAGGGCCTTTCTCCCTTTAAAAGGCGGAGGAGCGTTAGAAGGCACTTCTGATTGGCTGCTTCCATCGGCCCCTCCTGATTGGCTGGGGCCGTGTGTATAAATGCCCCTGCTCACAGCCTCGCTGAGGCATTTTGTGTGCTGCATCCGACCTAGGAGTTTCTGGGTCAGAAATCCGAGATCGACTCGGCATAAAAAGAACCCAAAATAATTAAAATAAAATAAAAATAAGAAAATAAAATAAAATAGAACATTTCTGCGATGTGTACGACTCCAAAGTCCAGGGCTCTTCAAACCTGGCCTTTTTATGACTTGTGGACTTCAACTCCCAGAATGCCTCAGCCAGCATGCCTGGCTGAAGAATTCTGGGAGTTGAAGTCCACAAGTCACAAGAGGGCCAACTTTGGAAGACCCCCGCCAACGTCGTTTGGAGAAAGGGAATCAATTAAAAATGGCTACCTTTTGCTGATGATTTTGACCGCAAATTCCGTCCCATTTTGTCGATGTCGGCAACGGCGACAGACCGAGAAACTTCCCTCACCCAGGGGGGGCTCCACCAGGTCCATCTCATATTTTTGGAAGAACGACGAATCCTGAGAGAAAAAGAAAGAGCGCGAGAAGGAGGGAGTTAATGAGTGAGAATGTTGATCCTTGCTCTTAGTATTGCAAGGACAATCCCTTCATCGGGCTTCTGAATGATCTGGAATCCAAAGGTGCTTTTTTTTTTCACAAGGCAACTGAAGTTCCTTGTTTGGTTTTGCAGATTTATCAAAACAGAAAACGTGAAGAATTCAAAAACCTAACAAAACTAGGGGGAGGGAAGAGGGTGGGGGGGGGAAATTGTGCAAAGAAAAAAAAGGCAGCAACTTCCCGACTCCCTTTAGCGCAGTCGACGATAACATTGCAACGCAGCTTTTTACTTTTTACACCACAAGGCACAAGCCATTTCTATAACGCCAAACCTATCTGATTAACAGAGTTGAAACGAGTTGTGTGAACCAGGCCTTCTGAGTTGGAAAGCCAGGATTTCTTATCGTGGTCTTTACCCCACTGTCCTACAGCTTCCGGGAAGATTCCCTACCTTCATCATGGCACTTCGGGCCACTGCAGAGCTTCCGGGACGTTCCCCATCGAGCGCTGCCTCAAGGACGTCGGCAGTCACAGCGTTGCGGTTAAAGAGGATTGATGGGGCAATGAAGGAATATCCCTTTTGGGGGGAAAAAACAAAACAAAACAAGAGACGGCATGGCAATCGCCCAGCCTCAGAGAGAAATGCATCAAAGAGTTGTGGGAAAAGAGAAGAATTGGGGAGGGGGAGAATATGATAGCCTTCAAATAGTTGAGGGGCTGCCCCAAAGAAGAGCGGGTCAAGCTGTTCTCCAAAGGAGCTGAAGGCAGGACAAGAAGCAACAGATGGGAACTAATCCAGGGTAGAAGCAACCTAGAACTAATGAAGAATTTCCTGACAATTATAACAATCAGTGAAATGACTTGCCTTCAGAAGTTGTGGGTGCTCCAGTACTGGAACTTTTAAAGAAGAGATTGGACAGCCATTTTCTGAAATGGTATAGGGTCTCCTGCTTGAGCAGGGGGTTGGACTAGATGACCTCCAAGATCTCTTCCCCTCTGTTATTTTGACCTTCCTTTCTTCCCTCCTTCTCTCCTTCGTCACTGGAGGTTTTCAAGAAGAAACTGGACAACCGTTTGTCTGTAATGGTGTAGGCGTTCCTGCCTGAGCAGGGGGTTGGACTAGAGGACCTCCGAGGTCCCTTCCCACTGTTATTCTATACTCTGATTTGCACAAATCAGCAAGCAGAGCCACAAGGCACCTTGACACCAGGACGTGAATCTTCCATCTCTTCCCATAAACATACTTATTTTCCTGACCCACTTGCCTCTCAATTGGCTGAATCAAAATTTGTTGGGCGAGTCGAGCACCTGAATTTTGATCCCATGAGCCCAAGAACGATCCAACGGTCATCAGCCCCGTCGTAAGTCACGTTTTTCAGTGCCCACTGTAACTTTGAACGGTTGCTAAATAAATGCTTGTAAGTTGAGGACTTGCCCCTATTGGCATTTGCACACAGAAGGTGAACAATCAAGCATCTGTTTTTGAACTATTAAAAGAGCCCCAATTCTCGGGGTGTCGTTTCACCCAAATTTCAGCCCGGCTGCAAGAGAATCCACGCGAGGAAAAGGAGGAAGTTTGAAGCAGCATTCTGAAACTCGTAGCCAAAACGGCAGGCAAGCAAAACAAAAAAATCTAGTCCTCAAAGATGAAAAAAAAAAAAAAACACAAAAACCATTTTTATTCTGTTCCACCGTCTTTGGCAAAAGAGGAAGTTTGTGCGAGACACTTCCTGAAATGATTGAGATCGTGAAAGAAAGAAAGCTCTATCTGGTTTCTAAGCAAAAACCACAATTTTTTTTTTTTACAACTCAGAAAGATCTTTTCAAAGTCTCTCCGATCTTTTTTTCTTCTCCCTGCGGCTTCTGTTCATTTAAATACCCCTTGTTCCAATTATTTGTGGCCCCTTGCCCAAGAGGTTTGAATATGTGGAGAAACCCACAGCAGCAAAATGACAATTTTGACCGATTAATTTTAATTTGATTACCTTGAACTATGCTTCCCAGGGCACCTGCTCTGGGAGTGGGACCTGGGACTGTTAGCCTGATATTATAACACGCTAGCAACCATTAATCCTGGCAATAATGTCCTATTGGTAATAATATCCTTGGCAAAATGAACTTTAAGGGTAGGGAGAATATCAGGCTAATAGTCCCAGGTCCCACTCCCAGAACAGGCGTCCTGGGAAATGTAGTTCAAGTTCAACAGACTACTGCAAATATTAAAATCTTTCTGCCAGCGTTTCTGCAATTAACTGCCCCCTCCAATTTCAGGCAGTCCTTGAGTTACGACCGTAATGGCTCCTGCCCATTACCGTTGTCATGCTCACCCATTTTTATGACCCTTTTTGCGGCAGTTATTAAGCGAACCCAGTGGTCGTACATCTGAAGGCTGCAGTGGTTAAATGGACCCATTGTTTGTTATGAGGCAGTTCTGCCGTAATCCTACCCTTGGAAAGTGCTGACTTTAAAAAAAAAAAATCATAAAATGAGGTCTGTCACCTGCAATACCTGTGGAAATATGGCATGTGGGGGACGCACCTGGAAGACACGGTCTAGGCTGGGAGGGGTCCCAGCCGGAGAGTAAATGGGCTCCAAGCTGGTGAATTCTTCGGCAAAGTTTCGCACGTCCAACTCGTGGCGAATGAGGGGTTTAAACGGCGGCCTCACCTGGCGTGCTGCTAATTCAACCCAGTCCAGGCCCTGGAGAGGAAAAAAAAGTATTGGCAAGAAGAGATAACTAAACTGCAGAGACAAACCGGCTCAGCGTTTCTCAACTTTGGCAAAATGGATGGAATTCAGTTCCCAGAATCCCCCAGCCAGCAGGCTTTAAGATGCTTGATCTTTAACTCCCAGAATCCCCCAGCCAGCCAGGCTTTAAGATGGGTGGGCTTCAACTCCCAGAATTCCTCAGCCAACACGCTTTAAGATGGATGGATTTCAACTCCCAGAATTCCCCAGCCATCCTGCTTGAAGAGGGCTGGACTTCAACTCCCAGCGTCCTGGCTAGAGAATTCTGGGAGTTGAAGCCCAGGCACCTTAAAAGTCACTGAGGTTAAATATCCCTGCTCTGAACAAAAAGAAAACCTAACCAAACATAATAAAACCAGGCGTTGCGCAGTGGCAATGGGTTGTCCCGATCCGTGCGTTGCAGTTCTCCAGAAAAGGAATCCGGAACGAAAGGCTGGTCAGGAATGAACTCGGCTCCAAGTCTCGGCAGGTGCAGGACTTACCCTGAAAAAGGGGTGCTCCTTAATCTCCTGGGCCCCCGTTGGGCCGGACCCCAAGCGTTTCTTGGGGTCTTTGCACAGGAGCTTCTGCAGCAGGTCGCGAGCCTCGTGGCCAATGAGCGACGGGAACGGCGGGCTGCACTTCAGGATCCGTCTGGAAGTTTGGAAGCAAGCGGGGAAAAACTCATTTTATGTCTCATTTTGTGTCCAAGCCTCCATTTCAGACAAATGGCCGACCAATCTCTTCTTAAAAACCTCCAGCGTTGGAGCATTCACAACTTCCGGTGGCCAGTCGTTCCACTGACTAACTGTCCCCACTGTCAGGAAATTCCTCCTTAATTCTACGTTGCTTCTTTCCTTGATCAGTTTCCATCCATTGTTGCGTCTTGCCCCTGCCTTCATCTGCAGAGGGCCTCAGTATGGACCTGCTTCTGGCTTCATCCTAGCCAGCAAGGAGTCATTCAAATATTTTCTCCCCGGGAATCAAGTTATATGTCCACCAACTTCACGGCTCCCTCCCTCCTTCAGTCACTCCTGTACCTGGATGGATTTTTGCCCCTAGATCAGTGTTTCTCAACCTTGACAATTTTAAGGCATGTGGACTTCAACTCCCAGAATTCCACAGCTGTGGAATTCTGGGAGTTGAAGTCCACATGCCTTAAAATTGTCAAGGTTGAGAAACACTGCCCTAGATCATATCCTGCCCCCCCCCCCGTCTCTTTCTTCCCATTCCTGCTCTTCCGCATTGCCCCCACCTCACCTGGACACCTCCGCTTGCGAGTTCTTCTCCCCTTCCAGGGTGAAAGGAGACGCTCCGGTCAGGAGTTCGAAGACCAGGATTCCTAAACTCCACCAGTCCACAGACTGCAAGGGGGGGGGGGAGAAAAAGGCAAACCAGGACTGAACCAGTATGATACCAGTAATCCTCGACTTACGACTGTCTGTTTAACGACTGTTCGAAGTTGCAACAGCACTGAAAAAAGGGGACACACGAGCGGTCCCCACACTTAACGGCGGTCACAACAGCCTGAGGATCATGGGATGAAAATCTGGGCACAGTGCAACTAGCATGTCCGTTGAGAAGGAATCTGGATTCGCTGAACGACTGCACGGTTTACTTAACTGGGGTGTTGTTGGCAACAAGGTCATAAAACGGATGCTTCGCTTAACAGCTGCCTGGCTTAGCAACGGAAATGCTGGTCCAAGTTTTGGACCTAAATCAAGGCCTACTTCTGCTCCACTCCCTCTGCTTTCCTCCACTTTCTCCCCCTAAGATGTCTTCCCCCTCTGTTAGAAAAAGCTTTCCTTTTCCCACGCTGACTTTATCCAAAGCTTCTACACAGACAGCTAATGCCACCTTTTTTTCCCATACTTGAGAAATCTGCTTTCAGGGCTCTGGCTTGTTGCAGGGATTTTTTTTCCCCCAACCGTCTCACCTTGCCGTGTCCACTTTTGCTGCGGACAATCTCGGGAGCCATGTATTCGATGGTGCCGCAAAACGAGAAGGTCCGTTCTCTCTGTGGCAAGAGGAAAGAAAAAGGAAAGAAGGAAGGGAGAGAGAAAGGAAAGGAAGGAAAGAAAGGAAGGAAGGAAGGAAGGAAGGAAGGAAGGAAGGAAGGAAGGAAGGAAGGAAGGAAAGAAAAAGAAAGTAAGTGGAAGGAAGGAAAGAAGAAAGGAAAAAAGAAAGGAAGGAAGGAAAAATTGAGTTTTGATGACAATAAAGAGATACATTTTGTGCAGCTGTAAGACATAGAAGAAAAGAAACCAGCAACCAGATCAGAACCGATGATTATCTAATCCAGGGGACGCAAAACTTGGCAACTGTAAGATTTGTGGACTTCAATTCCCAGAATTCTCAGCCAACCATGGGGAATTCTGGGACCTGAAGTTCACAAGTCTTAAAGTTGCCAAGTTTTGAGGCACCCCAATCTAATCCTACGTTCTGGGATAACTGCAACTGGCTGAGGCATTCTGGGAGTTGAAGTCCACAAGTCATAAAAGCCCAAGTTTGAAGACCCCCTGTTCTAAATTGTTGGCAAAAGCTGGTCGCTGGAGCTGATTCTCCAAGCAATTCTGGCCTCCTCCACAGAGACGTAACTCTCCCCCCACCATTTCCACTCAGTTCTATCTAAACCCTGATCCCATGAACCAGACAATCCTGGACGCCGTTAGGGGAAGAAGCGAGCTTTCCTGGCAAACCAAACTCACATCCTCCGTCACAAATTCCTTGCTCAGGCCGAAATCGGTCAGCACCACGTGGCCCTCGTTGTCCAGCAGGATGTTTTCCAGCTTCACGTCCCGATAAATGATGCCGAGCTGAGGAACGAGAAAGGGACCTCTTTGGCCCTTGTGCCAGCAAGCCACGATAATCTGACAACTGTTTGATCGCAGGAGCGGAGGAAAGACCAGCCGACTCTTCCCCCTGTGCCTTTTGCGCTGGCTCAGAGGCCCTCTTGCTTTCCCTGATGGAGACCCCCTCTAGCTCCATGTCTTTCACCGTGCAGAAACTTGAGTTTTCATCCAGCTCCTTCCTTCCGTTCCGGGCAGACGGGCAGCCCGAGAGATTTAATAAGTCCTTAAATAAACCCTTACCTTGTGCAGGTGTTCGAGGGCCAGAATGATCTCCCCGCTGTAAAACCGTACTTCCTCCTCGGTGAAGTGGTCCCGCTGGTCCAAGTGGGTGAACAGCTCGCCTCCGCTAACGTAGTCTGGGAAGGACGAGGCTCAGGTTGAACCCTCCGCAGGACCAGCCAGCATCCCCTCCCAGCTCGCCATCCATTCTTCCTCCGGCCCCAATTCTCCCTTCCTACCCAGAATCAGATGGAGCTTGGAGTCCGTCTGGAAGGCGTAATGCAGCGTCACGAGGAAAGGCGACTGGCGCACATGTTCCAGGACGGTCCTCTCCGTCCGCGTGTGTTCGGTCGTCTTGGCTTTAGCGACGATGGCCGCTTTCCGGAGCACTTTCATGGCGTAAAGCTTGTTGGCGTCGTGGCCGGTGAGTTTACGGACCAGGAACACCTTCCCGTAGGCTGAAGCGCAAGAAAGGGGGCTGGATTCAAAGGCAGTCCTCCATTTACAACCATCCATTGAGTGACTGAAGTTACAACAGCAGCGAAACATGGCCGTTTTTCAGACTTAATGACCGTTGCAGCACCCCCAGGCTCACGTGATCAACATGCAGACACTTGGCGACCGACTCGTATTTATGACGGTCGCAGTATCCCAGGATCACGGGGCCCATTTTTGCCACGAGCAAAGACAATGGGGAAGGCAGATTCATTTAACAACCGGGTTATTAACTTAATGACAGTGGGGAAAAAGGTCATAAAACAGGGCAAAACCCACTTAGCAAGGGACATGTTTGACTCAATTGTGGCCGTAAGGCGAGGACTCCCCTGTATGCTCTCGATTAATGAGATTGGGTGGGGCACGTTTGAAATATTTTGCCGAAAGAGTGAACTTGCAAAAGGACAGGAAAGACGGAAGGCCCCCTTTCAAATTTTATTTTTTTTCCCTCCCTCCGTGCAGTTTAGCACATCCTGGATCCAGAGTTAAACGCTCCAGTGTCGCCCTGGGGTCACGTGATCCCCTTTGGCGACCGTCTGACCAGCCAAGTCAATGGGGGAGCCCGATTTGTTTAACAACCGTGTTGCTAGCTTAAAAACGGGAGTGATTCAGTTGACAACTGTGGCAAGAAGGATCGTTCAAATGGGGTGAAATTCACTTAACAAACGTCTCACTTAGCAAACGGAAATTTTGGGGGTCAATTATGGTCTCCTTATTTCTAGAGTGCTTCTCTCCTTGGTGAGTTTCCATCCGTTGCTTCTCGTCCTGCCTTCAACCATGTGACTAACTCAATAGCTGCAATTCGTGGAGCAACAACGGTCATAAAAACGGGGCAAAATGTCACCGGACCAACGTCTCGCTTAGTGACGGAAACTTGGTTTCCAGGGCTCACTTTGCAGTGTTCGTTCCGAGCTCTACTTTTCTCTCCCTCCCCCTGAATCAGAGGGGAAAATAGCTGCAATTTCACGATTCTTAATGTTTTATTTTTTTTGTAAAAAAAAAATGCTGTCTCTATCGTTAGACAGAGCGGAGAAGCAGAGAGAGAAAGGGACGGAGAGGAATGCTTGCTAAAAGCCTTGTAAACATGGTTTCCACTCACCTCCGGTGCCCAGGACTTTGAGCAATTCAAAATTTTCCATCCCCACCTTCTCCTCATCATGCCCGGTTAAATTGGCTAATCAGAGAAAGGGAGACAAAAAAAAAAAAATTAAAAATGCACGGGTTATTCTGCCATTAAAAGAATCCAAAATCCAGAGTTTTCATCCCAGCCCGAGATTTATATCCAAATTGTATTCCACGGACAAAAACCTAAACTTGGAAGGACACACACAGGTCGTGTAACCCAACCCTCTCCCCATTTTCACAGCAAGATCAGCTCTGAAACGCCCAGCCTGTGTTTGAGGACTAGAGTCTTGGCCAATGGTATTTGGACCCGGCTTCTTTTTTTCAGTCTGGGGCTGTTCCAAGTAGCAGTTCCAAGGGTGGGGAAAAAATGATTGGATCATTCTGGAGACAAAAGAACAAAAATGAAGTCCTCAAGCCTGTTTCAGGCTTCTGAGGAGAGCAGAGATAGCAAAATGACCAATTGCAAGGGGGGGGAAAAATGAAATGATTTAAAGGCACAGTTGTCTCCGTTTATCCCCCATGCACAAGGGTTTGCTTGGATGTATTTGAAAAAATGCCTTCAAGAGAATTGTAAAACCAAACATATCTGTGTCTTTTTTAAAAAAGCAACATTTTATTTACATAGGAGAAGAGTGCCAAACCAGGGGAAATAGCTTTCAAAAACAAGAGAAAAAAAGTTTCCTTAAAAACATCATGAAAACAGTTACTTAAGACAAAACACAATAGAAAAAATAATAATGAATAGAATAGAACGGAACAGAACAGAATAGAATAGAATACAGAATAGAATAGAATAGAAGATAGGATAGGATATGTGGAATAGAATAGAATGCAGAATAGAACAGAATATAGAATAGAATATAGGATAGGATAGGATAGAATAGAATAGAATAGAATAGAATAGAATAGAATAGAATAGAATAGAATTATTCTTTATTGGCCAAGTGTGATTGGACACACACGGAATTTGACTCTGGTGCAATAAGCTCTCAGTGTACATATAAACAACAAAGTGATAGGTCATAGAACATAAATCGTAGTTACGATCATTAATCGTAACTTACAAACAAGTGATAAAGATCACTTTATCAACAAGAGCTAGCACAAGCCTCTTGAAAAAAAATCAAAAGAATGGATTGGCTGCTAAAATAGCAATAACAATCGCCACAAATAAGAACAGTGTTATGCTCCTGATAGTCACGCCATTCCTACTGAATGGTGATCGAACCAGCCTATCAGTTTTGTAAATCAACTAAAGTAATATATACATTTGGTGTCCCAGACAACTTTCTAAAGAATCCCAGCAATTCTCAGTCTTTAGGGACATGTTAGTTAATGAATTAGTCAACTTACTGAATTTAGAGGCTACTTCAGTGCCCGATGTTGGCATTTTGGCTTCAGCAGACTGAATTTATTATACTGGCTCTATTTCAGCCATCTGGGGCCTTACTAGTTTTTTTCCTATAATCCTTACTTTCAGCATAATTTTTAAAAATATTAACTGCATCAGACCATCTTTTTCCAGCCTAGCGCAACCCTCTAACCCACTTCACTCATTTATTTGATTAATTTAATTTTCTGAACTAAAACAGACCTGGTCACACTAATTGGCAATGCGTGTGAGGCGACGTTTCTCAACTCAGCCATGTTAAGCTGTGTGGACATCAACTCCCAGAATTCCCCAGCCAGCATGCTTTAAAGATGGGTGGACTTCAACTCCCAGAATTCCCCAACTAGCCCACTTAAAGATATGTGACTGGGGAATTCTGGGAATGGAAGTCCACCCGTCTTAAAAGTTGCTGAGATTGAGAAACACTGGTGTAGGTTGAGCCAGGCACCCCCCCAAGGGATCAGCGCGGGAACCGTGGCCCTTTTATTCTATTCTATTCCTCATTGCTGAAATCTTTGATCACACACAGGTCACACTTCCCCACCCAATTCCCACCCCATTTCCAGGCAGGTGAATCACAGGTTAACCAACATGCAGTCAAGCGGGCCCACACTTGCCCAGGAGACTAGCAGCCCAAACGGCCTCTTTTCAGACCACACACACAACACACAACAGCCCATGCTTCAATCTTTCCCCGCAGATGAAATCCCAAAGGAAGTCGTGGGTTTTCCCCCCATATTTCTTCGATCGGCTTTCAGATCAACGGCCTTCCTTCCCGGCGTGCCACGTGCTTTTAAAATTTAAAAATAAAACCAAAACAACGGGCCCTCTAATCCACCATTTTAAAACCGTTCCCTTCTCCTTCGGGGTGTGTATGTGTGTGTGTGTGTCCCTCGAGTAAAAATCCCTCCACGCTAAAGGCAGTCAGAAGGAGAGACCCACGCAGGCACATTAAACACCCCTCCTGCAGCGGCGGCTGTTTTTTCGTGATTTGCAAAAGTGGGATTTTTTTTTTTACCAAAAAAAAAAAAAAAATCGTTCCGTCAAGTCAATGGAAAGGAGAAAAAAAAATCCTAAATCCAGAAGGATCCCGTTACTAGACCTAACCCAACTCCCTTTCCTTCTGCAATCCATCCCCTATCCAAACACTCAGCAAATCCTTCTCACAAACAAGGTCCTGTCCTTTTAATAACCTTCCCCAGCATGCTCTTCTCTAAGGTAGACTGCCCTGCTCTCTGGAGGCTCCATTTTTATTTTGTTTTTGTTTTGAAATCTGGAACTGACAAATGCGGATAACCAGTATTAAACTTCCTTAGCTTAAAGGGCACGTTCAAGTTGTGTTCGGGCCACAATTATCGCTCTGCGATCCAGAATTATGATAATGAAGGAGCAGAAAGAAAAATCCTGGGGGTGTTGATTGACAAGTGAAGCAAATGGGAGGGGTTGAGGTTAGGCTCTAGGTCAGTGGTTCTCAACCTGTGGGTCGGGACCCCATTTGGGGTCGAACGACCATTTCACGGGGGTCGCCAAACAACGCAGTCCGCCATTTTTTTCCCCTTTTCCTTAGCTGTGCTACTCCCTTTTATTCTATTGGCTTTTGAAAGCCAATAGAATAGACTCTCTTGAATAGAGTCTAATTCTATTGGCTTTCAAAAGCCAATAGGAATTGTCCAGGCTGTCTCTGCCCTGCTGAGCCCGCCAAAAGTCCCATTCTGCAAACGGTGCTCCACCAGTTGAGTAGTCGACTTAACGATCGGTTGAGTAGTCCTCGACTTACGACCGGTTGGGGGTCGCGGCATTAAAAAGGTTGAGAACCACTGCTCTAGGGGCTGAGGATGCATCCGCATGAACCTACAGCTGGATTCAGACATCGTACTTAACCTGGTCACCCAAAGATGAAGGAATTGCATTCACACCTGGGTCACTTTCATTAGGCTTTTGATAGCTGCACTCAGGAAGTGTCTCCGTTCCACGTTAAGTGTGCCGCTGGTCTCTATTTTTTTTTCAAACTTGGCAACTTTGGAGGTGTGTGGACTCCATCGCCCAGAATTCCCCAGCCAGCAAGCCCCCACCTCTCAAAGTTGCCAACTTTGGAAAACATGGACCTTTAGATAACTGCTGAGGAGACTCAGGTTTTCCAAATGGGCATAAGGCAATCTCCTTAATGTGCACCCCTTGACAGCCAGAAAAAAAAACCTGGGGGGCTGCTTTAAGGCTCAACCCCCCCAGCCCAGTGGGGGGGCTCCTTCCCCTGTTTGCACCAGCTCACCCCCACCCCAAATTTAAGGCCAGCCGTACCTTGATCACGCTTTCCAAACATACCGTACAGTTTAATAGTGCTTTGATGTAAGGATGCTTAACTGCTGAAGGCAGAGGGGGCGTTCAGCCCCGAAGCAGCCCCCCCCACCCCGAAACAGCCTTCTGCACCCCTCCCACCACCCACCTGCCGCCGCCTCCAGGCGCCACGGCTGCTTGCTCGCGCCCCCCCACCAGCCCGCCCCCACGTGCCAATCCCGGTGGGGGTGGGCTGGTGATTCAGCTGCACACATAGACCCCCTCCCCAGGACACAGACACATCCCCCGGGAGCCCCCCGGTTCCAGCTGGGCGGGGAGGCGGGGCTTGCATCCATTCAGGGGCGGCGCTTCCCCCACTTTGAAAAATAACACTCGGCCAGGCCTGGCCAGCTCGAGCCCCTTGCTCGCTCGGGACGGGGAAGGGTTAGGGTCGCCTGGGTGGGTGGTTGGGGGGTCTCAGGCCGGGGCTCCTGTCTTTGCCCGGCTCTGGATTCTACTCCTACCTTGCAAAGCTAGAAGTGGCGGGCGGGGGGGGGGATGTGCTCGAAAGAAGCAACTGGTGTCTCTCCGTTCCCCTTCCCGGGCGCCGCATCGCGGAGACGGGGAGAGGGTCCCCCGACGGGGAGAGGGTCCCAAGGGATGCCCGGCGCCTTTGCCCCCCGCCATCTCTTCTGCTACAGTGGCAGCGGGGTGGGGGGGGCACCAGATTCCCTTCCTCATCCCCTCCGATCCAGCTCGCAGCGTGCCCCCCAACTCCATTCCCTCCAGCGCCCCAAGAAGGAAGGGTGCTCCCCCGTCTCGGCCCGCGCTCCTTCCTCCCTGCGCCCCCCAACTCGGCGGGCCGCCGCGGCCGCCTTCCTCCCCGCCCTGCAGGATCTCGACGGTGGGGGTGGAGGGGAGGGGACCCCGTTGTCACCCTGCCATTCCACCCCCCCCCCAGCCCCTTCCCGGGGTCCCCTTTCCCGCGCGCCCCGGCTTGGAGAGGTTCCAAGGGCGCGCGGTGCGCCCTAGGCGCGGCTGGCGTCTCCAAGGTCCCCTTGCGCTCCAGCGGGGGAGACCCTCCGGAGGAGGGGGGATCGCCGCCCCGCGATCTTGGGGTACCGTTGGTAAGGGGCAGCTCCACCGTCTCCTCCTCGGTGCCGTCCCCCATGGCCGGGCCGCCGAGCCGTCGCCCTCCTCTTCTTCCTCCTCCTCCTCCTCCTCCTTCCTTCCTTCCTCGCCTGTCTAGCGCTGCCTCCGCTCGCCTTACATGCTGCGGGCCGCACACGCTTCCTGGTGCAGCGAGCGAGCGAGCGCCCGCCGCCGCCGCCGCCGCCGCCTTCTCCTCCAGGCCTGAGTCAAGCGGCAGGAATGCGGGAGCCCGGCGAGAGGAGGAGAGGAAGCGCAGGCAAAATCCGGGGAGCCGCCCCGGGGAGGGCTACGGGACCCCCTGGCTGCCACCCAGCCCACCCACCCATCCACTCCCCCAAAGTTGCCTGCGGTTGTCACCCGCTGGGCAGGCGGCTCCTAGAAGCCCTTCCCCCTTCGCCAACGCCGAAGGTTTGGGGGGGGCAGTCGGGGCGCCGGGCTTCCTTCCTTTCCCCCTCCCTTCCTCAGTGTGTATGTGGGGGGGGCAGTTTTGGGGCGCCAAGGGTTCGTTTGACCCCCCCCCCTGGAAACAGGCCGAAGAAACAGAACCCCCAAGATTTCTGTTCCTTTGGAAGGACACAGGGAATATAGAATAATAAAGAGGTGGAAGGGACCTCAGAGGTCTTCTAGTCCAACCCGCTGCTCAGGCAGGAGAGATCTAAACCATTTCAGATCAATGGCTGCCCAGTCTCTCTTTCTCTCTCTCTCTCTCTCTCTCTCTCTCTCTTTTGAAAGCCTTCTGTCATGGAGCGCCCACAATTTCTGAAGGCAAGCGATTGCTCAAAAAAGGTTGGGTTTTTTTTTCCAGATTTGGGGAGGCAGCTACTCCCAGAATCCCCTTCCTTTTTTCGGTTCAAAGTGGGAATACAAAATCATGCTTAAATCTCCAACGCCCCTAAGCCTTCCCGCCCTTGCATACCCACACCTTAAAAAAATCTGCTTTATGCAGTATTCAGCCAAACAAACAAATAAAAAGACAAGATGCCTTAGCTACAATCCAGTGAAACTGGCAGGCCAGAGAAAGCTACAGGGGAGGGGGTGTCATGGGGAGGGGGGAGCCAGGAGCTCAAATGAAATTAAATCAATCATTGGAACGATCCTGAAGTTCCAATGGATTTCCATAGATGGATTATCTATTTGCAAGGAGACTTGTTGAAAGCTTCATAGGCGAACGGGTAGTTCTGTTCTCCATCCAGAACTTGCAAGTGGCCACTATGATAAATAATTATTACTGTGCTGATAAAGCGGATTAAAATTGGGATTCCTGACTGCTCTCTGAGCTTGGTGGTTTTCTTGCAGACGTTTTGTGACCCAACTAGGTAACATCATCAGTGTTAGTTGGGTTTGCTGCAGATGTTCCTCGTTGTAGCACGGAAGATGTTACCTAGTTGGGTAAAGAAACATATGCAAGAAAACAACTGCGTTCCAGTCCCGCCTTTGTCATGAAAGCCAGCTGGGTGACTTTGGGCCAATCACCAGGTGATTCTGAGTTCTAGTTCCGCCTTAGCCACAAAAGCTGGCTGGGCGACTTTGGGCCAATTAGCAGGACATTGTGAATTCTAGTCCTGCCTTAGGCAGGCAGGCAGGCAGGAAGGCAGGCAGGCAGGAAGGCAGGCAGGAAGGAAGGAAGGAAGGAAGGAAGGAAGGAAGGAAGGAAGGAAGGAAGGAAGGAAAAAAAAGAATAGCAGAATAACAGAGTGGGATGGGACCTTGGAGGTCTTCTAGTCCAACCCCCTGCTCAAGGCAGGAGTTCTTATACCATTCCAGACAAACGGCTGTCCAGTCTCTTCTTGGAAGCTTCCGTGATGGAGCACCACCATCAACCATGGCCAAAAAAAAAACACAATAAAGGCCACAAAATCGGGCACAACAACCACCTCACTTACCAACATAAATTCTTGTCTCCATTGTGGTCGCAAATCAAGGGCTACCTTGCCTTCGCATGTCCATTGTGTCTTATTACTGTAACGTTTTATTTATTCATTTTTACATATTAAATTCATTCGCCCCCTCCCTCCATCTTGCCATAGGCGAGAGTTGCACCGACCCGCAAAAAAAAAAAAAAAAAAAAAAAGGTGGTTGATCTCTGGACTTTGAAACTCCCCGCCACAAGAAGGGAGACCCAATTAGCTAAAAATAATAATAATAATAAGTCTCAGAAGGGGGTTGAAAGTCCTCCAGGGTTTGCTTGTTTGGTTGTGAGTTGCAAAAAAAAAAAAAGGATCAAGTAGATTCCAGCTACTCTTGGTCTGGCACCAGCCCAGACCGGAAGAAGACCTGGGTTGTTGTTTTCGCGCAGGGTTTTCCCATATCTTCCAGGAAGTGAGTCTTTCCTTGGTGACTTGTGCATCTTTCCAAGGCGGCTTGTGGGTTTTTGTTGTGGGTTTTGCATTTGTTGTTCAGAGGTGGGAAGGGAACACAAGGGAGACTGTCTTTTCTGACCGTTTTTCCTCCAGAAACATCACAAGAGACATTTTGAAGTTTGATCCTCCTCGCCCAGCGGCCGTCCTAAAAAAAAATGCACACGCACACGCGATTCAGAATTATCAGAATAAAAAGAGCTGGAAGGGACCCTGGAGATCTTCTAGTCCAACCCCCTGCCCAGGCAGGAAACAGTCTACTATTGATGTAAACTAACCAAGGAGAGAAGCAACCTGGAATTAAGGAGAATCTTCCTAACAGGGAGAACATTCCAAGTTACAACGGCACTGAAGAAAGTGAATTATGACCATTTTTCACACTTACAACCATTGCAGCATTCCCCCGTGGTCACGTGATTTTACATTCGGATACTTGGCACCTGCCTCCTATTTACGACGGTCGCAGCGTCCCGGGATCACGCGATCCCCTTTTGCGACCTGACCAGTAAAGTCAGTGGGGGAAGTCAGACCCACTTAACCACCGTGTTACTAATTGAACAGTTGCAGCGATCCACTTAACAAGCGCGGCACGGAAGGTCGTAAAATGAAGCAAAATGCACTGAACATAAATTTTGCGCTCAGTTGTGGTCGTAAACCAGTGGTTCTCAACCTTTTTAATGCCGCGACCCCCAAACCAGTCGTAAGTCAAGGACTACTCAACCGGTCGTAAGTCGAGGACTACTCAACTGGTGCAGCACCGTTTGCAGAATGGGACTTTTGGCGGGCTCAGCAGGGCAGAGACAGCCTGGACAATTCCTATTGGCTTTTGAAAGCCAATAGAATTAGACTCTATTCAAGAGAGTCTATTCTATTGGCTTTCAAAAGCCAATAGAATAAAAGGGAGTAGCACAGCTAAGGAAAAGGGGGGAAAAAATGGCGGACTGCGTTGTTTGGCGACCCCCGTGAAATGGTCGTTCGACCCCAAATGGGGTCCCGACCCACAGGTTGAGAACCACTGTCGTAAACGGAGGACTGCCTGTATCTTCATTCTCATCACCAGCCAGGCTCAGCCTGGCTCAATCAATCAATCAATCAAGCCTCACCTCTCTTCTCCTCGCTGGTTGTGGACAATTGGCTTGGGGGTTCCGACTCTCCTGCAGAAGCCGCTGGGTCTTCCGCGGCCCCCCACAACACGCCCAATCGGCGTTGCCGGAAACGCCGCCTGGGGGTGTCCTCCTGGCCCTCTTCATCCCCGACGCCCGAAGGTTCTGTCGCCGGCATCCGGGAACTCAGCCGGGAATGGCAGAAGGGGACCGGCTGGCTCTCCGGGATGCTGAGGTTGCTGCTGGCTTTGCGGAGGAGAAACGGCGAGCTGGGAGCGCTGGAAGCTTTGGGGGGGAACCAAGAAAAAGAGGCAGAGCTGGTTAAAAAAAAACGGCATTCTGGGAATGGAGCAAGTTGTAATATTTCAGCAAGAAGCCAGGTGGATCTGAACATCAAGGAAGGTCCGTGTGTGAGAATAGCAGATTTAGAAGGGACCTTGGAGGTCATCTAGTCCAACCCCCTGCTTGAGCAAGAGACTATATTCCGTTTCAGACAAATGGTTGTCCAGTCTCTTCTTAAAAAGCTCCAGTGACGTAGGAGGGAAGGAGGGAAAACCCAAAACTGCTAGGAGGCAAGTCATTGTATCATTCTGGCCTACAAAGAAATCTTTCCCATGGAAATTAAATTGACTACTGACATAGCTCGTCCTCAACTTATAACAATTCATTTAGTGGCCATTTGCAGTTACAACGGCACTGAAAAAAACCTGACTTATCCCTAGTTTTTACCCTTCAGACTGTTGCAACACCCCCACGGACACGTGGTCAAAATTCAGACGGTTGGGAACTGGCTAGTGCACCCTCCATCCTTTGACCAAGTTGGCCCGGCCCTCACCTGTACTATCAAGCCCATGGTCCTCTGGTCCGGCCAGGCTCTCGCTGCTGCTGCCCGCTCCCTCCGCCATGGGGCGCGGCTGCTCTCTGCGAAGTTTCATCAGCCTCCTTATCTTGCCAGCAATCCAGTTACTCTTCCTGGCCCAGCAGAAGAAGAGGAGACAGGGACAAAAAAAAAAAAAGAAATTATAAACCTTTTCCCAAAGAAGCAGAAGTCTACGGACGTATCCACACGTGTTGTAGTGTACCTTGATCCAGGACGGAGTTGTTATTTTTAACCGTTTCCTAAGCTAGGTGACGCTGCAGGGCTTCTCTCTCTCTCTCTCTCTCTCTCTCCCCCTCCCCCCCGACTAGATTTAAACCTGGTTTTGGGGTCTGCAAAGAATGAGCACCGTACTTCTTTGCATGTACAAAGTTGTGTGTATCACACTTACTTGCCCCGGGGAATGGTGGGCTCCAGCACCCGGTATTGGTCCATAATTTTCTCCACCAGTTTCTGTTTCTCTCGACGCAATTCGCCTAATTTGTCGCTGTGGAAGAAAGAACCGGGGGGAGAGGTTATAATCTGGAGCAGAGAGTTGAAAAAAGCCACTCCCAGATTTTATCTGTTTATCTATCTATCTATCTATCTATCTATCTATCTATCTATCTATCTATCTATCTATCTATCTATCTATCTATCTATCTATCTAGTTGAATTGCTGCTTTTTTGCTTAAGCGACGGCCATTTTCAGCCACTCACTGGTACTGACGCTGCTCCTCCTGAAATTGTTCTCGGTTCTCCATGCTGCGTTCCAACAGCTGTCTGTTCTCCCTGCTCAACAGCTGGATCTCCTGAAGCAGATGCCGGTTCTCTTCCTCCTGTTTGCCCTTCAACTGGACGAGCAGCTGCCGAGAAGAACAGAGGTGCCGTCACTGAAAGGACTATCAGCAAGGCCTCTTGGATATCCAGGTGAGGGCAAACTCACAGGGTGTGTGTGTACGTGTGTGTGTGTGTGTGTGTTACCTCACATTGGGTGCTCAGGCGCCCCAAGGCTGTGTCCAGCTGCTGGTTCTGCTCTTTCAAGGCGGCGTTTTCAGCTTCCAGCTTTGCCTGCTCCAATTGCAAGCCGGTCAGCCGGTTCTGTGTTCCTTGAAGCTCACCTTGGAGGTCATCCTGGGCCCGTTCAGCCTGGACCAATGCTTGTTTGACCCTGCAGGATTTGGGAAGGGCCGTCCTGTTACGAAAGGCGTCCTCCCCTCCTTGACGGCTTGAATAAATCTTAATTACCCCAGTATAATAATATGAAGAAGAAAAGAAAGGGAGGACCAGTGGTGATAGGCGCCTTGGGTGCCACCCCAAAACATATGAAGCAGCCCTTGAACTCTGTCGGCATTGACGCAATCCCCATCGGTCAATTGCAAAAGGCAGCTTGACTGGGAACAGTTGAAATCCTACCAGACCTTTTAACCCCATCAAACCACAACCTCTGCCTGTCCCAGGTCCTTGGGAAGGACTCAGAAGTGGACAAAAAGGGGCCCAGTCCAGGTCTAAACATCTGTCTAACTGTGTGTGACAAACCATAACAATTAGCAATTGAACACTGTCGGCATTGACACAATCCCCGTCAGTCAGTTGCAAAAGGCAGCTTGATTCGAAGCAGCTGACATCCTGCGGACGAGACTTTGAACAGCCAGTTCTTTCAGTCTTGTCGTGACTTCCGACGGTCACTAAACAAATCGTTCTAAGTTGAAGACTGCCTTATTTATCGTCAAATGCACAGGAAGCCCAGGGTTCAAGTCACCATTGAAGGACTTACAAACGGCTTGATAAGTCTGTTGGCTTCCCAATTTCCCCAGCCTTACCGCTCATGTTCTTCTTTTAAATTGGCGTGTTGCTCAGCCAAATCCCGGTGCTGTTGCTTGGCTACTTCAAGCCGTTCCTTCTGGGCCTGCAGTGCCACCTCTTGTAGCTCTAGGCTGTTCTTCTGCCCCAAGAATTGGTTGCACCTGCGGTCATAATTTGAGGACTCCCCGTCAGGGTTTAATTCAACGGCTGGCCACCCTCGATGGGCAATCGCGTCCTAGGCGCGGATTTCCCACAATCCCCCTGCTGCTGCGGCACCTGCTCTCCAGTTCCCGCTGCTCCTTCTCCAGGCCGCGCAGCGCAGCCTTGAGGCCAGCTTGCTCGCTTAGCGTCCTCTCCAGCTCCTCTCCCTGCTGTCGATGTAGCAGCGCCAAGCGGTCGTGATCCAGGCGGAGGTGCTCATAGCGTCTCCGCCAGGCCTCCGCCTCCAGCCGGACCGTCTGAACTTCGGCCTCGTGGCGGCCCGACCTCTGCCGGACCTCGGACAACTGCCTTGCCAGGAGAGAGCGCTGGGGACGTAGAGAGGCAGGCAGGTGAGAAAAGCCCAGGATTAAAGTGGAAGACCCCAGCACAGAGGGGAGGAGAGGACAGCAGCCCCAGTGCAGGCAGTTACAATTGGAAGCAGAATTTCCATCACTAAGCAAGGCAGTTGTAACAGGGAGAAGGACAGCATATGAATTTAATTATCTATCTATCTATCTATCTATCTATCTATCTATCTATCTATCTATCTTTATAAAATGTATAGGCCACCCATCTTACCTCAAGCTAACTCTGGGCTGAGTTTATAAAGAAATAAACAAACAAACCAGCACATTTATTTAAAATGTATTGATTTATCTATAAAATTGACATGCTGCCCATCTCACTGTTAGAACCGCCTGGCTTAGCAAGGGAAATTTGGCTCCCCAAAGTGGTCATAAGTCAAGGACCGCCCCTAATTTATTTACAAGGTTTGAGTCGCCCCCCAATTTAGCGATCTCTTCGTGGCCCCGGTTGTTAAGTGGATCCCGCCGGCCCCTCCCATTGGCCTCGCTTGTCTGAACCTCACCTGCGACGTGCTGTTCCCAGGTTGTGGGTGCCCGTCTCCTTCTCTGCCTTCTGCCTTTTGCCGGGCCAGGCCCAGCAGCACCGTCTCCAGGCTGCTGGCCAGGGACTCCAGTTGGGTCAGGCGCCCGGTGAGCGCCGAATCCTCACCTTGGAGAAGCGTATTCTGGCAGGAAAAAACAACCCAGCGCGCCAAATTTTGAAAAGCTGTCCTAACGTTTAGAGAAAGGGGTCTTACAGGCATCACAGGCCATCCTCGACTTACAACATTTCATTTAGTGACCGTTCCAAGTTACAAAAGCCCTGAAAAAAGGGACCCAGGGCCGCTTTTCACACTTAACGGCCGTCGTAGCATGCCCCACGATCACGGGATTGAGACGGGTCTCACCTGAGGCTGAACCGGCGGTTCCTTGGGGAGGTGCAGTTCCTCGAACTGCCCGATGGGGGCGCTCTTGGGCTGGCCTTTGGGACTGTTCCTGGTTTTTGGGTGGTTGCCAAGACAGAGGGAGCCATCAGCAGAGAAGAGGGCCAGGTGTTTGCCCCCCCCCCGAATCTCTGGGTTGGGGGTCAGCTCATTCCTTCCTTCCTTCCTTCCTTCCTTCCTTCCTTCCTTCCTTCCTTCCTTCCTTCCTTCCTTCCTGTTCTCTCTCTGTCCTTCTTCCACTCTGTTCTCTCTGTCTCTGTCTCTCTTTCTTTTTTCTTTCTTTCTTTTTTCTACCTTTACTTTCCCTGTCTTTTCCTCCTTCCCTCCCTCCCTCCCTTCCTTCTTCTCTGTTCTCTCTCTCTTTCTTTTTCTTTCTACCTTTCCTTTTCCTCCCTCCCTCGCTTCCTCTCTGTTCGTTCTTTCGTTTTCTTTTTTTCTTTTTCTTTTATTTCTACCTTTCCTTTCCCTCTGTCTTTCCCTCCCTCCCTCTGATATAGCTGCCCATTTTATATGCCAGGACCCTCGGCAGTTCACAGAAGAACAACACAACCACCCCCAAGCCATAAAACCATAACAAAAAATCTCCAGCCCTATATATATATATCCCTGTGAAGTTTCCCTGGCTCCAGCCACACACACACACACACCACACCCGCAACTAGCATAACCCCTCCTGTGCAGGGCCCAGCCTGACCTGGTGCTGGTCTCCGGCTGAGGATTTTGTTGCTTCTTCCAGGGCTGGTCCTGGAGCTCGTCCGGATTCTCTCTGGAGGGCCCAGCCTTTTTTCTCACCAGCTCCTGCGGCACAATCAGACATCCTGTGAGCAAAGGGCCTTGTCCTTCCTTTACACCCCCCCCCCGCAACTCCAGTGCAGGCCGTCCTCGACTTACAACAGTTCATTTAGTGACCGTTCAAAGTTACAACGGCACTGAAAACAAATGAGTTACGGCCCTTTTTTTTTCACAGTTACCACCGTTGGTCACGTGATCAAAATTTGGCGGCTTGGCAACCGACTCACATTTATGACGGCCGCAGTCACGTGACATATATTCATGGCTTTGAGTTGACTGCAGACAACAAATAACAACAACAACAACAATACAGGTTAAATGCAACACTTGTTCTTCCAACCCAGTTAAATATTAGGAGTCATCTTTGGCTGTCCTGTAGCACCCCCTGGTGGATGAAGCTGAAATATACTGATAGACCTTCTCTTAACGACTGTAATTGTAATGGCAGTACTGCCATTAAGCGAAGCTTATTCTTCTGCAATCTCTTCCACTCCAATCTGTGCTCTGTGAGGTGTGTGTGTGTGTAAGTGTAAGTCAGTGATTTCTGTCTCTCTCTCCTTTGCCTGGGTCCTCTCCCCCTTGTAGTACAAAGAGATCGGAGAGGAAGGGACTGCAAGAGAATAAGCTATTTGTTCCCACGCCTCTAGAGCAATGCCGTTGCACCAGCAGTGGGAAAGATTCATTGCTGCAAACAGGTCAAAAGTTGAGTGATCACAATTTCTCCTCTTTATACACACACATGCACACACACTCTCCTATACACACATACGATGGGAAATAGCTCATTTGTCACTCTCACTTTCTCTTGCTTTTTTCTCTTCCCTCCACTTCCCTTTTTCCTTTAATGCTGACTCCGATGAGATTGTTAGGGGAGGAGAGGCCCCCCAAAAAAAAAATGCTGCAGGAAAACTCTGGGCGCTTTTACAGCTGAACAACTGGCACTCCCCCCCCAAAAAATTCCAGCTGTTGACCTCAGGACCTTTCTCAGCCGTGCTGTTTATATCCCAGTACAGGTAGTTCTCAACTTACAACCATTTTTTTTTTCCCACACTGACAACCTTTTAACCGCATCCCCACGATCACACGCTCAAAATTCAGGCTGTATTTGTGTATTTGTGACGGTTGCCTTACCCTCCCCGATCTCCTTTTGCGACCTTCCAATAAGTCAGTGGGGAAGCCTTAACAACCCTGTTACTTAACAACTGTGGCAATTCATTGAGCGACTGCAAAAGGAGGCAAAATTCACCCAACACCGGTCTCGTTTAGCAACGGAAACGTTGGGCTCGGTTGCCGTCGTAAGCCGGGGACTGTATCCCGTCCCAGTTACCTGTTCCAGCAAGGCGGCGACTTTCTCCTGGTCGTCCAGTCGCTTTCTCAAGCTCGCGTTCTCCTGTTCCAGCTGGCCAAGACTTTGGAGAACCTCTTGTAGGCTGTTGAGTTCCGCTGCCTGCTGGCACGTTTGAGCCTCTAGGAGGGCCAGGTGGCGGCCCTGCTCTGCCAGGGCCTCCTCTTGTGCCTGGCTTTTGGCCTTCAGCCGCCAACTCTCCTTGTCCCCTTGTCGCCGGCAGCTCTCCGCTTGGCCCAGCGCCTCTTCCAAAGCCCCTTTCTCAGCCCCCAGCTGGGCCAAGGAGACCCTGTGGTGCTCTAAGCTCCGTTGCAGGTTCTGGAGCTCCTGCTGAGCTTCCCCCAACTCTTCCTCTCTCTGTTGGAGTTTCTGGGCTAGCTGGGTGCTTCGAAGATGTTCCTTGCGAAGACTTTGCTGCGCCTGGCTTAGGTGGACCTCGGCCCGGGTGGCCGCGTCTTGCAACACCTGCGATCCGGCTTTTAAAGTCTCCTTCTTATGCTCCAGAGCCTGGATCTCTTCAACCAGGCGCTCCGTCTCCGAGTGCCACCGGTCGCACTCCTCCTGGGCTTCGGCGTAGGCTTCTTGAACGCGCCTCAGTTTCTCCTGGAGACTCGCCACCTGTCCGGATTCCGCCTCCCGCTTCTGCTCAGCCTCCCGCAGTTGAGTCTGCGCTCTGGACAAGGTGGCCTTCGTTTCAGCGAGCGAGGTCTCGGATTCCGGCGGGGGCGCCCGGCCTTCCGCTGTTTGGCTCTTTCGATGCGTCAAAATCCCTGGCTTGTGTTCTTGCGCGTCTGTCAGGTTCTCCTCTTCGGCCTGGCTGGGCCGCCGTTCTGGCTAAGTGGGAGAAAAATGAGAGCTGGAAGGGTGCATACGAAGGGCTGCTTATAGGTTGCCCCCAAAAGATATGCATTTTCAAAAAAAAAAAGTATAGGTTTGCAAAGAGAAGCAACTGGCCTTCAGAAATGGTGGGTGCTCCCTTACTGGACGTTATTAAGAAGAGGCTAAACAGTCACTTATCTGAAATGGTATAGGTTGAGCAGGGGGTTGGACTAGATGACCTCCAAGGTTCTATTCTATTCTATTCTATTCTATTCTATTCTATTCTATTCTATTCTATTGTTTCCTTATTCTGTTCTGTTCTGTGTTTCCTTATTCTACTCTACTCTACTCTACTCTACTCCACTCCAATCCACTCTATTCCATATTTTCTTATTCTATTTTATTTCTATCCTATTCTGTTCTGTTCCGTTCCATTTCCTTATTCTGTTCTATTCTGTTCTGTTCTGTTCTATTCTATTCTATTCTATTCTGTTCTGTTTCCTTATTCTGTTCTATTCTGTTCTGTTCTGGTCTGTGTTTCCTTATTCTACTCTACTCTACTCTACTCTACTCTACTCTATTCTACTCTACTCTACTCCACTCCATTCCATTCCACTCCACTCCACTCCACTCCATGTTTCCTTATTCTATTCTATTTCTGTTCTATTCTATTCTGTTCTGTTCTGTTCCGTTCCATGTTTCCTTATTCTGTTCTATTCTATTCTATTCTATTGACTGCAGCTCTTCCTCCTGTTCCTCAAGGTTATTCTCACCACCCATAACACCCATTTCCCTAATGAGAGGATCGGGTCCCAGAGCTCTTTCTTCCATACCAGCCCATCAGGGTTAGCCTTCTTCAGATCTGCTTCTATATTCTTTGATTTCGACCTGCGACGTTCCCGATTCTCCTTCTCTAAGGCTGGCAGTCGATTGGCCTCCTTCATCTCCGAGACCAGCAGAAGGGGAACTTCAGGGAATTCTGCAACCAGGAGGGAGAAAAAATATATATATAATTTTTGCTTGCAAATGTGCAGGAAACAAGGGCCAGGAGATTTGGGAGAAGAAAATTGAATATCGGGGGGCGGGTAAAACTTAACCATTTGCGTCCCAGTGAGAATCTTCGGAGCACGATTCCGTCCGGGAATTCTTTAAAGTTTCTTGCAGCTGCTTCTTCAGGACCAAATTCTCTCTCAGAAGCTCCTCCGATCGGTAAGAAAGCTGCTCCCGTTCCTGGGGAATTGAAATTTGAACGATGAGGTTGAGTCTGACATTCTCCGCCTCATCCCTTTGCTTTCCACCATTCTCAAAATGTGGAGAACTTAAGAAATTGCAAGATTTCGCCTCCATACATTTTTCCGTCGAGAAAACAAACACCTTTGATTGTCTAATTCAGAGCCACGGGCTGCTTCCAGGAATCTATCCACTCCTGCAAATTTAATTTCTTTTTAAAGAGAATTGTAGTACCAGGTGAGGCCATCACAGCTAAACCTGTATGTGCAGCAAAGTAGACTGTAAACCCCAGTAAGTCCCTCAGTTGTTCTCTAGCCAGTTTCACAACCTGATTTTAGTCAATTGCATAACCTGAGCTAGTCAATTTCACAACCGGAAGCTAGTCAATTTCATAACCTGATCTAGTCAGTCTCACAACAGAGGTGGAAAAAAATCCATCAACTGATTTCCCCCCTTTTTTTTTATTAACATAAGTAGCATTTACTTTAGGGTTAGGTTTTATTTCCAGAGATGCATGTGGGCTCTTAATTTTAAGTCAAGGCTGTGGTTGTGTAAAAGCTTTTTTTTTCTATCCAGCCAGTTTGGATCGTGAAACTTTGTTCCCAATGAAGGGAGGGGCAAAAGGATCCCTTTGCCCCTTTTAATTGCCCGGGAAATGAAAAATTAATTCTTTTCTTCAGCGAATTAAAACCTCAGATTGCTTTCCCAGACTCCAAGTGCAAAGAAAGCTAAAAGGCAACTCTCCGATGTTCTGATTTTATTAAATCAGAATTACGTGTACTTCAAGAACATAAGGCAACTATAAACAGCCCAATTTCTCCAGGGATGTTTTTCCCAACTATGTCTCTTCTGGTCTCTTCTTCTCACCCACTCCCCAAATAGCCCCCCCCCAATATTCCAAGCTTGCCCTCTTTAACGAAGTTTCTCCAGCACGAAAGGGGACAGAGAGGTGTTGGGAATGAAAAAATAAAAATAAAAAATAGCTTAGAAGGAGCCATCTCCTTTTTCAACCTGACCTCTTGGATTTGGTTCAAGTGGTTTTGCAGATTCAAGTTTTCTTTCTCCGCTCGACTCAGGCGCTGGCCCCGGGCGTAAGCGGCATCTAGTTCTTCCTCCATCGTGGCTTTTGCTTCCAACAGGGCCTTGGAGAAGTCGCGCTCCTCCTGAGAATCAAAAGGACTGATTTAAGCCCCAAGGACAGGTCTCGGCTCTCTTCTGCAAAAACCTGTTAATGCAACCTTGCAATAAAAGTTATCCCAAAGATGCCTTTTCAGGAGGCAACTGGACTTTCTTGTTTTTCTTTGAAGACGTTTCACTTCTCCTCCAAAGAGCTTCTTCGGCTCTGACTGGAGGGTGGGGAGTGGAAGGATTTATACTCCTTGCAGACCGCTGGTCATTTGCCTTCTTTTAGAGGGTCGTTGAGGCCACTTGGAGGTTTACCTGTGTCCTCAGGGTTTACCTGAGTGGTGCAAATGGGTGTGGAGCCTTCTTGGAATTGCTGAAAGGACTGTGTTCCACACCCATTTGCACCACTCAGGTGAGCCTGAGGACGCAGGTAAACCTCCAAGTGGCTTCAACGACTCTCCAAAAGAAGGCAAATGACCAGCAGTCTGCAAGGAGTATAAATCCTTCCACTCCCCACCCTCCAGTCAGGGCTGAAGAAGCTTTCCTGGATGAGAAGGATTTATACTCCTTGCAGACAGCTGGTCATTTGCATTCTTTTAGAGAGTCGTTGAGGCCACTTGGAGGTTTGTCCGTGACCTGAGTGGTGCAAATGGCTGTGGAGCCTTCTTGGAATTGCTGAAAGGACTGTGTTCCACACCCATTTGCACCACTCAGGTGACCCTGAGGAGGCAGGTAAACCTCCAGGTGGCCTCAACGGCTCTCTAAAAGGAGGCAAATGACCAGCTGTCTGCAAGGAGTTCCCACCTACCAGATCCGACATTCCCACCTTGAGCTGCGCCCGGCATCGTTCCAAAGCTGGCATCCTTTCCCGCAGGGCCGTCAGCTCCGACTGAAGCCGCTCTGCCCGAAGTGCCTTCTCTCGCAAGGCATCCAATTCATCCTGGTATAGCCTGGCTTGGCGCGCTTCACCCGCCAACGTGCGGTTCTGGGTAAGAAGGGGCAAATTTAGAGACTGCCTGTCAGAATGAGGTTCACACTTGCTGATGACGTCAGGACACGCCTGTCGTTTGGGCATCAGCCTAGAAATTCAAGATTCAAACCTAGAAAGAAGGAGAAATTTTCTGACAGTGGGAACAACCAACGAATGGAACAGATTGCCTTCATCCCTGGAAGCTTCCAAGAACAGGCCGGACTGCCCTCTGTCAGAAATGGTGTAGGGTCTCCAGCTTGGGTGGGGGGTTGGACTAGATGACCTGCAAGGTCCCTTCTAACTTTGCTATTCTATTCTATTCTATTCTATTCTATTCTATTCTATTCTATTCTATTCTTTCCTATTTCTATTCTATTTTTCCTTATTCTGTTCTATTCTATTCTATTCCTATTATTATTCTATTCTAGTCTAATTTCTCTTCTCTTCTCCTATTCTATTCTATTCTATTCTATTCTATTCTATTCTATTCTATTCTATTCTATTCTATTCTTTCCTATTTCTATTCTATTTTTCCTAATTCTATTCTATTTTTCCTAATTCTGTTCTATTTTTCCTTATTCTATTCTATTCTATTCTATTCTATTCTATTCTATTCTTTCCTATTTCTATTCTATTCTATTCGTCCTAATTCTATTCTATTTTTCCTAATTCTATTCTATTTTTCCTAATTCTGTTCTATTTTTCCTTATTCTATTCTATTCTATTCTATTCTATTCTATTCTATTCTATTCTTTCCTATTTCTATTCTATTCTATTCGTCCTAATTCTATTCTATTTTTCCTAATTCTATTCTATTTTTCCTTATTCTATTCTATCCTATCCTATCCTATCCTATTCTATTCTATTCTGTCACTTTGGTTGTTTACAAATTCCCGCACTCAATCCACAAATAGTTGAACTGGCGCTAGAAGATACAGGTGGTCCTCGACCTTACGACCACAATTGAGCCCAAAAATTTCTGTTGCTAAGTGAAACATTTGTTAAGAGAGTTAACACCGAAATAATTGAATCCAGGGCTTCTAACGTCAGATTTAACTAGAGAGGAAAGCACCTCTTGCTGCAACTTTCGAAGCCCTTTCTCCAAATTCCTTGATTCCTCTTGCTGGTCCAGCAGCTCCTCCATCTTCATCTCCCTGAAACAAGAGACTGGAAGGTCACCTCATCGAAATAATGAGTTTAGGGGACAACTGCGTATTGAAACCTCTAGAAGCCACGCCACGAGGAAGCCTCAAGGGGATGTCCTGAAGGAGGTTGATGATAGACAACAGAAAGGCCCGAGTTCAAGTTCCACCTCAGTCAAAGATGGGTGGACTTCAACTCCCAGAATTCCCCAGCCCACAAGACTTTAAGAGAGAATTGGAGGCAAGGGCAAGAAGACAGGAAGAAGGAAAGAAAAAGAATTGGAGAGGAAAGAAGGAAAGAGAAAGAAGGGGGGAGGGGAAGGGAGAGAAAGAGGGAAGGAAGAAAGGAAGGAAGGAAGGAATTGGGGAAAGGCAAGAAGACAGGAAGAAGGAAAAATTGGAGAGGAAAGAAGGAAAGAAAGGAGGGGAAGGGAGAGAAAGAGAAGGAAGGAAGGAAGGAAGGAAGGAAGGAAGGAAGGAAGGAAGGAAGGAAGGAGAGTGGTAGAAGGAAGCAGAATCTCTTCCAGTGACTTCTGTTACCCCAAACCCCCTTCCAGCCCCCCCACATTCCCCACCTCGGCCCCACAACTCACAGCTCGCCTTGTAAGCGCCGCACTTGGGCTTGACGTTCGGCAAGCTGAACCCCGAGGTGGGACTGGTTACTCTCCAGCTGGGCCGCTAAAGGGGGTCCCTCTTTCTGCTGCAGCTCCCACAATTGCTGTGCAGGAAGGCATAGTAATAATAATAATAATAATAATAATAATAATAATAATAATAATAATAATAATAATAATAATAATAGAGGTGGGAGGTCCAAAGATGGCCTCCCTCCCTCTGAGGTACTAAGGACCACGATGGACGGTGAGAATCATTCCAAGGGCCTTTTCTTGCACAGATACTCCTCGAGTTACAACTTACAAATTTGTTTAGCAAGCACGCAACATTTCAACGGGACTGAAAAAAGCGACCCAGGGCAAGTCCTCACCTTTTGCGACCGTCACAGCATCCTCGTGGTCATGCGACCAGAATCCGGTTGCTAGGTAACCGGCATGTACTTATTATGATGGTGGTAGCAGCATCCCGGGCTCAAGTGATTGCCGCTTATGACCTGCCCCGCCAGCTTCCTACGAGCAAAGTCAACGGGGCAATCTGGATTCGCTTAACATCCGCATGTTTCACTAAACAGCCGCGGAGATTCGCTTAGCAACGGTGGCAAAAAGGGGATAAAATCAGGCCTGGCTCTCTGAACTTGCTGAGGAACGGTTACAACTCAAGGACTACTGTAAGATAGAGCTTGCGTTCCTGGTTGTGTTTATCGTCTGGTCTACCTCGCAAGGCTGACGTTGCCTGTGCCAAAGCTAGGATCTGATCTGATGGCTGCACTGGGGATCTGAAGGCCGTCCTTGTGAGAAGAAGGCGGGACAGGGAACGGTCACGACTCTCACCTCCAATCCTGCATCTCGCTCAGAAACCAGCTTTTGAACTCGGACCCCAAGATCCCACAGGAGCTGCTGCATGCTGGCTGGGTCCATCTCCCTCCACTGCAATCCCAGCACATTTTCCGGCTCCTGGCTAACCTGGAAAGAACAGCCAGGAGTTTATTGCTAGAAACCAGATATTTATTTGCACTTCCGTTTGTTGATGTTTAGGCAAGAAAAATGAAACGCACAGGTATAGTATAGGTGGTACCTTGCTCAATAGTAGCAACTGTGAGAGGGATCTCGGAGTCCTAGTGGGCAATCCCTTAAATAGGAGCCAGCCGTGTGTGGCAGCTGCCAAAAAAGCCAACACAGTGCTAGGCTGCATCAACAGAGGGATAGAATCAAGATCCCGTGAAATGTTAATACCACTTTATAACACTTTGATAAGGCCACACCTGGAATACTGCACCCAGTTTTGGTCACCACGATGTAAAAAAGATGTTGAGACTCTAGAAAGAGTACAGAGAAGAGCAGCAAAGATGATCAGAGGACTGGAGGCCAAAACATATAAGGAACGGTTGCAGGAATTGGGTATGTCTAGTTTGATGAAGAGAAGGATGAGGGGGGACATGATAGCAGGGTTCCAGTATCTCAGGGGTGGCCCCAAAGAAGAGGGAGTCAAGCTATTCTCCAAAGCACCTGAAGGCAGGACAAGAAGCATCGGATGGAAACTAACCAAGGAGAGAAGCAACTGAGAATTAGGAGAAATTTCCTGACAGTTAGAACAATTAACCAGTGGAACAACCTGCCTCCTGAAGCGGTGAATGCTCCAACACCGGGAGTCTTTAAAAGCCACGATTGATGGCTTTGGTTGTTTGTATGTACACTGAGAGCTTCTGCACCGGAGACAAACTCTCCGTGTGTCCAGCCACGCTTGGCCACTAAAGAATTTTTAAAAAAGTTTTTCAACCCCCGGCAAAAAATCAAGAAAGTCCAGTTGCCTTTTGGAAAAGCAGCTTTGGGACCTGGAACCTCAATTTTCTCCTTTGCATCTCTCCGGCAATTTTTGTTTTCCAACTGCAGCAAACTCATTTGCAGGGGAGGAATAATTAACAGGAAGCGCAGCGAGAAAGCATATTTCTCCCTTTTTTGCTGCAGCGAAGAATAGAAGGTTTTATGGAACAGCGAGTCAGCTGCTTCATTCACCCTATAACTAAGCAACTGCAGTTCACACATGCCAACCATCTTAATTCTTTCCTTTTCGTCCGCATGCATTTCGTTCAACACCAGCTCCGTTCAGTTCAAGATCTTCTAGGATTTAAGCTGTTCCGAGTCAAGCTGCCATTTGCAATTGACCGACAGTGGATTTGTCCATGCCGACGGTATTCAAACAGTACTCCAGATGTTTTTATTATTATTATCATTTGCATTCCATCTCACTCCCAGCAATTCTGGGCAGTTTACACGTGAAACATTGAAAACATTTAGGAGTAGCCCGGCCTTTCCGCTCCTCCCCTTGGAGATGGAAATAATTACATTTCTTAATTGTCTGATCGTTTACCTCTCTGATCGCCGAAGCCAAAGCTGCTTGCACGCTAATGTCCAGCGACTGGATTCGGCCAATGAACACATCTCGCTCTTCACACTATTGGAAGTTCAAAGAAAAGAGTCAACATCTGCATAAGCCCAGGAAACTGCAAACCGATTAAAGATCTCACCCCTGTTGTTGGATTCCCACAACCTACCTGAACGGCGCTTCCTAGCAAGAGCTGCACCAATTTCTTCATCTCCTGAACGGCCTGAACTGAAACAGGAAGACCAAGGTTAAAACCCTCGTTGCAAATATTGTTTTTTTTCTCTGTCTTTTTTTCCCCTTCAAACCGCTCCTATTTCTCCCCTAACAAAACGGGTTTGCAGCCCTCTTCTTTGGGGCAGCCCCTCAAATACTGGAACTCTGCTATCATGTCACCCCTGGTCCTTCTTTTCATTAAAAGATTTTAATGAAAAGAAGGATTTTAATGAAAAGAAGGACCAGGGGTGACATGATTGCAGAGTTCCAATATTTGAGGGGCTGCCCCAAAGAAGAGGGGGGTCCACCTATTCTCCAAAGCGCCGGAAGGCAGGACAAGAAGCAACGGATGGAGACTAATCAAGGAGAGAAGCAACCTAGAACTAAGGAGAAATTTCCTAACAATTAACCAGTGGAACGACCTGCCTCCAGAAGTTGTGAATGCTCCAACACTGCAGGTTTTTAAGAAGAGACTGGACAGTCCCTGGTCTGAAATGGTATGGGGTCTCCTGCTTGAGCAGGGGGCTGGACTAGAAGACCTCCAAGGTCGCTCCCAACTCTTGTTACTCTGTTAGATTTGGACGAAGGACCCCTAGACTGGCAGCCGTAAAACCAGGCTGAAGGATGTTGCTTGTGAAGTTTTTTGAGTAAGGGAACACAAAGTCTTTTATCCGACTATCTATCACAGCCTAAATTCCTCCCGTGTCCCCGGGCCTTACCTGTGAAGGGCTGTCTGACCATTAGATGGAGATTTGGAGGTGAGGAAAGGATCACCTGGTGGAGCTCATCCTGGGACAAGAAAAAAAAAGTAATCCGTTTTTTTTAGTGACCGTTCCAGGTCACTAAACCTTACTACCGTTTTATCCTTGGTGTGTTACCACCTGTCTTAAAATTGCCAAGGTGGAAAAACAGGACCCTCCATCAAATTTCTATCCTGCTTGAAGAGATCCTTCCAGCTAGGGGGCCCAATCCTAAAATCCCAGTTCTACTCACCCTGTAGAAATTCTGCAGCCTTTTAAGGACGAGTTGGAGCGTCTGCAAGCTGTCTTCCTCCCCGCCTTCATCTCTCCAAGGAGAAGGAGTAGGAATCAAGTCACTAGGGAAGGCACAATGGAGAATTAAAGATGGGTGGACTTCAACTCCCAGAATCCCCCAGCCAGCAGGCATAAAGATGGATGGATTTCAACTCCCAGAATCCCCCAGCCAGCAGGCATAAAGATGGATGGATTTCAACTCCCAGAATTCCCTAGCCAGCATGCTTGAAGATGGGTGGACTGCATCTCCCAGAATCCCCCAGTTAGCAATGTAAAGATTTGCGTTCTCCCTTTCAACGTGTATCTAAAATCTGTACGTTGCTCACCTTGAATTAAGCATCGTTCACGCTGTGCATTCTAACAATGCACTGAACCTGCTAGTTTTGCAGGAAACATACAATTTCTACACACGTATTTATTTAGTTAAACTATCAAACAACAAACCGTGTACACGGCCGGCCAGCCGGCCAGCCAGCCTCCAAAACTTGCTTTTCTAATTTTTATTTTTATTTAAAAAAAAAAGGCACAGGTTTTTTCATCCTGGCAACTCCACACCCCTCCTCGTCTTTACCGGTGGTGAAAATGTCTGGTTTGGCTTTGTCTTGTTTAAAGAAAACGGTGGGTCTTTGAAGGGCAAGCCTCCCATAAAAATGGGATTTTTAATTTTAGAAATTCTGCACAAGAGACGTAAACGTTGGATAATCCTGCCGGAAGCTGCGAGGGTTCAGCCACACTAGGAAACCAAGATCTGCTGTCGTGTTGTGTCTTAGCGCCGGCAAACGCGTGACTCACATCATTTGCATGACTTGGTGGAGGAAATCTCCATTAACCAGTTTTCGGAAATATTTGCTCGCCTCTTCTTCCCGCTGGGGACGTTGGTTGAAGCTCCGGCCCACCAGATCCTCCAGCGTCTGCATCTGTGGGACCAAGACATCAAGGCGACTTCTTGATGGTGGGAAGTCAAAATGTGGTGATACAAGGAAGAAGGGAGGACAGATGGGATGGGGGCTCAAAAATAGGAGGTTGGGTTGCCCAACCTTGGTGGATCTCCAGGCCTCCAAAACTCTTCAGCCCCCCAGACCCAAATCCAAAATAAGTTCCCCCCCCCCCAATCAAGCTTGTTGATCTACGCAATGGACAGAGTTAAGGATATCATCAACCAAGTTCAAGGATTTAGATCAATGTTTATCAATGTTGACAACTTGAAGATGGGTGGACTTCAACTCTCAGAATCCCCCAGCCAGCATGCTGGCTGGGGGATTCTGGGAATTGAAGTCCAACCGTCTTAAAGCATGCTGGCTGGGGGATTCTGGGAGTTGAAGTCCACCCATCTTCAAGTTGACAAGGTGAAGACATGTTGGTTAGATGGAGTCCTAGCAAGGTTTCTGTCGAGAGAATTCTCTGAACAGCCTATCTCTGAACACTTCCTCTCCCCCCCCCACACACACACACAAGTGAGGCTCACCCAGGTGACCAAGGGCCCAGATACGAATTCCTCCATCGCTTCAAGCCCATCTTCATCCATGGTGTGGTCAAGACAATGTCTCCTCCATCTAGGGCTCCTGGAGGCCTTAGGTATGGCTGCAATCGACCGGCATCGCTGGGGTGTTTTACGACTTCCTTCCGTAATCTGGGTTTTTTGGGGGGGGGGGTTAAACGGTTGAGGAGGAAGCTTGGGTTGCTCAGTCAAAGCTCTAAATTACATCCTTCGTGGTGTGGTCTTTCCCAACACGGTAGACAGGAAGTCCTCAAAATGAAACTTATCTTGCTGAAACTTCTGCAGGACTCAAAAGAGACGTTAATTTTCACGAGCGACGGCATCAAAGAGAATTTGCTAGGACTAGTTTTCTGAAGCTGGGCTGACTTTTTTCTTGACTCGCTGCTGGAAAAATGACACAAATTGTGGTCAGGGCCCACACGGAGATGCTCACAAGAAGTTTTCCATCACCTTGAATAGCGTCATCACAAGCGTGGTCTCCTGTTTGTCAGCAGATGTTTTATTTATTGAGTTTGGCTTTCCACCACAAACAAATTCAATTTCTCAGTGCGCTTCACCCTGCGTCAAAAAAACCCCTGGAATTGAACTAGGACACGGGCGCAAATCCATGTTCAGGGAAGATTTGAAACACGGTTAAAGAATAGCAGTTAGAAGACATCACAACGCAGCCGAAGTGATCTCTTTTTAAATTTTTAACAGCATCGGATGTCTTTGTGAGAGCCCTTTCTTTGCAGACGACAAAGCTATGGGTAATCTAAGCCCAACAGCAAGGATGAAACTCTGTGCATGCTCCAGAGCTCTCTCCACCGCAGGACTGCTTTGAAGCTTTCTTCAATGGAAAAGTGTTTTGCGAAGTGAATAGAAATGTAATTTTTAAAATCATAGCATTGGAAGGGACCTTGGAGGTCTTCTAGCTCAACCCCCTTTTCTCAAGCAGGCCTGTTCTTGAAATGCAGCAGTTTAGAGCAGGCTCGATTTGTCAATCCGTCAGAACTTGGCTGTTATCTTTTGGGGGTTCCATTGTAACTCGAGTCTCTGCACACACAATGATCTTGCCGCAGTTGTCATCTACAGAAAATTAATTTCCCCCGTTTCTTGTCTAGCTCAACATCTGTAAAGCCCGATGAGAATAATTCTAGGGAAGCTTTTGCGTCATTATACGAAGTTGTGCCCAAAATGTTTCTTGCTTTTTCACACGTCCACTACCCGTGGTTCCAACCCTCTCACCAAAATAGAACGAGGTGTGTTTCTCCTTTCCCCCCATCAGAGACAGGAACACGTGTGAATAATCCCTCTCGTTCATACATTGAATTCGACACGTTTGCAGTTGCAATAAATTATGATTCTTTTTTAAAGAATGGATGGAAGAGTGTGGCTGGATTGTTATGGGGTTCACCACCTTACTCCCTAGCCAGCGTGAGCCCTTTGATGTAACCCCAAGAAACAGGCTGAGACCTCAGCTTTATTTCAGACTATTTATTTGCAATCCAAGGAACAGAGAAGAAGCGAAAACAATTGTGTAAACCAACAGAAGATAATCTTTCCAGCTCAGGTTTAAACGACGCGGTCTTTGGTGCTCTCTCAGCCTGGTGGTTTTCTGGCAGACGTTTCGTGACCTAACTAGATAACATCATCAGTGCTAGAAGAGAGTGGGGTTTACTCTTTTTTTTTGTAGACAAAGGAACTTGCTGCTATCAGCTACGACAATCAAACAATGAACAGCCTAATCAAGGATCTATCGAAACGAAAACACTCTCCCCAACACTGACAGGGCAAGCTACTAATATATAAACAGAGAGCAATGATGATGTTAGCTAGTTGGGTCATGAAACGTCTTGAAGCTCAGAGAGCACCAAGGACGCCACAATTATGTAAAGACGCACAACTCCCTCTCTGGTGCGTCCCCCCGAGCCAATTCCAAAATCCCGCAAGGGCCATCCATCTGGTAGGAACCAACTGGTTGCGTAGGGTGGATTCCCACTAGGGCTAAGATCAGCAATAGGGGGGGTGTCTGGGCCTCAGAGCTGGGAGACGATGTTGCTGGCCAGGCTGCAGGTCAGTCCCGTCCCGTCCTCTTCCACGTTGAGGGACTTCACCATGCTGTCCTCCACCACCATGGAGAACCTGGAAGAAAGGGAGAAGAGGGTGAAACTGGGAGGGCGATGGGAAGAAAAATAATGGCTGGAAAAGATTTTAAGATTTTTCCATTTATTTTCCGGATTGAGAGACTGCAGGAAGACCTCAAGGTAGAGCCGAGAAGATTCAACCAGGGTTCAGTTCAACGGAGGTGCCCTTGAAGAGAGCCCTTGACTTACAACGGTTCATTTAGTGACCGTTCGAAGTTACAACGGCACTGAAATGAGGGACGTAGGACTGCTTTTCACACCACCGTTGCAGCCTCCCCTCACGGTCATGTGATCCAAATTCAGAAGCGTGCGTGCCTGGCTGAGGAATTCTGAGAGTTGAAGTCCATAAGTCAAGTTTGAAGATCCCTGCTGTAAAGGTTTTGGAAGGGAAGAAATCACACACACACACACACACACACACACACACACACACACACACACGTATATACAGCACACACAAACACACCCATACAGACAGACACAAAATGCAATTTGCGGTTCTCAGACCTTTTGGATCGATTTGTCCCAAACAACTGCCGGAGAGAGTCCTTGTCAAGCAAGAGATTGGTGGCCTGTGGGAAGAAGCAAAATTGGGGCTGATTTGAGGCAGTTTGGTCTAGTGGTTAAGGCACCAGACGAGAAAGCAGGAGACGGTGAGTTCTAGTTCTGCCTTAGGCACGGAAGCCAGCTGGGTGACTTTGGGCCAATCACCAGGAGACGGTGAGTTCTAGTCCCGCCTTAGGCATGGAAGCCAGCTGGGTGACTTTGGGCCAGTCCATAATTCCCACCCCTGGGGCTCTCCTAGCTGAGTGCCCGAACCCCCACACTGCGCCGGGTATTTCCGTACCTTCCCAAAAGCCCCCGTTGGATCAGCCAGCATCCGCACCTGTGAAGAGAAAACAAACCCCATTTTTTAAAAAAATAAAAAATAAATCACAACATGGAGCAATTCCTAGCTTCTCCTTTTCCCCAGTGGAAAACGGGCCAAATTATTTGCAGAAAAGTTTTAAAGGCAAAGAAACAGAAAAACAGGGAATGCCTGGGCATGATTATACGGCACACCTGGGCAAGATTTCCTAAGGTTGGGAGTAGCTAAGGGGCAAACCACATGCCACGGCATAATTTGAAAATCAAATCATTTTGCCTTTGGGAAGGGCGGGCAGAGAAATCAGTGTTGTTCAGTTGCTGAGTTGTGTTGGGCAACTTCTGGGAAACTCCACCGGGAGCTGAAAGCAACAAGCAGCCTCAAAAGCTGTGCCAATTATCCGTAAAAATCTCTTTTCTCCTGGGGTTCGGCCTCTGCCCAGCCCTCTTGGTTCATTAACTCACATTCTTTGCAATTAAGAAGCAACTTGGGCTAGTTAAGAGCCTCCACCTACAGGGACGTGGCCCCGCTGCTATTACTACTACAGCTAGTCCTCGAGTTAACGACGGTTGCTCATTCGTTAAGTGAGCCTTGCCCCATTTTACAAACTTCCTTGCCGCAGGTGTTAAGCTTGTAACACAGCTGTTAAGTGAATCTGACTTCCCCACTGACTTGGCTGATCCCATGACACAGGAACACTGCAACCGTCATCAAGTACAAGTCAGTTGCCAAGCGTCTGGATTTTGATCACGTGACTCTGGGGATGCGGCAATGGTCTTCAGTCTGAAAAAGTCGCTTTTTTCAGTGCTGTTGTAACTTCGGCGACTAAACTATTGTAAGTCAAGAACTTCCTCTCGTCTCCAAGGTGATTCTCACACACCATTACACCACCCTAACCAACGTGACAGCAGAGAAATAAGAAAGTTGTGGCCAATATCTCTGAAAAACATGGAAAAAAAATAAGATGTTTTTCTCCCTCTGTGGCGCATAAAGAATTGTAATTTGGCAGCAACTTTGGTAGACTTCTGTTGGGTTCCCGCTTTGAAGGAAGGAAATAAATCTTGCTGCAAATAAATTCCAGAATGTGTACATAAAGAGAACGAAAAGAACGGGTGGGTGGGTGGGTAGCCAGGTTGTATAAACCAAGATGCCAAGATCGGCAATTCCCTGTGTCTTCCCATCTGTGACATCTGGCAACTGCACGATGAATTATGAATCATGTTCAGTTATATAAACGAATCTTGCATAATCTTGCAAAGAGCAAAAGGTGAAAATGAGTTATTTCTGGCTAATATTTCCATTTCAGGCTCCCTGTATGATCTTCCCAGGTGTTACTCGAAGTCTTCAAAACAAGGTGTAGCTCAGACCTGGCAACTTGAAGATGGGTGGACTTCAATCCCAGAATTCCCCAGCCAGCCAGCTTTAAGATGGATGGACTTCAACTCCCAGAATCCCCCAGCCAGCATGCTTAAACTAAGTGGACCTCAACTCCCAGAATTCTCCAGCCAGCATGCTTTAAGGTAGGTGGACTGCATCTCCCAGAATTCCCCAGCCAGCATGCTTTAAGTTGGGTGGACTGCAACTCCCAGAATCCCCCAGCCGGCATGCTTAAACTAAGTGGACTTCAACTCCCAGAATTCTCCAGCCAGTCTGTTTTAAGAGGGGTGGATTTCAATTCCCAGAATCCCCCAGCCAGCATGCTTTAAGGTCAGTGGGCTTCAACTCCCAGAATCCCCCAGCCAGCCTGCTTTAAACTAAGTGGACTTCAACTCCCAGAAACCCCCAAATAACATGCTTTCCCCTCTATTTGTCTTCATCCACCATTTCTCGGCACGCTGCAGAATTCTGGGACTTGGGGTCCGCTCTTCTCAAAATCGCCAAAGTTAAGAAACACCGATATAAATTTTTGTCCTAATCTTTGTGTCTTGGAAAAATTAAAAAGAGGTGGGGGGGAATTTCCTATCCCCCTCCTTCTCTCTCTCTCTCTCTCTCTCTCTCTCTCTCACACACACACACACACACACAAACACACACTATTTTACCTTTCCTTCCGCTTGGTGAGCCTTTCCCCATTCATTCATGACAAAAATATCGTTGACCGACAGGCAAGCAATGATCTCGACCCCCTTGCCTTTCAGTTGTCCTGCTTTCTCCACGTAGCCGGGCAGATGCGTCTGTCATCAGGCACAAAACGAAAAAAAAAAAAAATTACAGAAAGGTCTTCACCTTAAGACCACAATCCCCCACATTCCTATTGCTAAGGGACAAATGTTGGTTAAGTGGGTTTTGCCCCCTTTTAGGACCTGACTTGCCCCCGTTGTTATGTGAACCATTTCAGTTATCAGGTTAGCAATACGGTTGGTAAACGAATCGGGTTTTTTCCCCACTGACTTTGCTTGACAGACGGTCGCAAAAGGACAACCCCCTGGAAACGCTGCGACCGTTGTAAATAGGAGTCAGTTGCCGAGCATCTGATGTGGCCCACGGTGGTAAGCGTAAAAACGCCATCAGTCCCTTGTTTTTCAGTGCCGTTGTAACTTGGGACGGTCACTAAACGAAGCGTGGTCCACCTTGAGCCAAGTTCTCAAAACTGTGTTTCAGGTGTTATGGTGCTCAGAGCATTCAGATTCTCAACTCCGTGGTGGGTTATAAAAATAGGCTCTTACTCACTTGGGAACAACCAGGGGTGAAGGCACCGGGCACCCCAAAAAGAATGCCCTTTTTCCCCTTGAAGAGGCTGGACAGGTTGACTTTGTTCGAAGGGTCTCCCTCGTAGACTTCCACGTTGGGCAGCTTGTCACCAATCTGTCCCCCCAAAAAACAAAAAAACCAGCCTGACTTCATTTCCCAGAATCCCGTGGCCAGCACACCCTGCCTATCGGGTAGCAAAAGGGGATCACGTGACCCAGGGACACCAATCTTTCTTCTGTTCTGTTTACACTCTTTTCCATTTTGCAAGTGGTCCTCACTTAACGGCCACCACTGAGCCCCCAGTTTGTGTCGCTAAGCGAAACATTTGTTAAGTGTGTTTGGCCCCATTTTTTTTCAATCTATCTTGTTAAGGGAGTCCCTGCCCGGTTGTTTTAAGTGAATCTGACTTCTCCACTGACTTTGCTTGTCAGAAAAGGTGGTCACGTGACCCCAGGACAATGCGACCGTCGTAAATAGGAGTCAGTTTCCAAGGGTTCGAATGTGGATCGCGTGACCCATGGCGGATGCTGCAATGGTCTGTAAATGTGAAAAACTGGTTATAATTCACTTTTTTTTTCAGTGCTGTTATAACTTCGGTCACTCAGTGGACTGTTGTAAGTTGAGGACTGCCTGTCTTATAGATTACATTTTGAAATGTGTTCATTCGTGAGAACTGAATAAGTGTTCTGTATACGGTATTAATATCGAACGAAAGAAACCAAGCTACATTCCAGCTTAGCTAGGGTGAGGGTCCAACATATGGCACGTTTTGTAACCCTGCTTGTGCAACAGCCTAGCATTGCATCAAACATATCCAGTATTGCATGCATCTCTATCACTCATTCACCACGGCCATTTTGGGGGTTCTCGCACCCAGCTGTTGGCACATCGGGAGGCCAAAATACCCCCCCAAGTGTGCAAATTGGACAATTATTAGTGTCCTTTTGCACTGACTCCCTTGTATAGCGGTGATTTTGCAAGGCCAGTTCAAGGTCATTGCAAGGGGGTCCCTGCCCCCAGCTGCTGGCACATCAGGAGGCGAAACCCCCCTCCCTCCCCAAATGTGTAAACTGCACAATTATTACTGTCCTTTTGCACTGACCTCTTACACGTCGGTGACTTTGCAAACGGAGGGCCCTTCCTAACCCCCCCCCTTTGGGGATTCTTGCACCCTTAGCTATTTGCAAATCGGGCCAAAACCCCCACCCCCCGCACCCCCAAAGTGTGCAAATTGCACGATTCGCAACGTCCTTTTGCACGGAGTTTTCTTTCTTTTTTTTGCACTCACCTTAAGGGCCGCCATGGCCGCGGCTCCCGAGGCAAAGGCCCGGCGGGTCGCCCCACAGTTTGCAAGCAGAGAAGACGGGCCGGCCCCCCAACAGGCTCGCCCCAGCGCCCCCGCCCGGTTCCACCCCGTTGCCATGGAAATCCCGGGAGTGACAGCCGCCATGGCAACGCGCAACCTTTTTGAAGTTTTTCGCCCGCTGCGCCGGCCCGGGCTTGCTTGGGCGCGCGCCCTCGACCGTGCACGTGCCCTGGGAGTTGGGTGGGAGGGCTTTTTCTTTCCCCGTGGGGTGGGGGGGAAAGGGGAAGAGAAGAGAGTAGGAATGCAATACATTTGACTTTATTATTGCATTCGTAAACATGATTTGTTTCTTTTTTCTTTTTTTGCAAAAAAAGAAAAAAACATGGGATTGGATTTAGCTTTGCATCCGTTTGGGAATTGCATCACTCAAGAGAAAACATATAAGTTGCAAGCTTGGTCCTCTTTTAGTTGATTGATTGATTGATTCAAATAATAATAATAAAGTTGGAAGGGACCTTGGCGGTCATCTAGTTGATTGATTGATTGATTGCTAAATGGTTTGGCGTCTTGTCAAATCCCCCCCATTCCCAGCCTTTGGAGGTACAGCCTGGTGTAAGATGGGGCTTGTAGTCCAAGATTGTAAGTGGTCTTTGGTGCTCTCTGAGCTTGACTGCTCTCTTGCAGAGGTTTTTGTGACCCAAACTACGTAACATCATTAGTGCTAATAATAATAGAGCTTCTGGGAGTTGAAGTCCATAAGTGCCCTCCTGTGTTATTTTGGGCATAGCAGCCTGAAAGGGACTACAAAGACCATATATAACACAGGGCATGAAAAGAGTGCCCTCCTGTGGTTATTTTGGATATAACAGCCTCAAGGGGACTACAAAGAGCATATATAACAAAGGGCATGCAAAGAGTGCCATCCTGTGGTTATTTTGGGCATAGCAGCCTGAGAGGGACTACAAAGACCATATATAACAGGGCATGAAAAGAGTGCCCTCCTGTGGTTATTTTGGGCATAGCGGCCAGAAAGGGACTACAAAGACCATCTATAGCACAGGGCATGCAAAGAGTGTCCTCCTGTGGGTTTTTTGGCATAACAGCCTGAAGAGGAGTACAGAGCATATATAACCACAGGTGGGCACTCTTTTCATGTCCTGTGCTATAGATGGTCTTTGTAGTCCTGTCAGGCCGCTATGCCCAAAATAACCACGGGTGGGCACTCTTTTCATGCCCTGTGTTATATATGCTCTTTGTACTCCCCTTCAGTGTTAAATGATGTTGGGTGCAGAGACACTCATGATTAGATTTTCCAAAACAGGACAAGTACTGTATTCTACGTTGGCTTATAAAATTCTCCATGGGTGTAGGTGGATGCATTAAGATTGTTTGGTGGGATATTTATTGTCATCCGTTCAGACTAGAAAATGCTCGTGGCTGGGAGAGGGTGAAGTCAAGACTGGACAGGGCAGAGGTTGGACTACGTTTAATAGTTGGGATCTCTGGTTTAAAAATGCTAGATCCTTGCATTCCAAGGGGAAACTGTTTCTCTTCACTTGGTTTTGTGGAATTGGAAACATCTCATTTTATGCAAACAACGCCCTGAACTTGATCCATATTTATTACTGGAAAAATAACTAAAAATGCTTTTTGAAGAGTGGTATTGCCTCCCTTTCTGCCTGTAGGAATGAGTATGGAACAAGTAAATTCCACATTCTTTAAGTTCAGCTTATGAATTTGTGCATATCTGCATTATTTTTGACAGCAATTGTTGGGGCAGATGCCTTAACTTTTCAATTTCGCTTAGAGTCCGGGCTTGTCTCAGAATTCACCAACCAGCTGAAAAAAAAACCCACCTTTATTACTGGCGAAATTAAAAAGAAAAAGAAATCCATGCTGGTTGGGGAATTCTGGGAGTTTCAAAAGTTGCCAAGGTTGGCAATCTCTGCCATACAGCGACCAAAGAAGCGGAAGCTTTAGAGGCAGCTTCCTGTTTCCTCCAGCGGGGGACTGCTTTACGCGGCGTACCGCGCTAAACCGGAAGCAGCCTCGGAGCGGCTTTCACGGAAGTGGAGTTTTTCGGGCAGACGTGGCCATGTGACCAGCCGCAAAAAACAACAACAACCCACTTCCGGCTTCTCTCCAAGTCACGTGGCTACAAAGGCTTGTTTTTGGTCGCGGTTTTTCATGTCTAACAGTAAGTATCCTTTCTGAATTAGTTGGTTTTTGTGAACACTGGTTAAATAAACATTCATACCTGGGGGAATTACCTGTATGTAGCCATTCGTGTTAAAATTAAGAATTAAGTCCCACTTGAATAACTGCGCCTGCTTTTAATTAAACAGCCAGTTGCATTTAAACATGGAGACATTGTTAAAGAGCTCTGGGGCTCCCTTTTTTTCCAGGCACTCAGTGGCAAGGGTTTTTTAATAATAATAATAATAATAATAAAATAATAATAAAACTCCTAGGGTTTTCTTTGCATTTTGTTCCAATTTACTGTACATTTGAATAACTGCACCTGCTTTTAATTAAGCAGTCAGTTGCATTTAAACATGGAGACCTTGTTGAAGAGCCACTGAGGGACTCTGGGGCTCTCCTTTTTTCCCGGGCACCCAGTGGAAAGGTTTTTTTCAATAAAACAAAATGAAATAAATCCCTAGGGTTTCCTTTTCATTTGTTCCAATTTACTGTGCACTTGAATAACTGCACCTGCTTTTAATTAAACAGCCAGTTGCATTTAAACATGGAGACATTGTTAAAGAGCCACTGATAGACTCTGGGGCTTTCCCAGCGTTACTAAGAAAGTCCTGGTTTTTATTATGCCCCCTTAGTGACAGGATAGAGAAACACCTTCAGGAACTGAACTGTGGGTGCTCTGTACAATTGTCCCTTCAGAGCACCCCTCCTCTTTAATTCAAAAAGCGGGAGATGTCAGGACTCACTCTAAAGGGTTACTTCAACCCTCAGGGCTTCACCAGTAAGCCACGGGCAAGGAAAGAGGAATTATCTGCATTACGCGAGCTTCCAGTCCATGCAATGCAACTCTTGATACGTAGGCTGGCTCAGAATCTCTCCTGCCTCTCTCTGTGTCCTTCTAGGGCACGGCAAAGGAGCGGAGCTTTGGCGAGGTGAAGTTCAAGCAGTGTGCTGCTGAAAACATGGCACGGGAGCATTTTAAGAAACACAGCACTGAGCATTATTGGGATCTAGGCTCTGAGCGAGTCAGTCCTAGAACCCACAGACTGACGGCCTTTTCTGAAGCCCCTTCTCACATTTCTGGGCGTTTGACATAAAGGGCAAGAACTGAGCAGAAACATTAAGACTCTAAGCCCCGCCCCCCGCCCCCCTCATTCCCACAAATTCCTCACCGTACAATGCACACAATTAAAGGAAATATTTTTCAGATCCAAAGAATGGCTTTTGATTTTAATGTTTGGCTTTGGACTAACGCGTGAGAGAGATCTTCAGCTTCCCCACTGCCACAAGTACACCTTCACTCAGTCTTGGGGTTTTATTATTCCTGCCCTGCAGGAGTGCCAAGGAGAGGATATTAAAATGGCTCTGGCTCTAAAAAATGCTATTCTACTCTTAGGAAAGCTCAGGTCTTTCAGATACCTTGCTGGTCCCCACACACCCCATTTAATCCATTTTCTTGCTGCAGAGAGAGATTCTGTTAAGCTCTAGCTGGAACTCCACGTCTCTTATTCTGTTGGTAGCCACTTTGCTTGGGTTGGTCGTAGCCGAGGGATATTTAAAAAGAGCGAGGAAAGTGCACAGGAGGCCCGCTTAGGATCCCATCGCCTGTTTCTGGGAGAGGGGAAGTTATTTATTGAGACTAAAGCGGTCAAGTCCTCTGGGAAGAATGGAGTCCTATGGTTAAAGAAGGAATAGCAGCCACAAAAGGAAATAAACCCTATTAACATGATTTTAAGATTATTATTATTTTTTATTTATCTATTGAAGCTATTGGACGCTATTAAGGGTCAAAAAACAGTGCCATCCCGTGGTTGAAGCAGGTATAGCAGCCATTACAAAACTTTCCAATGGCATTTTAAGGCTATTCTTTATTATTAAAACCTTATTAATATGAATAGGGCATCATAGCCCTCCGTAACTAGGTTGAAGACAGAATATCGTAATTTTAAAATGCCATTAAAAGGGTTTCTTTGGGTGGCCGCAATACCCGTTTTTGGCCACAGGAGGGCAGAGTTTTCCGTACCGTAGCATTAACGTTGAGGCCTTTTGCCCAGCATTGGGACACCGAGAAGCTAAGCCCCAAAGCGCAGAGCGTCGCCACTCTATGCTCCTCCGAAAGGGACGGGCCGCTTCCCTCGGCCTTCGACGCATGTCCGCCGGCTGGATTTTCACCCGCAATTCAGCAATCATCCAGAGGCCTTCTCGGCAATTTGGGACTTCCTGTCCCTCGATATCGGCCGTTCCCCGCGTCCTGTGAGAAAAGCGCCTTTCCAAGATGGCCGACTTCCGTTCCGTCCTTAGTGATCCTCCAACTTCCTTTTGCCGCGGCCTTCTGGGCATGGCGGACTTCCCGTCCGAGCAACGAGTTGGGCCGTAAACTTAAAACCCCATTAAAAAGGCTTCTGCCTGTTGGCGGCCATGCCGAGAAGGTCGTGCTGTTATTCCTGCCTGAGGCCGCATTCTGATGCCTTTGGCCCTGAAAGAACAAGCGTAGGCTTTCACCTCTCGGGAAAGCCTGACTTTTTTGCCCTCTTTTGGGCAAGGAGAGAGGAGGGAGGGCCTGACGTTTGACCCATTTTGCGGAGTGAAAAGAGTGAGGTCGACGTAATGCCGCATTCTAATGACTTTGTCCCCAAAATGACCAACCCAGTTTGTGATAGGATAGAAAAGCCTGACTTTTTTGCCCTCTTTGGGGTAAGTCTTGTTTCCTTGGGTGGCTGCTATTCCAAAATAACCACAGGAGGGCCCTCTTTTCATGCCCTGTGTTATATATGGTCTTTGTAGTCCCTTTCAGGCTGCTATTCGCAAAATAACCACAGGTGGGTACTCTTTACATGCCCTGTGCTATAGATGGTCTTTGTAGTCCCCTTCAGCCCAAAATAACCACGGGAGGGCCCTCTTTTCATGCCCTGTGTTATATATGGTCTTTGTAGTCCCTTTCAGGCTGCTATTCGCAAAATAACCACAGGTGGGTACTCTTTACATG